CTTATCCCCTTCGTCTTTCGTCCTCGCGTGTTGTCCTTTTTCCACTCTTCAGCAGCTGCAACTCGTTCGCGCTTAGTCCCGCATCCCTTCCTGGTTGTGATTGAACGAGAGAACCTGAGTGCGAGGTGGCTGACCAGCGAAAGCGCAGCGGCTGAGCCTGTCGACCGCGAACTACTCGACGCAATGCTGGAGCTGGACGACCTGGGCGTGCCGAACACACTCTCATCGCAAAGCGCGAGAAGGCGACAGTGACGAGGTGTGGAGGCAGGGAAGCAGCCGCAGACGAAGCAGGCGTGGTAGCGTTCACAATCGAGGCGAGCGAATGCTGCGTGAACGGGAGAAGAGCGAACGAGTCCTCGCTTCGCTTCCGCGGGTGCTGTTCACCGTCGCAAGGCAGCAAAAAGCGTGGCTGCACTGGCAGGCCAGGGTGTCCAGACGTTGCGGCAGAGGTAAAAGGAAGCGAGAGCAGCGTAGAGCGACAGCAAAAAAGCGAAGTCGCCCAATGTGGGGCTCGAACCCACGACCACCAGATTAAGAGTCTGGTGCTCTACCGACTGAGCTAACCGGGCCTTGCTTGAGGGGGCGGCTCAATTCTGCCAATACAAACCATCAATCTGCTTGTCACTCCTGCGCTCCGCCCCTCCGTTCGCTCGCTCGTCTTCTCACCTCCGCCTCGTCGCTCTGCCTCCTGCTACCGGCTCTCCTGATAGCGCTGCACTGCTCAGCGCGCCTCTCATGCCTCTCCTGCTCGCCTGGCGTCGTCGCGGAACTCCCTCGCACCCTCCTCTTCGCTCAACAAAACGGGCCTCCTCTCGAAGCGGTTCGTGCTGAGCGGACATGGGCTGGACAGGAGTGCATAACGTCGTGTTGAGACTTCCCTCGCTGCCACGGTCCGGTCTCTGGACTCGTTGCTTGAGCTTGCGGTGCTGGCTCGCACGACGCATCAGGTTCGTCCACTCCCGTCGCTCTCCCTCCAGACGCCAAACTGACCTTAGCCCCTCAGGCTCCTTTTCAGTAGCTTCGATCCCTTCGGCGACTCCTGGACGAGCCCGAGCCCTACTCGTCCGAGGATTCTCCTTCTTCTTGCTCCTCACCCTCTCGGCGCTTCCCTGCCATGCCTCGTTCGGATCCGCCGCCTGCTAGTCGACGACTCCGCTCAGCCACAGTCTCTGTTCGCCCGCTGCCAGTCCCACCTCCCGTGCGCCCGACCAGCTCACGCCAGCAGACTGCTCCCACCTCGGCGCCCGAACCCGACGCCGCAGGGCCAGACGCAGAGCTTTGGATTCGACGACCGCAGAGGAAAGCGAGTCTGCGCGCATGCACGAGCAGAGGAGAAGGCGGAGAAACGGCGAGGGGCGGTGCAGACAGGAGCGAACGAGCGGGAGGGACGGTCGAACGAAGTGCGCAAGGTGCGCTCGCTTCTCCTGCGTGAATTGATTCTCGAGCATGCTGACAGCGCACGAAGAAACAGGCCAGCTCGATTCCCTCGACGCCGAGCACGCCTCGTCGTCTGTCTCCCTCCTCTCCCAGACCGACACGCTTGCCTCTTCCTACGCCCCGCAGACGAGCAGCTCCGACATAACGACACTGTCTCGCTGCAGCTCTTCGCCCTCCACCCGTTCGCCCGGCCGCGAGGTCCCTCCTCTCCCGCAACCCATCCCTATCGCAAGCCGTCCTGCTCTTCACCGCCGGCATTCTTCGGTCGACTCTTCGACCATTCCCTCATCTCTCTCCCTCCCGATGTCGAATGCGCCAATCGCGCCGGCTTCCTTGCCCTCTTCCTCGCGACAACGATCCTTCCTCGCAGCAGTCTCGGCCGCACCCTTCTCGAATCTCGTTCCCGTTTCCGACTCCGCCAGCAACTCGCGCACTATCGACAGCTACACGGCAAAGCGACTGCCGCAGCGGAAAGTGACGACGTTGACGGTGGGCGAAGGCGAGCCGGCTCGCGTCCTCAGGCGCAAGGCTTCGGTGACGGTGCGAGGGAGGTACGGAGGAGCCGGCGGGGGACACGACAGATCAGTGGCGCTGCCGAGCAGACGAAGCGTCTCGACAGATCGCCCTCGGCCCTCGACATCCGCCGGCCGACGAGCAGAACTTCCACCCTCTCCTGCCTATCCCTCACGCACATCCCGCGCCGGGACTTTTTTCCACACGACACCCCCTCTCGCGCCTCCATTACCGACGATAGCCTCGGCAATGGCGTCGCTGAGCAGCGAAGCGGTGACGAGCGCCACCTTCGCCACAACTCCTTCTCGCGCGCAACTCAGCAGACCCAGCAGCAACCGGTCTGCTCTCACAGACTCGTCTTCTCCATCCGACAGCGACTCGAGCAAGTCGGCTTTCCGCAGCGGGATGCTCAAGCTGAAGAAGTCGACGGCGAGTCTGCGAGCAGCGCTAAGGTCCAGCTCGCACAAGCACGACAAGGCGCCGCCTCTCCCTCTCCAAATACCCTCATCGTCGTCGACTTCCTCCTTTGGCGAAGAGAACCTCGTTACGCCGCCCCTGCCAACCGCGAAGCCGTTGCAACCCGCTACCGACTTTCCCGACTCACGACAACCACCTACTTCGCCTACAACGCCGCGACGCAGCCGCACACGACCTCGCACGAGCCAGCAGCAGACCGCCAACGTCTCGCAAGATCGCCTGCCGCGGCACTGCTCGCGTACACTCCGTCGGGCGGCAAGTACGAGCCAGATTGGCCGTCGCCTCCCCGTCTTGCCGGATACTCGGCCACCTTCACCGCCGCCAGTACCACGAGCAGCACGGACGCAGTAGAGACAGGCGGACAGAGGAGGAGGTTGCTGCGGAGATGAGCGACGCCGTTATATATCGACATTAGACCGCGACTTGTAATGCTCGAGGACGCCTTACGATTTGCCAGACAGGGGACCACCCTTCTCTTGCACAAGCACGCCTTAGTGGAGGTCGACCCAGCTTGCGACGCGCGTTGCAGGCGCCGGACGAGCCGCTTCTCCCTCCTTGTCCTCCTCGTCCTGCCCGACTTCGCACCCTCACTCCCCCTCTTCGCCTCGAACGCTCGCCTTCACCTCATTCGCATCCGAACTAGCAGCCCCTCTTCTCCTGTTCAATCCTGCTCTCTCAGGCCGCCCTTGCCAGGCATCGGTGGCCTTCGCAAACGCTTCATCCCAGGCTACGACGGCTCGCCTCACCTCTCCAACGTCTCCTGGCGCCGCGCCTGCGCCGCCAGTAGGTGTCTCGTCGACGGCATGCCCCGGCAATGGAGAGGAGGACCCCACAGGTCACGCTGGGACGGACGCACCTCTTGTCTCTTGACTGTTGCTCGCCCTCTCGCCCCGGTCCTATTGCGTTGTTCTGCTCTGCTCACCCGATCCTGATTCGACATGCCCTCTACGAAGCACGCCTCCGTCATCCCTCAGCTCTCGTCGCCGCCGACCCTCTCGGCACGCGGCCAGCGCGCGCTCATCCGCCCGCCCCTCTTGCGCTGCTCGCTCTTCGAGTGCCAGTACAACGCGTGCTGCAACCATGCGGGACTTCTGAACCTCGGAGTCGCCGAGAACGTGCGTATACACAGCGAGCACGTCTCGCGGCCTTATCTCGACGGAACTGACCTTGTGTTTCGCTCAACAGAGCCTCTGCCTCGATTTCCTCGCCGACTACTTCAAGAAGAACTTCTCGCTCGAGTACAGCGACTTTACTGTGCGTACCTTGGGAGATTCCGTTCCCCGCTCCGCTATTGACCTTCGGGTGTTCATGCAGTACGGCACCGCCTTGACTGGCAGCTTGCGCCTCTTTGCCGCACTCCGCAATCTCTTTGACGTTTACTTCAACGCGAGCCAGCCCGTCCTGCCCGAGCATATCGTCGCCGGAACAGGCTGCTCGTCTGTCATCGACTCGCTCGTCTCGGTCCTCGCTGACGCCGGCGAGGGCATCCTCGTTGCCAAGCCGCACTACAACGGCTTCGTCACTTCCTTCCGATGCCGCAACGAGGTCCTCACGATCGGCGTCGACGTGCCAGCCGGCAAAGAGGCCTTGCCCGAGTCGCTCGATGCCTTCGAACGCAAGATCGAAGAGTGCAAGGCTCTCGGCGTCAACATCCGCGCCATAATGCTCTGCAACCCGCACAATCCGCTTGGGTTCTGCTACCCCCGCGAAACCCTCCTCGCCTACCTCCGCTTCGCCGAGTCGCACAACATCCACCTCATCAGCGACGAGATCTACGCTCTCAGCGTGTACGACTCGGACCTTCCATCGCCCGTCCCCTTCACCTCTGTCCTCGCCCTCGACCCCATCGCGGAAGCAGGTTGCAACCCTGAGCGGGTTCACGTCGTCTACGGGCCGTCGAAGGACTTTGGCGTCAACGGCCTCAGGCTCGGCGTCGTCGTCACGCGCTCAAACGCCGTTCACACGGCGATGGAGTCGAGTGCGCTGCTCATGAAGATCTCGAGCGCGTCGGTGCGTATATCTCGCTTCGCCCAACCAAGACAAGTGAATGACTTTCGTTACTCGCAGGACGCCCTCTGGTCTGGCTTGCTGCTCGACTCCGTCGCCCTCCCGCACTACCTCGCCCTGAACCGCTCACGCCTCACCTCCGCTTATGCACGCGCAACCTCGTTCCTCAAGACCCACCAGATCTCGTACCGCCCCGCCCAAGCCGGCCACTTCGTCTGGGTCGACTTGTCGAGGTACTTGCCGACGCAGGACGAGGAGGGGAAGGTATTGGAGGATATTGTCGAGAGGGAAGAGATGCTTGTCCAGAAATTCCTTCGGCACGGCGTCAACTTGGTGCGCTGCCTTCCCCTGCCTTGAACACACAAAACTCTCCCAGTACTTACCTGAAGCCGCCTTGCAGGGCCGCGCGAGCGCCTACTCGGGCCAGCCGGGCTACTTCCGCCTCACCTTCACTCTGCGTCCCGATTATTTTGAGGTTGGCCTCGCAAGACTCGAGGATGCTCTCGCGCCTCTGCTAGTCGACTCGAAGCGGGACTGACATTCGTGGACACCCCGCAGTGCGACGGAGGACAGCCCGCCTGCTCGAACTGCACGAAAATGGGCCGCGACGACTGCTCGTACCAGCGCGTCTCTGCGTGCGTCCGCTCCACGCTGCTCGCCAGGAGGACGACAACTGACATGTGATGCACGCAGCGAGGAGAACGACGAGGTCAAGGCGCGCAAAAAGATGCTCAAGGCGCAGAAGGAGGCGGGCGGAGGAGGAGGAGGCGGTGGCGCTCTTGGCAGCCGCCGTCGCTGGAACCGCAAGCTCGACCTCGGCCGCTCTACCCGCCGTCGTCGCACTACGACGCCGTCGACGAGGTCGCCGTCCCCTGCGCCCTCCAACACCGGACTCACCCCCGCCGCCTACGACTGGTCCGTCAAGTCGCCCTCCGAACCCTGCGCCGCTCCTCCCGCCGCCCAAACGAGGCAGCCGTACTTCGACTACCCTGCCGCTGCTGCCATGCTGCCGACACCGCAAGAAGAGGCGTCCGCGCATGTCTTCTCGCCGCCGATGGGCTCGCCCTACGACGAACGTCCGACCTACGTCGCACCCGCCTTCGCGGCCTGTCCCTTGACGCCGCCCGAAGAGCACTTTGTCCCGACGTCGCGCAGCATCGCGTGCCCGCCGATCCAGGAGGTCTACTCGCAACGTCCGACCCTCGTCCACTACAACTCGGCGCCGTTCGTCCAGCAAACTGCGCCCTTCGCTGTGCAGAGCGCGATGATGCCGCTGATGGTCGAGCGTTCCTGGGCGCTCCAGCAGTCTCGCCACGCCTCAATCCATACGCTCGTCTCGCCCGACCCCTCCGCTCCTCCTTCGCCGACCGTTCCTCGCGGCCTCTCCCTGCCTGAAACGACGCCCCTCGTCGCACCCATCCCGACTCGTCCTCCTCAAAACTGCGAGTTCCTCACCCACCACCCGACGCCGAGGAACAGCTGGGACGGCACGGCAGCTGCGTACGCAGTGCGTCCTCCGCGAGACGAGATCCTCGCGCCTGCGCCGGTCCCGAGCTGGGACGCCGTCCTCGCCGACGACGAAGTCGACTCGTCGGCGTGCTACACCGAGTCGTGGGTCGACACGCAGAACCGCCAGCCGCTCGCGGATTATTTCTCGAAATACCAGCAAGTCTGGTGACTTCCTCTCTCTCTCTTGGGTCTCTCGCGGGATGTTTGGGAGTCGTAACGTTCTGTATAATCGCTTGCGTACCTTGCTTGTTGTTTGCAACATACAGACCCTCTCTCTTGATCCGTTTTTCCCCCTGCCTCGTCCCGCTTGTCCCGTTCGCTCGTCCCGCTCGTCTTGTGCCCGCACTCGCTTCACGCTATAATGGGTTTCCTGACAAGGTAGACTCGGTGCACAACCGCTGCGCTCACCCAGGACTCGCGCTGACCCGCTCGCACGCATCCGAACAGCGCCGCCCTCGTCTCGTCGTCCTTCCTCCTCGGCACGCTCTTCACGAGGTGCGCCCAGCCGCTTGTCCGTGAACCCAGCTTCCTTGCTGATTCGGCCTCGCTTGCACAACAGCCTGCTGTGGGACTCGACGGTGCTCTATGGCCTCACCGCACCTATCTCTGAGGAGACGATCGAGGCGGTCGAGAACTACTACTTGACCTGGTGGAACGGCGGGATGGCCGTCAAGTCGTTCATGCACATCGTCGTGCGTTGCGCCGTCCCCTGACCGCTTCGAGCGCCGAGAAAGGCGGGCTGACGGGTTTCGCGACTTGCGTGGACAGATGGTCGTCTTGTTCCTCTCGCTCATCGCCAAGTGGGCTCGCAAGGGCAGCGAGACGGCTTACTACTTCTCCGGCGCGTCAATCGGTGCGTTCCTGCCCGCGCTTTCGCCTGAAGCCGCTGGCTGACCTCGTTGCTCGTCCAACAGTCGCTCTCGTCGTCTGCGCTGCTCTCTACATCACTGTTACGCTCCCTTCGATCCGCCACATCGCCAAGTGAGTTGGACATCTCGCCGCTTGTTCGATAGAAAGTCGTTAACAACTCTCCTTGTCGCAGGGACCCGTTCAACAAGTCGGCCCTCATCCTCCCCGGCGAAGACTTCTTCACCCGCATGCAGCAATGGCTCGCCGACCGCAACTCTGGCACGCTCGGCAACCGCGCGAGGGAGAACATGAAGCTCCTCGCCAATATTGAGCCGATGGACTGGATGCAGAGGGTCCAGCATGTCCAGGTCATGTCCGCCGCGAACACGATCATTGCGGTCCTTCTCGTTGGTGTCGTTGTTCTTCAGGTGCGTTCGAGGCTTGGTTGAGCGAGGGGGAACGAGACTGACAATTGGCAACGCAGGTTTCGGAGTGGTATGTCGAGGACACGATCGTGCGCGAGGCAGAGGAGGAGGCACGCAAGCAGCAGGCCGCCGCTCCCGTCACGGTCGAGAAGAAGAAGCAGTAGATGAGGTCGTATCAGCGCACAGGGTCACCTCTCGTTGCCAGCTTCGTGCGGTGAGTGATAGAATCAGCAGTGAGGTAGGGGGTCGTGAACTAGTAAAGCGATGCGAAAGCGGGCTACAGTAAATCCTGCAAGCTCATCAACGCCGTCAGGGCTGGGAAGCGAGACGAAGGAGAGAGTACTCACGGAAAGTACAGCAAATCTTGAACGGAAAGCGAAGACCGTCTATCGCCCAGCGACTTCGGTGATCTCATCATCGGCGCTCGACCTCCTTCGCTCCGTCACGACGCCCTCAAGCGCAAGCGCAGGCGGTGGGGGAGGCGGATCCGCAGCTGCGTCTCTCGCGCGCTCGTACGCCGGTGGACGGTCCATCGCACGCAAGTGCTCAAGAGACTGTTCGGTAAAGCGGACGGAACCGAGGTTGTACGTCCCGGCGCGCATCAGGTCTGCCGGACCATCGGTGAGAGGGCGGTCGTCCGGGTCGAGTGAGGGCGTCTTGCTGCCTCGTCGGCCAAGGGCGTCGGATGTGGGCAGGGCGGTGCGATTGACGGCTCGTTGGCGGCGACGACGGAGGAAGAAGAGGAGGGCGAGGATGAGCAGGATGACGGCGAGACCGCCGACGACGCCGCCGGCGATGGCTCCGGCGTTCGAGTGCTTCGAGGTGTAGTCGTTCTTGCTGTTAATCAGAACAACGACTGTCAGCACACCTTCGTCGGGGCAAGGTGAAGACGCCGACGGACGGGCAGACGGCGCCTGAGCCAGTCTGGACGACGCGGAACTGGCTGTACGCCTGCTGGCCCTTAGCGTCATGCAGCGAGAACGTCTGCGCAAGTATAGAGTCAGTCAGCCAGTCTAAAGGAGCGTGAGAGAAGCGGACAACGCACGATGTTCGCGCCTGGGAGGAAGTCCGCAGTCCAGCGAAACACTCCCGGGCTGAACTGCAACGGCAGCTGCTCCAGCGACGTCCCGTTGACGTCTCCCGTCGCAATCACATTGATCGTGTACGGCGGAGTCCCTTGACCCTGCGTTGAGGAGGTGAGCGGAAGGTCCTCGGAAGCCAGAGATCGTGGTCGTTGTACGCACGAAGACGAGGTAAGACTGCTCGCAGGACGTGAATGGAGGTGCAACGATGAATGGCTGGTACAGCGGCGCCGCCATGGCGAGTTGACGAGGTCGTGGGAACGGTCGTTCGAGGTGGGGCGAGACGAGCGAGGACGGGCGAGGAGCGGGATCAGTCCAGCGCAGTCTGCCTTGAGTAGTGCACCACTTCTAGCCTGCACAAGCAGCAGCACGAGCGAGTCGAGCGGGATGGCTGGTGTTGAGGGATGTCAACCATCGCTTGCTTCCTGACATCTCGCGACACCAGCTCGAACGGACTCAAGGGGACGCTGGGAGGCACCATGGTGAGCCCAGAGTCGCGTCTAGCCCAACCGCACCGCTCACCGTTTCCTTCCAGTTCCCGGATTCCTTCATCTCCAGAAATGCCCTCCGACTGCTCATCCTCACACTCGACAGCACTGTGCCGCTGAGTGCGCTGTGGCTCATTGCAGCCTACTTCTGCCACCCTGCCTCGCCCGCCATCGCCTTTACGACGTGGTTGCCCGTCTCGGACGCAGCCGAACTCGTCCTGCGCTTCCGGCATCCGCTCGCTCTCGTCACGCTTTGGGCCGGAGCAGAAGTGGCATGGTGGATTGTGTCGTGCGTTGCGCGGATAGGGCTGGACAGGAACTGGTGGGGAGAGCGGCAGGAGGACGAGGAGATTGGCAGCGAGGAGCGATGGAGGTTGTGGAAGTCGATGCTCGAGTCGACGCGCGATCCGTGGGACTGGATGGGCTCGGCATTCCTCCCGGCAACGCACAAGCGGGCGGCGAGAGGCGCGGCTGATCCGGCGCTCAAGAAGGTCAAGATGGAGACGGTCGGTCGAACGAACGTCGAGGAGGTATACTTGTTCTTTCGTTCAGTCCGCAAACGTACTGACGTTCTGCCCTCGCAGTTCATCGCCCACTTCATGTTCAACGCAAACCTGCGCGACCTGAAGCGCGACTCTCTCGCCCGCGCCGAGCTGCACTCGATGATCCTCCTTCTCGAAGCACAAATCACCCTCTCTCGCCCCGGCTCCCAACCCTTCCGCTTCCTCCGCGGCCGCTCGCGCCATCGCGTCTTCCAGCTCTCCAACGAGCCGCTCAGCGTCGGCCACCATCCCCTCGTTTTCTATGCCGCAATCGCCTTCGTCTCGCAACTTTCGAACTTCATCCTGTACCTCGCCGGCTTCCGCTACTATGGCGCAGGAGCGGTGCGGCGTCTGCGCTCTACTTTTCCGAGCGCACCTACTGACTATCGCGGCTTGCAGTGGACCTTCACGCCCTTCTTCATGCGCTCGTCTCGACGCTTGCTCGAATCGGTCCTCGACCCGCTCGAGGCGTCTCGCATGGGCGACGCCCGTCTGGCAGAACGCGTTGGCTACTGGATGAAGCCGGCGTCAAAAAAGGCTCAGGAGGAAGACCTCAAGCCGGTGCGCTCCCGTACTCCTCGTTCGATTTGGCTTCAAAGGCTCATTCCTCGTCTTCGCAGCTCGTTTTCTGCCACGGCATCAGCGGGACGTTTGTCCTGACGCCCTTCCTTGTCTGCATGTCATATTTGACCGGTTCGTCCACTCTGCCTTCTGCTACACGTGCGAAGCTGACTGCAGCTATCCACAGGTCGTGCGATCTTCCTTCCCGAAGTGCCCTACGTCTCGATGCGCCTCTCGCCGCCGAGCGCTATTCTTACTCGCCTGGAATACGTCGCCGCCGTCCGTCGCATGTTGTGGGCGCATGGCTTTGGCTTGACGAGCCTTGATGCCGACGAGAACGACTCGGACTTCGACGAGGAACACGATGAGGAGGAGTGGCGGAGGGGCAAGGCGATTGTAATCGCCCATAGCTTCGGGACGGGCGCAGCAGCGTGGTTGCTCAGGGACGCAGTGCGCGCCATCCCCTGACCTCCGCGCAGTTCAGATGCTGACACTGCTCTCAAACAGCCCGACATTGTTGCTGGATCGGTCCTCATCGACCCGATGAGCTTCCTCCTCTTCGCCTCCGACCTTCCTCGCAACTTTTTCCGCACGAAGTGCAGCACGACCGGCGAGATCTTCTTCGTGCGTATCATTCGCCATTACTGCTGCTGCCTGCGCTCACGCCACCTTCACAGCGCTACTTCGCGGTCGAGCGAGGGATCAACCATTTCCTCTCGCGCCACCTCCGCTGGTCCGACTCGGTCATCTTTGGTCCTCGGCCCGTCGCGCCTCTTCCCGACCGCGTCGTTCGCGCCCTCGTACCCAAGTGCGCGCAAGAACCGCTCGAGCCGCCTCTCGACATTCCCAACTATGCGCAGTGGGTCAGCCCCTGTCCCCAAGGTCCTCTGGTGCGTTCGCTTGTCCTCTTCACTGCGTCCTGGAGGTCCTGAAAGCTGACTTGTCTTGAATGCCGGTCTCGCAGCCCTCGGTCGTCTTCCTCTCGGAGAACGACTGTATCCTGCCGATCGAGAAGGTCCGGCGATATCTCGAAGCGAGCGGCTTCTCAACTGGCGCGTCATCCTCCACCGATGCGAGCGCGGTCGAGAAGGTGCTGAAGATCGAGGGGAAGAAGGAGGAAGGCGTAGGGGGCGACACAGCAGAAGATGGTGCGGCGGATGCGGACAAGCCCGACAGCGAAGACGAGTCGACTCTCGTTTCTTCCTCGACCTCGCTCATCGATCCTTCGACTTCCTCCTCGTCGACCGTCGCACCCAGCAAAGCCGCCGACGCCTCACTCTACATCGTCCCTCACGCAGAACACGGCGCCATCCTCACTCCATGGGTCATCTTTGCGCAAGAGTGGCCGAAGAAGGTTCGCGACGCTATTGACAGGGTTGAACAGGCGTCGGCGCGATGGGAAACGATGGACGACTAGCCTGGCGGGTGTAGATGATCGTGTCGCCGAGGTGGTGACTTGGATGTAGATTCATGAACTGCATCTCTCGCATCGCCTCAACAACGACAAACCGATACATGCTCGGCGATGCAGGAAATGCGACAACAGGAGTAGAGGCGAGAGAGAGGGAAGTAGGAGAACTAGGTCGCCGTGCCAAACTTGGGGATGCGAAGGAAAGCGTCGCTGCCCCAACCCTGCAGCGTATAGATGTCGAGTCCACCGTCGAAATACTCTGCGTACATCCGACTCAGAGGCAATCCGATCCCGCTCCGCATCTGCGCATCAATCAGGTCTCGCTCCGCTTGTCCGTCCGCGCCGTCGCCTAGACGCTGTCGCCGTTCGAGCTGCTCCTTCACCGTTCCTGTCAGTTGCGTAAGCGATCGGAGCGCCATGATGCCCGTCGCGTTCGGATCTGACGGCGCGTCGGAGGAAGGGAAAGTCGCAGAGGAGGAAGAGGTGTCGGCCGAAGGGAGGGTATTCTCGGAGGCGACTGCGGCGAGTGCGGCATGGTGCTGATAGTATCGTCGCATGTGACTGAAAGAGAAGATGTCGAGACGTTGTGCGGAAAGAGGGGCGCTGGCATTGACGGAGGGGAAGAGCGGGTTGGCGGCCATGTCGGACGGGTCGGGTGGTAGGCCGCCGTAGGGTGCGATACCGCCGCCCTGGTCGGAGACGCGGATGGCGAGATCTCGTGGTCGGTGGACGATGGTGATGAGAGTCGGGTGGTCCTTCGCAGCCGAGCCGTGCGCCGAGACGGTCGCATGCGTGGCGTTCTTGATCAATTCGAACAGCATGAACCTGTGAAAAGACGTCAGCGAGAGCGCTATAAGGACGGTATAAAGGAAAGGGCGCACTCGAGGTGTTCCGAGATGTAGGCGAAGGTCTGGTCGGTCGCGCCTTCGACGACGATCGGCACCTCGCTCTCCGGTCCTCCCAGCGCCTGCATCAGCTCCCCGCACTTCTTGACGACATCCGCCGCATTCAGCTTCGTGTCGACGATCCCGACCCTCGTCTCTTCCTCCTCATTCACCGCCCGATCCTTCCCCTTCCGCTGCCGTTCTCGGAATTGCTGCGTCAAGGCGATATGCTGTTCGGTGATGACTCGTCGAGAAATGCGGGAACGGAGCATGCGGAGCATGATCCGATCGAGGGCGGCGGGCGGGAGTTGCTGAGTCGAGGCTTCGGCGACGCTGTACACGAACGCAACGAGCTCGTCAGTCGGACTTGTCCCGAGACGGATATCGACTGCCTGTCAGCAGCGTGACGCACCCGATAGCGAGCTCGGGAATTACGACGCGGTGCTTGTTGAGCGTTCCCTGCATGTACTGGCAGAACCGGTCGTTGTCCTCGAGACTCTTGATCGGCGGGAACGTTCGAATGCCTTCAAACGCTTCGAGGTAGAGGTCGTAGACGTGCGCCATTCGGGGATGAGATGCTACACCGAGAGGGAGCTCTTGCAGGTCGCGCAGACGGTGGGAGAGGCGAGTTGGCAGTTCGGTGCGAAGCTGTGCGTAACAGTCACAATGCCCTCCAGTCAGACTTGCGCTCGACGAGCATGGCTTCAGCTGGACAGGTAGGGCGTAATCGTCAACGCACGAAGTTCCCTCCCTTGATCAGTTTCTCCGCCTCCTCCTTCTCACCCTTGTTCCGCCCCGCGTTGCCGAAGTTGATCATGTGCTTCAAGCTGATCGGCGTAGACGACTTGGCGGCGAACGATTCGATCAGAGCGTTGAGGTAGAATGCCGGGACGGCCGACTTGCGAGGAATGGTGGTCATGTCGGCGAGCGGGATAGGAGGAGGCCGTCAGGGGCGAGATTTTGACGTCGTTGGCGCGATTGGCCACTTGTCAATGGAGAAGCGGAAGAGACGGAGATGAGTGGGGAGGAGGACGCGGGAGGTGCAGGTCGGCTTTGATAGCAGGGAGAGAGGCTGTGGCAGTGAGAGAGCATCACTGTCAGTCTTTCCCAACTCCAGGCGGTCTCATTGCGAGCACTCACCCTGCACAGTTCCTCCAGAAGCGAGTCAAGGGGAAGTCGGGGTGCAGGACGGCGAGCACACAAGCAGGCGTCGTAGGAGCTGTTAGAGGGTCGAGCAGCAGTCACAAGCAAGCTGTCGAGCTACTGCCGGGCTTCTCAAAGCGAGTTGGGCGGGAACAGCGGTTGTCGAGGAGGCCAACCGGTGCAGGCGAGGGTCAATCGGTCACTGTTCGCTCGTCTCGCGCTTTCAAGGCTAGCCTGGCTTGGAGATGCCCGGCCAGCCTGCTACAGTCATCGCCCGCTGGTCTGCAGCCAATCCACAGACCAGCGTCCCGCTTCTGGGCCGCTCGCTCACCGTAACCCGATCAGGCGTCTCGCTCGGCAGGAGGGCTGTCCAGATACGTGCGCTGCGACTACCGGCGAGCGAGGCGAATGGGAAGGAAGGGCGGAACATGTACGTCGTGCGGGCGCTCGACGGGAACGCAGAGAAGGTCAGCGTGTTTGTCGAGGATCCTGCGGTACCCGCTGTGACGAGCGCAAAGGGCAAAGGGAAGGCGGAACCGAACGAAGACGACGATTTAATGATCGTGGAACCCGAGGCGAAGAAGGAGAAGGACGACTCGCCTGCGCACACACGCTGGACCTATTCGTCTATCGCCCTTCCCTCGTCCTCCTCGTCCGCCAACTCTCCGCTAATCAACACCGTCTTCGACACTTTCATTCAACGAGCCCTCTTTGCGCCGGCGCAGCCTGGACCACCCACCGGGCAGAGGGACAGCTCTTACTGGCAGCCGCGAGCGCAGTACATCGCTATCGAAGGCTACACGTTTTCCGTTGGAGCGGCTGCGGGCTCAGCAGGCGAATGGGAGGTCAAAGTCGGCAGTGTGCTATTGAAGGGCGGAACAGCAAGCGGAACAACGAAAGGCTGCGTCGTCGAGGTGCGCTTCCGAACGTGCCTTCGTAATCTCCTCCGCCGTCAACTTATCGAGTCCTTCCCCCACAGGCTACATATCTACCCGTTCCTCACTTACCCGCCAACTCGACCTTCATCAAAGACTTCCTCCTCTCGCTCTTCCCACCCGCCGCCGTCCAGAACAACGAGATCGAGTTCCTTCAGCTCGGCGAGGACGAGTTCCACGAAGCCGGTATGCTGGACTCTCACGAACCGAGCGAGGGCGAGGAGCCGGGCGAGTGGGAGTGGCAGGACAAGCATTCGACCTATACGTGCGTCTCGCGTCCTTGCACGGCGAATCTCACATGTGTTGCCGGCGCTCTGTGCGCTCTGACTCTCTGGTCTTCTACAGGCTCGTACAGCAGTTCAAGAAGGAAGGACTCCTCTAGAACGAGCGCTATACGTCTTTGCCGCCTCTTCTCGACACCACAAACTTCCCTCATTCTCCGCCAGTCGTCGCTCGCCTGTTGTTGTAGCTCGTCAAGCTTCTCTTGCATTACATGTTGTGTTCGTATCGAAAGAACGCGACTTGACAAGTCTCCCAACTTCATCAACTCGTCCATTTCTCCTCGTCCCATGTCACAACAAGCCGCTTACCTGCTCCGCGAGTTCCTGCTAGCGACCAACTGGAACACCTGGGACAACCACTATGCCTCCCTGACGCACCCATCGCGACAGCTCCTCGACTTCTCCATCCCCTCCGGGCTCCACTTCGCGGTCGCCTCGCACCCGACACTCAACTTTACGCCGGGCGTGAACCTCTCTTCGCTCGTCCCAGAAGTCCCAGTCACCTACCCGCCGTCCCCCGCACCTGTCCTCGGCCCTCCAGCAAGCCCACTCCTCGCTGGACAGCTCTCGTACCTCTTCAGTTCGGCACCCATCTCTGCGACCAGCTCTAAACGTGCGGCGGAAGGCGATGCGCGAATACGCTTCAAGGATGTCGTGCAGAGCTTTCCGTTCGAAACGGTACCGGTTCGACCAGAGTTGCGGGAGGATGCGCTGCCGACTTGGAAAGGCGGCGAGCGAGTAGACAAGGCTGGTGAGTGCGTCCCGTTGATTGCTCCAGGGCTCTTATGACTGACAGAGCATGTGACGCGCGCGCAGACTTCCTCCTCTATGGCCGACTGTACGTGCCAAACCCTCGACTCGACGCTCTCTACGTCCACCGCCTCTCGCCAACCCTCCAAGCCCTCGTCTCGCTCATCACCGTCCCCTCTCCTGCCCCTCCACCGACGCTGACCTGGGAGAACACCGACCCAGCCGCCTCGCTCTCCGCCTCAACCTCGTCCGTCGCCGGCGCATCCGGCCCAACGTCAGGTCCCCTTGCTCGACTCAGCGAGCTCGAGCTGAAGCTCCAGCAGGACACGGGCCGGTGGTCCGCAGAATACAGCTATGCTGTGGGCGACGGGATGTGGGGATTGAGAGGGTTGTACAATTTCGGTCGATGGGGCGAACCAGGAGCAGCGTCGACCGCTGTGCCTGTCTCGCCGGGCACTGGAGGTGCAGGACCAGAGATGAGGGAACGAGCGGTCGACGAGGAGGACGAGATGCCTGCGGGCCTGAAGGGGCGTTGGTCGGCGGGCGGCGAGATCTACTTCTCGGCGCAGGAACGGTCCGCAGGCGTCTCCACCGGCGTGCGGTTCACGACGATCCCTGAGTCGGCTGGTGGACCTCCTCAACCTCCGACTTATATCTCTGCGACGATCAACCCCATCATGGGCCAGCTTTCGACCGCTTACGCCGTACGAGTCGGCCGAGACGCAAGTCTGGCAAGTCGATTCGACTTCAACTTGTACTCGTACGACGCCGACTTGACCGTCGGAGGCGAGTGGTTTCAGCGGAGAACGCCGGCGAAGGACAAGGCGAGGGAGGAGGAGCACAAAGCGGGTGCAACGTTCGACGCGTTTGGGCGAGGCGCAGATGACGAGGAGACGAAGCGAAGACGGCGGAATAATGATGCGGAAGACGAGGTACTGGGCGTGCTCAAAGTGCGAGCCTCGACGAACGCGGTGCGTTTAGCTTCCTCTCCTTCGATCCCAAGGGGGCTCGCTGACCGGGATTTCCCATCAGGACGTCGCCATGCTGTGGGAAGGCCGATTAGGCGACTTCATCGTCTCGGCCGGACTCGTCGCCGACATCCGTCTCGCAACCCAAAGTCGCGGACGCATCAGTCCCATCCGGAGTATCGGGCTGTCGGCGTCTTACTGGGCTTGACGATGCTGGGACTCTTTGTAGGGCGCAATGCAGGTCTCGGTACTGATCCATTCCAGCTTCTATTCTGCAAGTGTCTGTTCTGTCCACCTCAGAACTCGTCGTTCGCGGTTGGCCCGGCGATGATGATCTTGATGACGCCGTTGCCGTCGTCGCCCTTGCCCGTTTGATTCGCCTTGAACGCCTCCTTCGCCTGTGCGAAGGGGTAGCTGCGGGAGGGGTTGGGTCAGTGACCGAGGATGGGCGAAGGAGAGGAGGCGATGCGCACCGGTGCGAGATGAGCGATGAAAGATTGACGGCGCCCCGAGCCACGAGGTCGAGAGCGAGGCGGTAGACATCGGGACCGTAACTGGCAAAGCGAAGAAAGTCAGTAGCTCGCTGAAGCGGAGTCGAGACGGTTGAGCGCACCGGAAGGAACCCTTGAGAGTGAGCTCGTGCGTGAGGATGGTGTGCATGTCGAGCGTGATGTCGGGCTTGCCCATGCCGACCTAGGAAGCGAGATTGCATCAGCGAAGGGAACAGCGCCTGGAAGCGAGGGCGGTTTACCTGGACAAGCGTGCCGCCGTGACGGAGGAGGAAGACACCAGTCGCGATGCAGACCTCGGCGCTGAACACGGAGAACTCCGTCAGCACACTTTGAAGCTTGGGAGAAACAAAAGAACGCACCCAGAGCAGTCAACGACGAGGTCAACACCCTGCGGCCCACGCTCCTCGAACCCAAACTTCTGCCGGATCTCGGCGGCCTGCGACGAAGCGGACGTTAGCGGGGCTTGTTGGAGGGGGGGACTGATGGTGGGCCAGACTCACATTCCTCCGCTGGTAGTCGACCTTGTCCTCACCCTGGTTCGGCTTTGACGGCACATAGATGTCGTGAACGAGACCCTTATCCTTGGCGAATTGAAGGCGGTCCTCCTGGATGTCTGTGCGGCGACGGCAAAACGCTTAGCTCTCGCGCAACATCGCTCCGTTCAGAGCAGTGAATCTAGACGCACCAACCGCAATGACCAGCCTGGCGCCAAGTCCCTTGGCCACAGCAGCAGTCAACAAGCCGACCGGACCCGCGCCGAAGACGACGACGTTCGCGCCGGGCTTCATGTCGCCGATCTTGGCGACTGCGTGAACGCCGACTGACATGGGCTCGAGCTGTGCAACAGCGTACATTGGAAGGAGGCGAAATGAGCTGTGAGTCCTCGTTTCGCCCAAAGCCAGTACGCGAATCGCACGCACCAAGGCGCCTTCCTCGAGAGACATGCCGTCGGGCAGCTTGTAGCACCTGCGAGGAAAAGCGAAGGCGTGAGTCGCATGTGGAGCGACGAAATATGATGTGCGGTACGCACAAGTCGGCAGGGAGAATGTAGCGGCCGGCCAGAGTGCCGTCGTAAGGAGGCGTCGCCGCAAAGATCATGTCGGCGCAGCGCTGCGGAAGGCCGTCACCTGGTCAGCGTGCGTCTCAACGGGCAGAAGTGATGCTGCGCACCTCGTAGTGCCCGCTCTTGCACTCGGAGCAGACGCGGCACGACTTGCCCGGCTCGAGAGCGACACGGTCTCCCGGCTTGACGTTCTTGACGTTCTTCCCAACTGCCTCGCCCGCTCAGTCAGCTAGCAAGTTTCAGGACGAGAGGGAAGCCCGCAAACGTACCCTTGACAACGACAGCCGCCGTCTCGTGGCCGAGAATCATGGGTGCCTTGACGACAAAGTCGCCAATTCGACCGTGGCACATGTAATGCGAGTCGGACCCGCAGATTCCCGTGGCCTTGGGCGCTACGATGGCCCTGCAAGAGGAGGAGATGGGGCAGACGGAGCGAAAGTTGGGTTTGATAGGCGCGAGAAGGAGTCGAAAGCAGGGAAGAAGGGCATGGCGAGAGCGGCAGTACCATCTGTAAGCGTCTTTGCTGCTCCTTGAACGCAGAACAGACCGCTCGACGCACTCATCCTCGCCGCATTCTTCTGGCAAAGGGCGATCCTCGAACCGGACGTCCTGGATGCCATGCAGGACCTACGGGGTGATCGGTTCTCTTCAGCAAGCTCCTCGCGAGTCTCGGCAAGGCGGAAGAACGCACGAAAGCGGGGTTGTGAGGCGGGACAGAGGTGTCTTCCTTCGCAGAGTGCGAGGAGGCGGGTGCCGTCATCGTTTCGTTTGAGGGTGCGGCGGTTCGACTAGGTGGCGAGAGAGCGAGTTCTCTAGCTGTTGCAAGCGAGCAAGCGACTGGCGATGCAGTTGTGAGCGAGAGAGAGGCGCGAGAGACGGAGAGGCATCGGAACCGCTGCGGGGGGACGAGATGCCTCCACTTGGCGCGTTTGTATTCGTGGAAAGGTAATCATGAGTGTAATCAGTTGTATTGCCAGCGGACAGCAGGCGAGCCGAGCCGCTGCGACGGACCGCGGACTTGAGACGAGCAAGGGCTTCTCTCGCTTAACTGAAGATGCGCGGAAACGGTGCTGCAGTTACTCTTTGTACATCTTGACGACTCGGCAGCGAGGAGAGAGCGAGAGGGGCAGGGGAATAATGCGCGGCGCGGAGAACGACGAGGGAGAGGGAAGAGACGGAGAGCGGAAAAGGAGTGGTACAACGAGAGCCTCTGCTGAGGAACAACCAAATGCCGCAATACGCCTGAGCCTGGCCTCCCTGCGTGAACCAAAGCGAGCGCGTGCCGCGAAAACGAGAAAGTCGAGGAAAAGGGTACGACGACGATGGAACGAAAGGCGAAGAAAAGGATGGGAAAGGCGAAGAGGGCGAGTATGTATCTAGCCGGAGTCGGGTCGAGAGAAAGGCGAGAAGGAATCGCGAGTCGAGCGCCGAACGACTTAAGGCGCCTCGCCCTCGGCGGGCGACATCTCGCTCAACAACTTGTCGACCTCCTCCTCTACCCGTCCAAATTCCTGCTCTGCATCGCTCCCTCTCCGAGCCCGAACCCCTGCTGCGTCCGCTCGACGACCGAAGGCGTCCTCGCCGGCGAGCTCGGCGTCGACCTGGTCCTCGATCGAGCTGTCCCTCCCGTTCCCGGAGGACTGGCGCTCGACGGACCGGTCCCCGTCCGCCTCCGCAGTTGACGGAGCGGATGAACGGCGCTCAACGCTCCTTGTTCGAGCTGGTCCGCTTCGAGCGTCGACGACCTCGATGCTCGCGTGAGGTGTCCCGTCGCTTTCAAGCTCGACGTGCCGGGGACTCGGAGGTGCGCGTCCGGCGCCGACGACGGTGGCGTACTCGGGCGGGAAGGGCGTTCGGACTGCGTGGGCTGGGAGACGGAGGCGAGGCGCCTGAAAGGACCGGTCCTCGCTTGCTGAGGAGGATACGTCGTCTCGGACGTCTGCGTGCGAGATCGGGAGGATGGGCGGCTTGGTGTCGCTCCCGGCGTGTTGCTGCTGAGGAAAGGAAGAGCCGCGAAAGAGGCTCGTCCCCCAGCTCCTCAGGGCCGAGTAGGCCGGAGGATTGGGGGACGTAGGAGTTTGTGGGTTGTTGGCGGGGTACTGAGAACCGTGGTGAACGGAAGAAGCCGAAGACGAGGCGTCGTGACCGGAGGCGGGCTTGGTGGGCTGGAACGAGTGCAAGTGAACGCCATCGAACGCGCCGTCGTGCGTCGCACCAGGCGCATGCAGAATCGAGTCGTTGTCGTTCCCACCCGCGGCGCCAGGACTGGGCGGCCGCGAAAAGTTCGGAACGGGTTGGTAGCGGTGTTGCGAGCCCGAGCCGTCGTCGACGAACGAGAGGTTCGGGAAGTACTGCGACCAGGCGCTGGTGGAGTGCGTGCCGTCGGGCGTGCGCGAGCCGGGCGAGCGGTCGGTCGAGGGGAAGAGCCAGACCGGCATGTAGAAGAGCCCGCCGGGCTTGTCGCCCGAGGTCGAGGCGGACGGGCCGTCTTCGCTGCGTCGGAATTGATTCGACGGCGTGCCGCTCCTCAATCCGAAGGGCGAGCCGGGTCGACTGCCTGGCGTGCCGCGGCGAGCGAACGGGAGCGCCTCGTACGGGAGGGCGATCGGGCCAATCTGGCGCGGCGTCGCCTTGAACGGCGAGCGCCTGAACCAGAGCAGGCGCGCGACGCCGAGTACGACGACCGCGAGTCCGGCGTATATGAGCGCCATGCCAAATTTGCCGAGGAAGGTGATGAACCCAGCGTCGTCGGCGTGCCAGGACGACCCGTAGTAGTGATCAAAGTACGAGTCTTCCATCTCGGTCGCGGGCGCATTCTTGCCGTACCACCGGCGTGGGAGGACGCGCACTTGGCGCTCGACACCGTCGGGCGTGTCTTTGGGCCACATGCCGTACACCGCGGAAAGGAACATGGGTCCCGTCGAGAACATGACGGTCGGGTAGTTGGTGCCGTAGGTGTGGTCGAACGTGATGAGGTTGTGAATGACGAGGTCCATGAACGGGTGTGCCGGCTCGGCGAACATCAAGTCGTTCGAGACGCCGACGGGAATCGTCTGCGGGAGGATGACGCGGAAGTATCGCAGCGGGTCGAGGTTGCGCCGGCACCCGATGTCGAGGTCCATGTAGATGCCGCCGAACTTGTGCAGGACGAAATAGCGGATCACATCGGCGCGCTGGATCGGGTACGTGTAGCCGTCGAAGGTCGAGAGGAACCAGGGGTAGTGCTCGGCGATGAAGGCGCGCGAGGCCGCGTCCGACCACAGTCGGAATTCGCTGCGCGTGTAGGTCGTCAGCGCCGAGTGGATGTGAAGAAGCAAGATCTTGGAACGCACTAGTCGGGGTGCAGGTCGATGCAGCCCTGGCGGACCTTCTCCCACCGCTCGGGGAGGATGTCGGTCTTCCACGTCGCGTGGATAATTTTGGGTATCCGCGGCTGCGGCAAGTCGTCGCGTCCTCCCTCTCCCGCCGCCGCGACTGCCGCCAACGTCGAGTTGTCGGCGAGCCATCCGCGCTCCTCCAGCCGCTGCAACAGGTCCTTCACCGACTCGTCCCTCGATGCGTCCGTCTCAACTAGCACGCCAGCAGGCTCAGCAGTCGCCTCGTCCGCGGGGGGGACGACGACATGCTGTTTGCCCGCGTCCGGCGCCTTGGCGGCCTCGTTCGCGAGCTTTTCGACGAGCGCCATCTCGTGCTCCTGGATGACATCCCTCGCGTCGACGCCAAAGTACTGCACGACGGTGCTGAGGACGATGGCGGTGCCTGCGAGGATGAGGGCGATGAGGATCACCAGGACGGTGATTGCCTGCGCGAGCGGGTGTCGGTCAGCGCGGCATCGCGAGTAACAGTGCGTGAGAGCCGCGTGCTCACCCTCTTGACCGACATGGCTGGGCGAGACGAGGCGGGGGTCGACGAGGGGACCGCGCTTCGGTGGGGGCGAGTCGGGCGGGTGACAAGTTGCGCTGGCGGTGAGGCTGGGCCCTCGAGGGGGATGTGAGGGCGTGTTGCGGTTCTAGTGCGAGTCCAGCGTGTCTATCTGCGTGGGATCGGGGGTTTCGAGGGTGTGGTGCGGAGGTTGTTGGCGCGAGCGAGCGAGCGAGACGAGCAAGAGTCGCGCGCGCTCCGTTCGAGTTGGCTGTTGGTCGAGTGTGTGTGTAGCAGCAGTCACTCGAGTGCAAGCTGCTGTCTGACCAGCCAGGTGAGCCAGAGAGGGCGAGGCGGACACCGGCAACAGCACCTCGCTGCTCGCAGGCACGCCGCGCGACTTCGCCAAATTCCAACCACAACTCCTCCGTCCGCACAGCCGTCCTCACTACCAGCTGATTACAAGCTTGCACAATACAGCTCAGTCGAGTACCGCCGGCGTCGTCCAATCGCCAGCGCGCCTGCTCTCCTCGCTCGCCTCCGTCGTGGACCCTTCGCACCGTGACGCTTCTCTCGACAATCGCAGTCTCTGTCCTCCGCGGCGCTGCTCCTTCCTGCGCTTGTCACTGCTGCGCGAGTGCCCAACGTCAGCAACGAAGCGAGAAGTGCGCCTCCGTGCCCCGTGTCGGATGCGACGGGGCTTGCTTCGACGCGAGGAGGTGACGACGGTCTGCTGCGACGCTCAACGAGATGAGAGAGCGAGTTGCAATGATGCGGAGGCAATAGGTTACACCGGTCTATCTATATTCAGCAATACGAGCGAGAGTAACTTAGAGAGTACACAGACGGAGACAGACGCCTCAGTCCTCTGTATTGGCAAACTTGCTCCCTCGCCTGTACTTGTGGCCCAACTTGAAGAAAAGGAAGGGGAAGGGGACCATCGCGAGGCAGAGGAAGGCTGTGAGCATGAGGGCGTACTGGGCGCCTGCGAGCCGAGCGAGCGGGTTAGTTTTGCGGAAGAGGAGGAGGAGGATGGCAGGGGGACGAACCGAGACGGTGGAACATTTGGATCGTGAAGAGTGGGAAGGCTGCGCGAAGCGATTGGGGCGGAGGGTGTCAGTGGGAGGATGGAGAGGTAGGGAAGGCGAATGTGCGTACCGGCTGCGAACGAGCTTCGCATAGCCGAGTTGGCTGCCATGGCGCTTGCCGCAACGGGTCGGAAGGCGTCGACGAGGTCTGCATGTGTCGAGACGGCGAGAGTCAGCAAGGGCGGAGGGAAGGAAGGAGGAAAGGGCGAAAAGGGACGCACAGACGAAGACGGCTTGGAAGGACCACACGAGTCCGACGCCGAATGGGACGGTCGCAATCTGTTTCGAGGGCGATGTAGCGACGAGAGGGGGGACGCAGAGGTGTTCAATGGGCGAGATGGAAGGTTGCGAAGGTCAGCACTCCCCTCTGCTCCCTTTCTACAGCCAGGAGCGAAAAGCGCAACGCACCAACGACACAATCCAATGGACGCTCGTATACGTCGTGAACGCGAACCAGAAGAGTGAGACGGGGACGAGGCAGACGCCCCAGAGGCCTTTGCGGAGGTGTTCCTCGGGAGGAGGGCGGCGGCCTAGTTGGGTTGCTTTGAGGCGGTAGTAGCTTCATAGAATAGGAGACGTCAGCTCGTGTAGCGGAGGGAGAGGAGAAGGCAGAGATGGGTGGGATGAGGAGAAAGAAAGAGGGGGAGGAGAGAGTGAGGAGGACGCACCGAGCCCAGATTGGGTGACACAGCGCACCAGCGACGATGCCGATACCGATTGGGATGTATGTCAGACCAACAATCTGCATCTTGCTGTTCAAGCGAAGCGGGAGCATCAGCGCAGTCCCGTACGCTGGAGGGAGGGGGAGGAAAAGGCGAAAGGACGTACAAGCCGTAACCTTCTGCTCCGTAAACAATATTGAATGCTGAGAAAAACATATAGAGAATGCCGAGAAGCAGTGCCGTCCATGTGCACAGCGCCAGAGCCATTGGTTCCGTCGCGAGGATCTCTGCCAGCCGCGAGCGTCAGCAAACTCCCCCTCCAGCTCAGTGAGGACGTCCGCTGACGCACGGAAAGGCTTATAGCACGACACCATGATGACCGTCGCGATACTCCGCTCGTCGACTTCGACTGGTGCGCGGACGTCCGTCCGACCTGCTTTGCGCAGACGTTGCGCCTTCTTCTTGAGGATCGCTTGGAGGTAGGTTTCGGGGACAAAGACGAGCAGGGCGACGAACTCGACTGCTGACCAGCTGCAGCGACATCGGGAGTGTCAGCTTGGAGAACTGGTAAGAGGGGAGAGGACGAACGCACATGAGGAGGATGTACCACGTCCATCGCCAGTCGAGGTTCTGGTTGATGAAGCCGGAGATGATTGGTCCAGCGACGGGTCCGACTACGCGACGGGAAGTCAGTATCTCGCGGCACGACCAGGAGTTGCGGAGGAAAACGCACGGAAGGGACCCGCCGTATAAGCGCTCATCGGCGCGCCGGTCTCCTGCGGCCTGAACAAATCCGCCACCGTCCCTCCTGCGACCGAGAGGAACGACGAGGCGAAGGCGCCGGAGAGGAAGCGGCAGATGAGGAGCGTCGCAATGTTGTTTGCGAAGGCGACACCGAAGTTGAAGGCGATGTAGACGGCGAAACCGACGAAGTAGACGGGTGAGCGGCCGTACCTGCGAGAGGGGGCATGTCAGCGGGAGAAGAGCGAGCGAGAAGGCGAACCGGGTCGCTCACCACTCGGACAGCGGTCCAACAAGCAGAGGGAAGATACCCATGCCCAGGACGAAGAGCGACAAGCCAAGTGTCGCGACCTCAGCGCTGACATGAAACTCGCGCTCGACGCCGGGATAGGTGAAGGCGATCATGGACGAGCAGCAGGTGATGCAGAATGCACCGGAGGTGACGATGGATACGATGAGCCATTTGCGGGCTTTCGAGAAATTGAGGGGTCTGCGAGGGGAGCATAGGTCAGCGGGACCCAAGAACCGGTAGGAAGACTGTAGACTCACGATAGAGGGTCGTCGGGTCCTCGCAACCGCACAATGGGCACGCCGTTCTCAATCGCGACGCCGTCCTCGTCTCGCTCCTGCGGCGTAGCAGTCCCATTCGCCGTTCCCGCAGCCTCCTTGCCCTCAGACGGCAGCACATCTCGTCTGCCAGAAGCCTCCTTGCCGCCTTGCTTCTCAACGTCCTCCAATGTGGGCCCCGGTGCGCCAGCTTCGCCTCGTGCAGTATCCTTCTCCTTCTCTCGTGACCCAGACGCTTCGATGCGGGTCGCGGTACTGCTGGACCGGGACGATGAGCGCGACATCATCGCGAGGCGGGTGAGCCGAGCGGCGAAAGCGGCGGTCGCGGAAGTCGATGCAAGCGAAGCGGTGGAGCAGAAAGGGGAGAACAGTAGCGGGAGGATGTCGTGCGCGAGGTGCGGAGGCTGACAAGCGCTGACTGAGCGCAGGGGACAGTCAAGCGGTATTTTCCCTCGGCGGAGAAGTGGAGGCACCGTCCGCCCAAGTTTGGTGGTGGGTCGCAGCTAGACGACTCGTGGGACGGCCGTGGAGAGGTCAGCAGCGAGAGGAGCAGCAGGACCCGAGCCAGAGTGGAGGAGGAGCGAGGAAGAAGGAAGGTTGGGAGGAACAGGCGGCGGTTCTGTCGCAAATGTCAACCTCGCAGGGCTGGCTTCTGGTCGTACTGCGATGCTGCACGTCGTGCGAGATGACAAGCTGCGGGAATGGGGCGGGAGAAAGAGTCAAAGGGTCGAGGAAAGACGAGGGGCGCTTCGAAGCGACGTTGGCGCCGCTCGACTCGGTCTGCATGGGCCAAAATGGGTCAGACACCCTCCCAACGTCCTCCTGGGGGTTTCCCGCCCCAGACTCCGCCCGAAACGACGCTGGGAGGCAAGAAAAGCGGCGTCGACGGTTCGCGAGTGATGAGGATGGCAACTCGGTGAGGAGGGAGCGCCGCGAGCTGTGAGCGGTACGAGGCGGTAGCTGCGAGTGTAGCGAGTGCCACAGCCTGTTCAAACCCGTCTCGAAGTGCAGTAGAACGCGAGGAAAAATGAGCTGTTCGAGGTTGACATCGCGGTCTCAGTCGCTTTGACCTCTCTCCCTCCCCCCCCTCACTCGCTCACACGCACGCCATGGCCAGCAGCGACGACGACACGCAGAAGAGCAGAGTCTTCAAAGGAGTGTACGCGTACGTGCACGGCGAGTTCGCAGGCCTCACTCGCCGCCGGGTGGGTCGAATGGTCGAGGAGGGAGGAGGCAGGGTCATCGACAAGCTCGACAACCCCAAGATCACGCACATGATCCTCTCGCCACAGCTCTGGTGCGTGGCGCTGTCCAGTCGGGGGCGATTTGAGGGATGAGGGAGGAGGACTGACTCCCGCTCGCCTCCTTGGAATCCCGTAGGTCGCGTCAAGGTACCACTTGGGCCGACCTCACGGTTCGCCAGACGATCAGGGCAAACGAGGAGAACAGGACGGAGGAGGACGAGGACTACAACGTGCGTTTTGACGCTTACTTCGCTTCGACTTCCGCACGCTGACCTCGTTCGTCTCTCGCTACAGCGCGTCTGGCTGCTCCCTCTCGAGTGGCTCACCGAGTCGCTCGCCCAGAAGAAGCGTCTCGACGAGCGCAAGTACGACTACGAGCGTACGAAGGACCAACAGCGTGCCGAGCGGGCTGCTCAGCTGCGCGAGGGTGCGCCCGTCTACCTCTCCTTCTCTTCGCGCTCTCTCTGACGACTCCTTGGGCAACAGAAAACAAGAAGTACGGTGGCAAGAGTCGCTTCGGACGCGGCGAACGCCAGAAGTACGAGAGGGAGAAGGCCGTCGCTGCGGAACTCGCGGCGCAGAAGAAGATCGAGGCCGAGGGCATCAAGCTCGACGACCAAGCGTTCTCGGGCCTTTCGGTAGTCGCCAACAAGGGTGCGTTGAGCGAATTAGTCGTTTCTCGTCGCCTCGCTGATCTCGACTTTACAATCCGCAGCCGGTCCCTCCTCGTCTGCCGCCGCCGCGCCTCTCGCTGCCGTTCCTGCTCCAGCCGTCCCAGAGATCCCTACGGCGCCTTCAGCCGCAGGCGGTCTCTCCTCCGACTTGATCAAGCAGTCGCTCCAGGCGCAGCAGGACGCGAAATACCAGAAGCCTGTTCCTCCGCCCAAGCCGAAGACCCCTGCGGAACTCGGCAAGGTCGCTGACCAAGATGGGTCCATTAAGGCGGCTGAGAAGGAGGAGAAGCGCGCCAAGATGCTTCAGGCTGCTGAGAGAAGGGAGCCGAAGAAGTGTGAGTTCTGCTTTGACACCTTCGCCTTGCTTCCGCACAGGCTTGAGAGAGCCTTTGGCTGACTTCTCGAGCCTCGGTTTGCAGTCAAACCTCTGAAGAAGCCGTCCATCGAGAAGAAGCCTTCGCCGCCCGTCAAGTCGACTGCGTCTACCGCCGCCTCGTCGCCGAACAATGCTGCACCGGCAGGCTCGCTCAAGCCGGCCATTGGGACGCTCAAACCCAAGCAGCCCAAGCCCAGCGCATGGGGTGGCGGCGTCTCGCGTCCTCTCCCGAAGCACGTCTCGCTTCCTCCCTTCGGTCCCGCTCCGTCGACCAACTCGTCCGCCTCCGCTTCCACGTCGACGTCGACCAGCCAGACGGGCCAGAAGCGCGACTTCGGCGGCCTCGAGTTGAGCGACAGCGAGGACGAGCCGCTGTCTCAGCAGGTCGCGAAGAAGAGGAAGCTCTCCTCCGTCGCGCCTTCGTCCGACACCGGCTCGTCCTTCAAGAGCAAGAACATGCCCAGCTCCGAGATTGACATGCTCGACAGCGACCCGTGAACGCTCGTTCGTCGCTCGCATCGCTTGATTCCTCCTCTCGCATCCTCGCTTGTTTCCCTTCCCTCGAATCTTAGCATCTCCCGCCGTAGCAGTACCGTTTGTCGCTTGTAGAAACATCGCTTTGCGTCGCTTGACACCGTTCCCTCGCCGCGCAGAGCAGGAGCCAGAGCGAGTTTGGGAAGGTCAGGATCTGTTTCTCCTCGTTGTCGAGCCTCCTCCAGTCCCGCCATAGCTTTCTCGAAGAGCTGGAGTGCATCTCGGATCACTTCTGGACCAGCCCCATCGCTACGCCCCTCCCGGATCAAGCATGACCTCCCTCATCTCCCTTTTCCATCCTCGCAGGTCCCCACCTCCAGCCCTTCTCCCTCCCGTCCTTCTCGCTGTTCGAGGGTGTTTTCGTCGCGTGAGGTGCATCGTGAGCTGAGTGGAAGGTCGAGGTCGTGCCGCTCGACGAGGGAGGAGAGGAAGACGGAGGGAAAGAGGTGGGAGAGGTCGAGGAGGCGGTCGAGGCGGGCCCTGTGGAGGAATAACGGTCAGCAAGCTCACAGGGGTTTACCCTCTCCAGGATACATGGCTCGTCGCGAGAGGGACGGCGTGAGAGGGCTGCTCACCCGCTCCTCCTCCCGACGTCAACTTAGCGTCGGACCTGCCCGCCATGGCTTGCTGGAAGGTGCGTGTCTGGGCTGCGGCAATTGGAGAGTCAGTCGCCACCCGAGGTCGACGACAGCTGCTCGACGCAGGGCGAGCGAGCTGCGAGGCAAGCGACGACTGACGCACCGGAGTGAGCTGCTGCGTCGCCGGAGTGGACGCGAGAGTCGTGCTGCGACATTGCTGCTTGAGTACAGGGCGAGAAATAAGCCGCGAGCCGGGAGAGGCGAAGCGAAGTGAAGTGGAGGAGGAGGAAAGAGGGAGACAGAGTCGCTGGAGAGTGGACCGTCGCGAGTCGACGTCCGGAAGGTGATATGACGGCAGCAACAGCTAGCACAAAGTGTGCAGTGGACTCCAGAAAGCTAGGAACGGCCGGCAAAGAATCTGGAAGAGACGAAGCGCCCCTCCCATCCCGCAAGCCAGCGAAAAGTCGTCCCGCGAGCGACCGCGAGCAATCCGACTCCTGTGGTGTCCTTGCAGACTCAGCCTACCTCCCTCACGCCTCGGGCTCGCTGCCCGTCCTGCCCAGTCCGCCGCCTCCAGGAGGACCTCCCGGCACAGGCGGAAGCGGCGGCTGCGACCCCCCAAATCCACCTGCGAATGGGTCGCCTCCTCCACTCCCTCTTCGCTTCCGTCGCTCCTCCAGCTGCGCCGAGACGGAGCCAAGACTCTCCCACATCCGCCCGAGCAGTCTGAACGCGCTTCCGTCCGTCAACCGCGTTGTGACTGTGTCGAGCATCTGGGCTTGTGTGCCGTCGGTGAAGGTTTGTGGGAGTCGTGCGAGATTGCGTAGGCCGGGAGAGTAGATACGAACGATGTGGGCGTGGAATCGTTGGAGGGTATTGGAGAATGCGTCGGAGAGGGAGACGAGGCGTTCCGACCTGCGTGCCAAGGACAACAAGGGCGAACGCACCGGTGAGTCGTCAGCTGTTAGTCCGAGAACATGGCGGGAGCAAAGGCAACTCACCCTTCCGGCTCGAAGCCCATTGCTCGCCGCAGCATGTTCTCCTCCCGCTTGCCCGGCAGCATCTGCTCCGCCTCCGCCTTGGCGGTCCGCTCTTCTATCCGTCGAATCGTGCCCCATGCGCCTAATCGCTCCTCGTCCGCACCCGGCATCAGCTTCCGCTTGACCTTGCCATGCAGAGGCCCCTTCTCCTCGACCAGCTCGTCCGCCATGTCGCCCTTGTCCGGCCTCGTCGATCCTGTCATCTCGAGCATGTGTCGAGCGATCATCTCGCGACCTCGCGCAATGTACAGATACCGTCCATCGAGCCATCGCCAGCGATAGTCCGGCACTTCTTGATCGCCCGCAACGACCTTGACCCGCTTCTCGCGTTTCGATGGGTCCTGGCCGACCTCGTTTGCCGCAGGTGAACCAGGCGCGGCGTCTCGGGCGAGGAAGGCGGCGGGATGGCCGGGGACGGGGATGAGGTCGGCGAGGGCGTTCCGCATGTTGATGTAGCAGTACATGGTCGCCTGCGCTTCGCGGCCTAGGGCTCTGTGTGCAGGAAGAGTGTCAGCAACGTCGACAGGACACGACGATGAGCAGTGCGCACCTTCGAGCGTTCGTCTGGCGGGAGAATGTCCAGCATTGCTCGTCGACCTTCTCCGCGCTAGGTCGCGGGGATCGCACGACAGGCTTAGGGCCTGGTGGAGTGGCATTACGCAGGATCGAGTCGAGGTCGATGGGTGGAGCGGCGCCTGGAGGCATAGGAGGGAGACCCGAGTTCTGAGCGGTGGGCGGAGCTGGCGGGTCATTCGACAATGCAGGACGAGTCTCTGAGGTGTCTGAAGCCATTCTCAAGCGAGTCTAGCAGCAGCGAGCGTGTGGCAGCCGACGAACCTTCGCCCCCTCGAGGTTGGCAGAGGTCAGTCACACAGACACGATCTGTGCGCGTTTGGACAGCTTGAACAGCTTGCTACGAGTGCTTGAACGCTGCTTGACGAGTCTCAGCTCCACCCATCATGTCCTTCGTGTGGGTTCTCCTCCCTCGCCCCGCTTCCGACTGATGAGGACGCAGGCAGTCTCGCTGACCATCTTGACCGGTGCAGTGTGACTGAGCCGATCACGGAGGGACTCGTGGTGCTGCACACGAGCTTGGGAGACATCCTTATCGAGCTGTGGAGGCGCGAGTGTCCAAAGGCTGTCCGCAAGTACGTCTCTCGGCTGTATTGGCTGTCCTGTTCGTGTGCTGACAAGTTTGATCACTCAGCTTCGTGCAGCTGTGCCTAGAAGGTGCGCCCGAAACCCCCTAGCTATTCGCGATGTGTCTACGCTGACCTCGTTTCCTCCAGGCCATTACGACGGCGTCCCCTTCCACCGCATCGTGCCGGGCTTCATCGCGCAGACGGGAGGTTCGGACGAGTGTATCTACGATGAAGGAAACTTTGGGATCGAGACGAACCAGGTTAGGCGCCCCAATCTGCGTTGCGCTTCTCCCCCTCGCTGATCCGTCACTTTCCGCAGCGTCTCAAGTTCAACCGGCGAGGTTTAGTCGCCATGGCTGCTGATCCGACGACGAAGAGCAACATGTCGCAGTGAGTGGCGACGCTTTCTCCGACTTGAGCCACGAAGCTAACTCACCATTTCCGCAGGTTTTTCTTCACCCTCGACGCAGCGCCCGAGTTGCAGAACAAGCACACTCTTTTCGGCCGGGTCGCCGGCGACAGTCTCTTCAACCTCCTCAAGCTGCAAGAAGTCGAGCTCGAACCTGGAACCGACAAGCCCGTTTTTCCGCCGACGATCAAGCGTGCCGAGGTTCGCGTTGACCCGTTCGAGGACGGTCCGGATCCGATCAGGCCGAGGATTACGGCGGAGGAGAGGCGCGAGCAGGAGAAGGCAAAGAAGGAGATGATGGCGGAGCGGGCAAGGGAGAAGAAGCAGGGCAAGAGGAAGGGGACAAAGTGCGTTGTCCTCGCCCTTTCCGATGATTCACCTCCAGTTGCTCACGCGCACGGATCCAGGAACAAGGCGCTCCTCTCGTTCGGCGCGGACGCAGAAGAGCCGGAAGACGCCTCGCTCCCGAAGACCAAGATCAAGTCTGCCCACGACGTCCTGCACGACTCTCGCCTCAGCAGCCAAGTCGTCGACGACCGAGGCTTGTCGGCAACTCTTCCTCCGGAGCTTATGGGAGGACCGCCTGTGCCGGATCGGGAGGACAAGGGGAAGCGGAGACGAACGGAGGACGACTCGGAGCGGCTGCGAGCCGAGGTGCGTCGCTTCAATCACTACTGTTACATATCGCATTTACTGAACAGCTCAGTTGAGGAACGGCAGAAGCGCGGGCGGGCCGAAGCGGAGCCATCGGGGTCGGCAAAGCTCGACGAGGCCCGCAAGCTCAAGGAGAAGGCGCCGAAGAGCGAGGCGTGCGTTCGCTTGCCTTCAATTCGCTTGGCATGCGACTGAAACACTGTCTCCTGCAGCGAACGCCGGAAGGAGGAGATCGCAAAGGTGCAAGCGGAGTTGAAGTAAGTTTCCGAGCGCACGTTGCGTTGCGACTGCTGCTCAGCCTTTCTCCTGCAGGAAAATGACCGGCAAAGTCGGTTCGGACGACGAGGACGCGGGCAAAGCGAAGAAGGCGAAGCGCAGCGGACCCTCGCTCCTCCAGCTCGAGCGGGAGAAGTACATGCGCGGCGGAGTGAAGTCGACGGGCAAGGGCAAGAAGCGCGCGAACGACGAGGATGACGTGCTCGACGCGCTTGAAGGGTTCAGGAGCAAGCTCTTCCAGGCGGCGAAGACGGCGCCCAAGGACGAGGAGGAAGAGGAGGACAAGCCGGAGAAGTTGCATGGCATCGACTTGAACGACGACGAGCTTGAAGAAGATGTGCGTCATCTATGCTTCTCCTTCTCCTCAGCTACTGAGCTGACTTGGCTGTTTGACAGACCGAGGGCTGGATGACGCACTCGCTCAAGTTCCGCAAGGACGCGACGCAGGACCTCCACGCGCTCGACGAGTACGCCGTCGTCGATCCGCTCGCCAAGAACTCGATGACGCTCGACGAGATGAAGAATAAGGCGACCAACCGAGGCGCGAGGCGGTATGCTGGCGAAGAGCGGGAGGAGCGTCGCGGAGGAGGAGGGGCGAGCGGGAGTGGCAGCGGCAGCCGGTACGAGGGAGGCAGGGACAGGAACCGCGGCGATCGGTATGGAGGAGGCGGGCGCGACCGTGACGACCGGTACGGCGGACGGGATGAGCGGGATCGGAACAGGCCCGAGGTGCGAGGCGACTGGAAGCAGGCTCGCGTGTCTACCACCGACCTCGCCTGATGTGATACATCCTTTCATCCACGTCTCTCACGCGTCAGACTCCGGACTGCGGACCGGAGCGCTCGATGCGGGTTGCGAGCTGCGAAATGCGAGATACGTGATGCAGTGTATCGTCTATCTCCTCCGTTCGTTACCGCCTCTTCGACATCAAGAAGTCGTTGACTCTGTTGAGCGCTGCACGAGACGGATTGACCGTCGGGAAAGCCTCGAGGATCCACTGAAGACGAGTGCGGATAAGGTCTTTCGTGATTGGCGGTGTCGGCGTGTTGAGCTGCCGCAGGCCGCCCTCGTCGTCGTAGAGGCGCGCTGCCGAGAGACCCTCAGTGACATTTCGATCACATGGACGGGGAAGAGACTTACCGAGCAGAATTAGCGACATGGCCACGCCCAAATCGTTCGCCTCGCTTTGCGCCTCTCCCTTTTCCACCAAAATGCATACGCCTCGACCATCTCGAAGCGCCGTTGAGGCGTTGCTGAGAACCGGCTCGAGGTAGTCGGGCGCAAAGAAAGAGTTGTAGCCGGCCTTGCCTGGCTTCGCGCAGAGGTGACAAGGTTGTGTCGAGTCGGCGGTAGGTGAGGGCGTCTTGGAGGTCGAGATGGAGATGGCAAACAGGTCAGAGGGTGCCGGCGCGTTTGAGGGCACGGCGAAGCGTAAGTAAAGACCGGTTTGGCGGATGCGAGTAGGCGAGGAGGCGGATGAGGCGGTAGGAGCGTCTTCCTCCGCAAGTATCTGCTCTATCACCTGATCGATCTCTTCGCGAGGTACTGCAAGGATCTCGTCTGCGTGTCGCCAGAAGACGGATGGGGTCAGGCCCCGGGACCAAGCCTCATGGCTGTCAAGCGAGGTCAGCTTAACGACAACGACCAGTAAACTATCGTACGCACTCGTCGCCACTCCCTTGTACGTATGTGAAGCCCTCCGCCCGCTCCAAACCGTCCGCTTCCTCAGCCAGCTTGCTCGCACTCGCGCAAATGACTGGATAGCACGTCTCGAACGAGGACGCGGGACTGTGCGAGAGGGTCGACGTGGGGGAGACGAAGAAGGGTCGGAGTGGCCGGTCGAGTGCTTTGAGAGATGAGAGGTCGTAGGCGGAAGACTGTGAAGCGGACTGTGAGCGCAAGCGTCGGGCGTGAAGGTAGGTTAGACGACGCACGGCCAGCTCCTTCGCCCACTTGTCGACCTTCGCCTCAATCTGCGCATGCTCTGAGCGGCCGACAGCCTGAGGCGATGTGTAGAGCCTGCCCTGCTCCTTCCAAATCTCAAGCGAGACGGAGGAGTTGTCGGTCGCGGGTGGCAGGACGAGCTGGCGGGCACGGTTCAGCGTCGCGCACCATAGAGGGATTGTCTTCGACAGGGCGTCGGGTAACCTCTGTGAAAAGGCAGGCGTGAGCGGACTTTGGCATGGAGCGGCATGGGGACTGTACCTTGCCTCGCCGAGTCGAGTCGACCAGGACGATGCTGTGAAAGCAAGGGGTCAATGTCGGGCTAGATTGACGACGGCGGACATCTCATTATGTACCCGCCTCGCTCCTTGATCAGCGGGAGCAGTGCAAGGTTCGCTCCTACCCACCAACTCATGTCAGCGGGAGATGAGGCATTATCATCGCAATTGGGCAGATCTTACGGCGCAGATTGAAGTTGTGCTCCCCTGCGTGTCCGTCTGTCGATCTGTCGGTCCAAGATGGTCCAAGATTAGCGCTCTGTCGCGGTGGAGGAGGTGGGTGTACTGACTTGAAGTAGGCGTGCGCTTCTTCGGGCGAAGGCTTGACGTACCAGGCGCCCGCCCGCTGGTTCGCTGCGAGTCAGTTGTGAGCTATGGAATTTACTGATGGATGGCGGAAGTCTACAACGCACCGACAAGCGGAAAGTCGGGATAAGCTGCCGCGACCTCCGAGTGTACCCAAGCGGCATCATGCGCAAGCGAGTGCAGGCGGTTGTAGCTGATAGAACAGGGCTTCAGCAAGAGCACCCGCGACCGTGCGAGCGCCAGGCGCTTACGTGTCTCGAAGTTGACCTCGGATTGCGCCTCGATCAGCCTGAAGTGATTCCACAGCGTGCGGGAACACCAGTTGCGGTGCGGTCAGATTGGACGCCATAGAACTCGGTGTGGAGCACTCTCGCAATGCGAGCGATACGAGCGAGGACCAGCGGATGTAGGGGGAGGAGGCCAAGATGGCGGAGGACTGGTTGGACCTCGACAGCAACCTCACCTCGGCGAGAGCGACTTGGTCAAAGACTGCCGCCGTGGATCGTTACCCCTGCAACCCGCCGCACGTCTCAGAGACACCGCAGAACCCGTGCTTCACCATCTTTGCGTCTTCATCAATTCCGCGAGGAAGCGGGAGGAGAACTGCGAACCACGAATTGGAGCGCGACTGGCGATCAGTCGGATCGTCTCAAACGGTTTCAAAAGCGGCACCGAGAGCTCTGCTTTGCATTCTTGAGGGGCAGGGCAGCGAGAGCCTGTTCGCCGACCGCCCTTCGTCTCCGTCCTCCCGCTTCGCTCTCGACAAACAGCTCAGACGGGCTGCGATGGGCCAGCAGGCGACGCCCGAGGAGCTATACACACGCTCAGAGATCTCCAAGATCAAGCAAGTCGAGCCAGCTCTTCTCCTCACCACCCCACAACATACCCCGCAGCCCACGACAGCCCTCCCACAGCACCTGCAGCCTGCTGACCAGCTCGAGAACACCCACAGATTCGCACCCTTTGGCGTCCCGCGGTCGCGCCGGCTGCAGACCTTCTCCGTCTTTGCCTGGACGACGGCACTGCCCATCCTACTCGGCGTCTTCTTCCTCCTCTGGTGCGTCAGGCTTGGCGTGATCTGAGAGTAGCGGGCGGATCATCTGACCTGCTTCTTCGCTGCAGCTCGTTCCCACCGCTCTGGCCGGCTGTCATTGCCTACCTCACCTGGGTCTTTTTCATTGACCAGGCGCCGATTCACGGTGGACGGGCGCAGTCTTGGCTGCGGAAGAGTCGGATATGGGTCTGGTTTGCAGGATACTATCCCGTCAGGTGCGTCCTCTTTCCAAGCCTGCGTCTCGAGGCCTCGCTCACGGCCAACTCGCCCGACCGGCTACCTCCGAACTTTCCGTCAACAGCTTGATCAAGGTCAGTCTGCGCGTCTCTCGACTTCAGTGCTCTGTGGAGGAGCTGCGCCATTGGGCCCGACCTGCGGAGGGCCTCAAAGGACGATGCCGCTGACTTCCTTTCCTCCGACAGAGCGCCGACTTGCCGCCTGACCGGAAGTACGTCTTTGGCTACCACCCGCACGGCGTCATAGGCATGGGCGCCATCGCCAACTTCGCGACCGACGCAACCGGCTTCTCGACACTCTTCCCCGGCTTGAACCCTCACCTCCTCACCCTCCAAAGCAACTTCAAGCTCCCGCTCTACCGCGAGTTGCTGCTCGCTCTCGGCATATGCTCCGTCTCGATGAAGAGCTGTCAGAACATTCTGCGGCAAGGTGAGCGGTATGCGCAAGACGGGCGGTCAAGCGTGAACGCAGTGAACGAGAAGAGCTGACCTTCCGCCTTACTCCATCCGTGCAGGTCCTGGCTCGGCTCTCACTATCGTCGTCGGTGGCGCCGCCGAGAGCTTGAGTGCGCATCCCGGAACCGCCGATCTTACGCTCAAGCGACGAAAAGGCTTCATCAAACTCGCGATCCGGCAAGGCGCCGACCTTGTGCCCGTCTTTTCGTTCGGCGAGAACGACGTGCGCACGCTCTCCGAGTCTCTAAACCGGAAGCGAATGCTGACCGCTGCCCAATTCTCTCTCCAGATCTTTGGCCAGCTGCGAAACGAGCGAGGAACGCGGCTGTACAAGTTGCAGAAGCGTTTCCAAGGCGTGTTTGGCTTCACCCTCCGTACGTCTCACCGCGCCGTCTTGCCGAACTGCTCGTTCAGTCGCTCACGCAGCTTTCACTCGCGCAGCTCTCTTCTACGGCCGGGGACTCTTCAACTGTGCGCTCGAGTTCACCGCTTCGCCAACAGCGAGGAATGCCTCCGAGTACAGCCCAGCTGACGCCCCATCTCTTCTCATAGACAACGTCGGATTGATGCCGTATCGCCATCCGATCGTCTCTGTCGGTGTGTACCCGCTCTGTCGCTCCTACCTGCGTTCCTTAGGCTGACACCACTCGCGTCAAACAGTCGGTCGACCAATCTCGGTAGAGCAGAAGGACCACCCGACCACGGCGGACCTCGAAGAAGTTCAGGCGCGGTATATCGCAGAACTCAAGCGGTACGTTCCAAGTCGTCTGCCTCCGCTTGCCGCCTCAAATAAGCTGAGGCGTGCTGACCGTATCTGCCGAACCGTACAGCATCTGGGAAGAATACAAGGACGCCTACGCCAAAAGTCGCACGCGGGAGCTCAATATTATCGCCTGACCTCCTCGCAACGGACGCTCCTCGCCGGCCAAAAGACCCTCCATTGCCTGTATTCTCTCGTGTGTGTGTGACATCCCTAGCCGTCGTTGTCGATTCCCCTCGCTGTTCCCCTGCTCGATATCCGTTCTCTGTAGCTTGCCTTCCGCTTTGCACCATGCCCCCGTTCAACACGTCCGCGGTCTCGCTGCTGTTGCTCGCGCTTGCTCTGCCCTCGTTCGAGTGTCTTCTTCGCTGTCCGTCCTCGCTCCTTCGCTGAGTCAGTCGCGGCACCACGCGGCTTCCCTCCTCCTCGCCGAAGCTCTTCCCTCGTCCACACTCTTGCTGCTGGCTTGTGCTGTCTGTGGTCAGTCGCTCGACGGTGCTTCTTTCTGCTGAGCGGTCATGACGGCGTCCAGCCCTAACAAGCTGGTGCGATTCAACCCGGACGAGGCGAAGGAGGTCGAGGAGCTGAAGCGGCAACGAGTCGTGCGTACGAGTCCGACTCCCTCGATAACAGTAGAGCTGATCGTCTTGCACAGCTGTGCGGCTGGAATCTGGACAAGGTCGAGGTCTGGCGCGAGCAGTGTCGAAGAGGGGTCAAGGTGAGGTTCTTCGCTTCCCATCGGCGCTGCCAGGCTGAACACCTTCTGTCGACAGAACCTGTACTGGATCCATCCGGCTGTGCCGATTGAGACGCCCGAGTTTGAGCCGCTCAACTCGGACAACTCGCGCGCAGGACCTCCTCCTCCCGATCCTTCGTGCGTCGCGCTGTCCCTGCCGAACTTCGTCCCTTCACTAGCCAGCGCTGACGTCTACGACAGTTTCCAACCCGTCGGGCACATCAGCCTCGACTGGGAAGACTACGAAGGCGACACAACGCTCTGTGACCGCGAGAAGGGCATCATCACGCTCGCGACGTTCTTCATCCTCCTCTCGCAGCAGGGAAAGGGGTATGGGAGCGTGGTGATGAAGCAGACGGAGCAGATGGCGGTCGAGGTAGGCGCCAAGGAGATCACACTCAACACGGTCGTGCGTCTGCTTCCTCCGCCTCCAATCGTTTTCCCCGGCTGATCGAGCGGTGCTCGCAGGACGGCGAGTACGCGGTACAGCCTTGGTGGTGGGAACAGCAAGGCATCAAGTTCGACAGCCGTTTGCGAGTCAACGAGCGCTGGTACGAGCGGCTGGGCTATACGGCATACAAACGCGCGGTCCCGCGCTACCCGTGCCGAACAGTAGACGGGCGGGACATCCTACTCGAGGCGGTAGTGAGCCGCTGCCACTCGCCTTCGTTGACTTCGCACTAACGCCCGCACTCGACAGTTTATGCGCAAGAAGCTCCCGCAAGCGTAGATTCTCTCCCTGATTTATCGGATGCGTGGATGGGTACTGCTTGTATTCACAATCTCGAGGTAATACCGACACGGTCTAGAGAGGCAGCCAAGAACGAAAGAAGCGATGCGAGATCCGAGTCCGACAAGAAGCGAGTCCTAAGAGTGCAGGCGGGATAGGGTATGGAAGGGATGCGAGAGTGGGAAGAGTGTCTAAGCGAGCATCTTGAGGAGGACGTTGTTGATCCTGCCCGACTTGATGGCCTCGTAGATCTTGGAGACGTTCGAGCCGATCGTCACCTCTTGCTTGCCGAGGAAGACGTCTCCGCGGCGGGCCTTGACGCCAAGCTCCTCGCGGACGAAGGCGTAGAGGATCTGAGTGCGCGGCGAGAGGTACGAGAGCGCGGGCGACGAGGTCGACGCGGCGGACCAGAAGGTCTCGCGGACTTGGCGGGTGAGCGAGATGGCCGACTCGGCGGCGGCGACCTTCCAGGCGTTGACGGCGGCGAGCGAGAGCGACGTCGACGAGAGGACCTCGACGACGGTGCCGGCGGCGAAGGAGAAGGCGTCGTGCCAGCGCGGGACGAGGTCGTACGAGTTGGTCTGCTCGAGGCGCTTGGCGAGCGTCTTGTTCACCTTCTCGACGAGCTCGTCGCGCAGGTTCGAGCCGGTCATGGCGGAGCCAAAGTGCTGGTCGATGAGCGAGACGATGGCTGGGCCGAACTGCTTCTTGAACTCGAACTCGATCGCGCGCAAGTCGATGGCTTGGAGAACGCAGTAGAGGTGGGTGGCGAGGAGCTGCGAGACCGAGTGCGTCAGCTTCTGTTCGCGAGTGTGATGAGCGCCTGACTCACGAGAGAAAGGACGTCGTTGGACTCGGTCGTGCGACGAGCCGAGATGAGCGCAAGCGAGTTGACCGCCTGGTTCGCCATCTCAGCCGGCTGGACATGCGTCGTCACAGGGTTGGCGAGGTGTCCCAACTCCGAGGTGTACGCCGCAGCGGCGATGTCGAGGCCCTTGCAGTGGTAGGAGAGCGAGGGGTCTTCGGCCGCGAGGCAGGAGGGGAGGCCGCGGTTCATGCCGGCGTTGAGCATCTCGGTGAGCTGCGTGAAGTTGAGCTTGCCGATCTGGGCGAGCCCGAGGCTGCACAGCGTACTCGTCAGCACGAGACCAAGAGAACAGGTCACAGTGAAGCGGCGCACCGAGTCTTCTCCATGGTGTTGGCCACAGCGGCAGCCTGGAAATTGCCGCCGTGGTGCGAAGTCTTGTTCTCGACGTCGATGAGAGGGTTGTCGGTCGTCGACTGGCCGGCCTCGATGGTGAGGACGGCGTGGGCGTGAATGAGGTCGCTGACGAGCGGGCCGAGCCACTGCGCGAGTAAGCGGACGTCAGCGTCATGTCTTCGGCAGAACAAACAGAAGTAAGCGCACCTGAGGAGACGTGCGCAAGGGGTAGCGGTCCTGGCGGAGAATGCCCTCGTCGTCCTTGACCTTGACCTCCTCCTCATGGTGGACAGCAAAGCGGCTTCCCTCGAGGAGCTTGCGGATGTTTCCCGCGACTTCGATCTGCGTCGGGTGAGGGCGCGTGACGTCGTGAAGGAAGGGGTGGAACGAGCCGGCGTGGCCGACCATCGCTTCGACCGTCATGGCCGTGAGCGACTGCGAGAGGAGCGAGAGCATGTGTGCGTCGTGCAGAGCGAGGGTGGCCATCGATGCTGAGACGGCGGTGCCGTTGACGAGACCGAGACCTTCCTTCGGGCCGAGGACGACGGGCTCGAGGTTGAAGAGCGCCATCGCCTCGCGGGCGTACAGGATCTTCTCCTTGCCCTCGTGGACGACGTGCACCTTGCTGTCCGGGTGACCGCTGATGGCCGCTGCAATGTAGGAGAGAGGAGAGAGGTCGCCCGACGCAGAGATGGTGCCGCGGAGGGGGACGATGGGGGTGATGCCGTGGTTGAGGAAGTTGGTGAGCGCCTCGAGGACGACGAGGCGGACAGCCGAGTGGCCGCTGGGTGCGCCAACTGTCAGCTCGAAGACCGCTGAGTGAGTAAGGACGGCAACTCACCGGGTCAAGCTGTTGACGCGGATTGTCATGGCGCCGCGAACAACCTCGAGGGGAAGCGAGTTCTCGAGACCGCGGCCGAGGCGGAACGAGTCGAACGACGAAGGGAGAACACCGCAGAGCTGGTGCTCGAGGAGACTGTGCGGGAAGACGGTCAGTCCGAAGCTCGAGAAGCGAGAGGGAGACGAGGAGGACGCACGCCTTCTGGAGCGAGATGGCGTCCTCGGTGCGGGTGTCTGCGGATCCGCCAAATCCAGTCGTGACGCCGTAGACGCTCATGGAGAGTCTGCGCGACACAGGAGAGCGACAGTCAGTCCCTTGGCAACTTGGGAAGGTCCCGCCCTCTCGACGCCAGAGAACGAAAGCACGACTCACTGCGAGCGCAAGAACTCGACCGATTTGTCAATCTTTGAGCGGATCTCGTCGCTGTCCTTGACGCGGACAGGCCTGCCCTTCCTCGCGGCCGAGACGACGTCTCCGAGGTTGAGCGAGTAGCCGTCGAGTTCGAGCGTCGAGTCGGTCGGCGCGGCGAGCATCTTCTCGACGATGTCGACCTGCGTGACCTGGGTTGTGGGCAGGTGCGAGCCTGCGACTGCGAGGTTGGTCGAGGCGCCATTGACAGCCTGCTTTGCGGATGCGACGCCGTTTGCGAACGAGTGCGAGATCGAGTCGAGCGAGGGTGCCATCGTCGTCGTCGTTGGAGTGTGTCTGAGTGAGAAGTAAGAGAGAAAGAAAGAGAGCAAGAGCAAGACGGGCCACCAGATGTCGACCAAGTGGGGTTCGCCTCGAGACGGACTGCCGCTCGCCCTCGTCGCACGCTCGCAACGAAACGGCTTGCCTCGAAACACTCGCATCCCGGCACGACGCAACGGCTAGCCACGTCGACTCTGAACGAACACAGGGCTCGGTACGAACGGGAGAGGCGCGGTGGGGGACATCGCTCGCTACGAAGATGTCCCTCTGATCACTCCTTGAAACTCGAGCCGAACGAGACATGGTTACAGCTGAAGAGGGAGGACAACAGAGAGAGTGAGCGAGAATGTATACGAGGGAGAGGGAGTATCGCGGACAAGACCTGGGAGAGAGACGAGGGACAACGGAGGAGAGGGAGCAGGTACGGCGAGCGGAACAAGGGAACCCGGAAAGCGTCTATAGGTGCTGAGAGAATGCGGTGGCGAGAGGGCTGGAGAGGTTCACTGGACGTCGCGGCGATTCTGTAGGCGAGAGAAGAAGAGGTCAGCCGAATCCTCGGCGTTCGCTGTTCGCCGGACTCACCGGTGCCGCCTCAAGCTCGCCCACCACGCCGACCAAACAACTGACATCATCAATCTTCCCTCCCGCGTAGTGAATCCCCTCCTCCATCGCGCGCTGCTGGAAGGGGCTCGCCACGGCCCTCTGATCCTCGTACACGCTCTTGGCGCGGAAACACAGTGCCTCCGAGACTGCCTGTGGCGAGAATCGGCGGAGGGTGTATTTCGAGCTGGGAGAGCCGTTCGAGGACGAAGGGGGAGAAGGGACGGTCGGTGGATTCGTACCGACGAAGCGGAGGACTTCTTCGAGCAAGTCGTCCGAGAAGACATTGTCGACGAGCCCGTCACTCGCGAGAATGACGATGTCGTCCCGCCTGACTTTGACGTTGAACCGCTGCGCGTCTTTCGCGGGCGTGTCTTTGGCGTTCGTGCCGGCTTGGAAAGGGTAGTTGAACCGGTGCTGCTGCTCCTCCGATCGGAAGACGTATTCGTCCCCGCGGATGATGAAGCAGGAACAGTCGCCCAGGTTGGCTAGCCGCAGCTCGTCGTTTCGGAGGATGGCGAGAAGCGCGGTCGACGAGCCAATCGTGCCCTGCGCAAACGCTCGTCAGCCCCGACTTCGGTACAGCCTGATAGGGCGCGTACGCACCTCCTCCTTGCACTCGTGCAAAGTCTTCTCGTACGCCCGCTGCATGACATCGACGGGGTCGACCTCGTAGTACCGGAGAAACAGCTCGTCGTCGATATTCTCGTACCGTGCAAGCTCGGCCGAGCAGTCTGTTTGCCATACGACATCAGCTCATCGATCTGAGGGGAGCGAGGGAGAGGTAGACGCACGGTGCATGAACTTGCGAGCCCATCGGGCAGAGTTGGCGCCCGCATGGTGCGACCAGCCTCCTACGCCATCCGCCACGCCAAGCGAATCTGACCGCAGGAAGTACTGTCACGCGCAAGCGGCGTCAGCGAGCCGCGCGCTGTACGAGCGGGGAACGAAAACGCACAGAATCCTCGCCCACACCGACGCTGAGGTAGTGCTCCTCCTCGTCCACAATCATCTTCTCCTTGCCCTTGTCGCTCGCCTTCCGTGCTCGCGAGTACTCGGACTTGGGAATCCCGTACGCGCCATTCCGGAAGACGAGGTTACTCCTTCGAGCGATGTTGAGCGCCGAGCCGAAGAACGCGGGCAGGGCGTGCGAGGGGAAAGAAGCGGGAGGAGGCTGGGTGAAGAATGTTGCGGGTATGTGTTTCGAGGACGAGGCGTGGGTCGATTGGGACGAGATCGGGGAGGAAGAGGAGGGGTCGACGACGGTCGGGAGGGAGGTGCCGTGTCCGCCTTGTCCTGCGGACGGGCCGAGGAGTAGTGGGCCGTCATGCGAGGGCGTTGCGAGGCTCGAGTGGTGTTTGGGATGGAATGGGTGTCCTTCGGCTGCGCTGGTGCCAGGTGGGGAGACTCCGCCTGCGCCCGCTCCTCCTGCTCCTCCCGGCGGTGGCGCGATCCCGCTGCTCGAGGGCGCGACAGCCTGCTGGTGCGGTGTCCGAGAGGACGTGTGAAAGCCTCGAGAGCTTGATGCCGACTCGCCAAAGTAGCCCGCCAAGGCCCTGCTGCCGCTCGAAGACGAGGCCGAGGTGCTGACGCCCCCGCCTGTCCTGAGCAGTCCACCCGACGTGCGCACGGCATTGACCTGTCCTCGAGAGCCGGAAGCCTGGCGAGACGGGCCCGCCTGTCCTGACCCGCCTGCCTGACCTGCACCGCCGCTCCTCGCGGACGACGAGACTGCCCCTGCGAACGGCGACGCCCGCCGCTGCCTGACGACGATGAAGCCGCCAGGAGCCTGTCCCTTTCCCGCGGCCTTGCTGCCAACCGCGAGCGCGACCGTCCGCACCGAGTACTTGCCCGTCGCGGCCGAGGTTGGGAGAGCGCGCGAGATGGTCGAGAAGGTCAGGCTCGAGGGGAGGAGGGCCTTGGGCGACTTGGACATCCCTCGACGGGGTCTGGCGAGGCGGTCAGCGAGGCTCTAGCTGGCGGATAGGCGTCGATAGGCGTGAGCGTGCGCTGTTGAGCTGATCGCGGCGAGATGAAGACTGGGGAGGGAGGGACGGCGTCTGGCGTGGGTTCGAGCCGGGTAGATAGCTTCAAAGTAAGCCCGAGAGCAGCAGTGCGGGCTTGTCTGCCCCTCGAGCGAGAGTCACAGCGAGTGGTTGACTTCAGAGCGCGAGAATGGGTCGAGGGAAGCGGGATGGTGGCAAGTGCCCGACGACGGCTCGCTGGGAGGTCGCAGACAGACTCACTAGCTTCCTACACAATCGGAGAGCATCCCAGGCGCAAGCGAGGCGGCCTTGTGGGCAACGCGAATCTCGTATCCCCGCGGGCAGCGAGGACGACGAGGAGGTGGTCTGGAGGTGCGAATTCGGGTGCATAATGGGTGGCCCACCCTCTCAGCGTACACTCTACATCAAGCTTGCCCGCCCGCCGACTTCGTCGCTCGCCTCGCCCGAAGGCAGGCCACCCGCACTTCGCCCCGAAACAAACTCGGAGTAGCTGCAGGACGATACAAGGGTTAGCTCGCTTCCGCCTAGAGCTGAAGGAATTGTTCGACTCACATCCGACGCAGGCGAGCCAGCTCCTCGGCCGGGACGGACGGACGAGTCGTCTGCAGGGACTTCTGGAGGTGGGAGTCCTCGACGACAGTCTGCGGCGGTGAATATCAGCTCGCGCGCTCGAGAGAGATGATGGCGAAGAGGAACACACTGGTGCGCGAGACGCTGGAGAAGCGCTTGTTGCGGCTGCCTTCTTCGTCTTCGAGCGAGAGGCCTCCTTCATGGCACTCATGATTTGCTCGAGCTGGGTCCGGGCCAAAGGGTCAGCTCGGCGTTAACGAGCGCGTGGAACGACAGACAACGCACCCGCTTGTTGACTGTCGCCTGCTCAGCCCGACTCAACACCTTCTCGTCCTCCTTCCCTCCCAGCACGACATACTTGATGTCGCCTCCCTCCTCATCCCTCATCCCTCCCGCTCCTGTGCCTTCAACTTGCCCGTTAGCATCCACAGCCGGCGCGATAGTAGCGTGGATGGCATCGAGGTGGGCGTTGTAAATCAGGGCTTGCAAGTCGGCGCCGGAGAAACCGGCTGTTTGGGCGGCGTAGCGAGCGAGCGAGACGGAGGAGGAGAGGTGGATCTTGCGTGCTGCGGACTCCATAATCTGTGCGGGCAAGCATGAGCACCGGTAAGGAGCGGAAGACGGGAAGCTGCGCACCTCGAGACGGTCCTGCTCGTTCGGCATGTCACACAGGACCGACTTGTCGAGACGACCGGGTCGAAGCAGCGCGGGGTCGATCAGGTCGGGTCGACTGCGCGCAATGTGAGCAGGAGCATTAAGCGAGAAGACTCGGCGGGACAGACCTGGTCGCGGCGAGAACGTAGACACCGTCGAGACCCTCTGCTCCGTCCATCTGCGTAAGCATCTGGTTGACGACTCGGTCCGTCACGCCAGTCGAGTCGTGACCACTGCAGTATGCTCAAGATCAGCCTGCGTCTCCTCCGGAGCGAGGGAGCAAACGCACCGCTTCGGCGCAATCGAGTCGAACTCGTCAAAGAACAGAATGCACGGCTTGGCGGCCTGCGCGCGCTCGAACAAGTCGCGAACCGACTTCTCGCTTGCGCCGATGTACTTGTTGAGAATCTCGGGGCCCTTGACCGAGATGAAGTTGAGACCGCACTCCTTCGCGACGGCTGAGGCGAGGAGGGTCTTGCCACATCCTGGGTAGCCGTAAAGGAGGAGACTGTGCGCCAAAGTCAGCTTCGTTTCGGCGACGAAGCGGAAGGGGGCGGCTCACCCGGATCGCAGTCGCAGCGGGCAACTCGCAAAGATCGCGCCATACTTGGTCGGCCACTCGAGCGTCTCGCGCAGTGTCTTTCTCGCCTCCGTCAGGCCACCGATGTCCGCCCACTGCACCTCGCTCTTCTGCAGCTTGACATCGCGCAGGGAAAGCGGGACGAAGCCTTGTTGTGCCGCGGAGAAGTCGTCGGCTGTCAGCTCGAGTGCGCTGGAACTGGGGGCGGGAGGCGAGGACATGGAGCGGATGGCGGCTTGCTGGACGGCTCGGTCGACGAGGTCGCGCAGGTCGGCGGGGAGGTAGCCCTCCGTCACAGCAGCGATCGAGGCGTAGTTAAGCTTCGGCGCCATAAGGTCCGACGAGCTCGTCTTTGCCTTGACCAGGACGTTCAGGATCTGCAGAGACGCGCGAGTCAGCTCGAGTCTCGAGAGAACAGGTGTAAGCCGGCGACACACGTCTCGCCGAGCCGTCTTGTCGGGTCCTCGCAGCGATACCGTCTCGCCGAGCAAGTGCGTCGAGCTGAGAAGCGGATGCAGGCTCGTCGAGCCTTGTGCTGTTGCAATGAGGACGATCGGGCGGGATGCGAGGGCGGGAAGGGCGAGCGAGAGGAAGGTGTTTGCGAGATGGACGGCAGGGAAGGAGTCGGCGTGCTGCAGGGTGATCTCTTGTCAGCTCGAACTCGAATACACGCCGCAAAGAGAGCAAGCGCACCTCGACCTCGGCGGCGATCATGCGGTCAAGGTTGTCCAGCACGAGTACCGCGGGCGCATGCCAGCACGCCTCGTCGAACCAATCCTTCATACGTCCCTTCAGCGTCGGCAGTCGCTCATCGGCATGCTTCGAGCAGTCGACGTAAATCGTACCTGTCGGACAGCCGCAAAGAGCTGATCAGCAAGAGCCTGACGAATGGCGGCAGCTGAACCGGTTCATCGCGGACAACTCACGGCTCAGCACCCTCTCATCCTTCTCCATCTCCTCCGCCACCATCTTCACCAACGCCGTCTTGCCGGCCCCGCTCGCGCCGGTGACCAAGACTCCTGGTGCGCCCGCCGCGCTACTCCCCTTCGCCGAGCGCGAAAGCTGCCGCGCCGCAAGTGAGTTGACGATATGCGAGCGGAGCTGGGTGAGGGGTTTGTCGATGCCTGCGAGGCATGGTGCGGGAGTGAGAGGCGAAGGTTCGGCGGGAGACTTGCTGGTTGAGGCGGCCCTAGACGAGGGGGCATGCGAGTCTTTCTCGCGTTGCGCTTGGCGGACTTTGCGAGCCGCAGACGAGAGTGGCGCGCCAAGTCTGTTGTCGAAGACTGTCAGCAACCGCTGAGCTTGCAAAGAGCAGGTCGGACGAGACGCACCGAACCAACTCGAACGCTCCGTCTCCCTTCCTGATCCCAATCTCCCTTCGCAACGCCTCGCTCATCCATACATGTCCAGCCGGCACCTTCGCACTCTCGACCACCCTGACCTCTGCCAAGACGTGCTCGTTCCCGCTTCCGCCTGCGCTCGCAGCACCGGGAGAAGCTGCATCGCCGCTGGCAGCACCACCAGACGGTCCAGCCGAGTCGCTCGAAGGAGGCGCATCAATCGTGGCCGAGCCTCTGCCGGTTGGTCGAGCATGGTAGGCGACGGTGAACCGTCCCGACCCGCTCGGGAAAGCCTTCTTGGCTACTCGAGCGAGTGAAGGGTAGACGTAGACTGATGCGTGTTCATCTTGTGAGGAAGAGTCGGTTGACGGGGCAGCTTCAGGCGGAGCGAGCGAGAGGGGGAGAAGGCGAAGGAGTCGGCGGCGGGCTTGTTCCCATTCTGCTGCAGCTGCTGAGGTCGGCGCCGACGACTTGGAGTGGGTGGCGGAAAGGTCGTGGGTCTTGGAGGAGGCGGGCGGAGGAGCGTGGCGGGATTTCGGGGCGACGATGAGTTCGGTCGAGGAGGTGAGGAGGACGGCGGGCGAGGCGACAGGCGACGTCGAGTCTGTGCGCACATACGTGTTCGACCATGCCTCAGCGTCGAGCACATCAGAAGCAAAGCAGCAGGAAACGGCGGACGCACCGACAACGAAACGAATCAGGCTGTTCCCGACCCAGCAACCCACCATCATCCTCTCCTTGACCGCTCGGACCTGGTTCAGGAGGTACATCTCAACGAACTCGGCGTTCGTTTCCTGCACGAGGTGAAAGAGTGGGAGTCAGGGGAGATTCAGCGGCGAAAGAAGAGCGAAGGCGCGCTCCGCACCAGGATCTCCCAGTCGTCAGCGGTCGAGGGTGTAACGTTGACCGCCGTGGCGTGCGGCAAGTCACGAAGGAGCTCGATATTGACCTGCACAGCGGGAACGAGCGAAAGTCAGCTCTCCCCACATGGGTCCAGCGAGACGAAGAGATGGTACGCACGGTCAGTCCCTCGCTCAATCCGACGTTGAGCATCGCGGCAAACTGCGGGTCCATCTCGACCCTGTCCTGCGCGAGTGCGGCCGTCCCGCGCGAGCCCTGCACCGGCGGACCGACTGAAGCCGGCAGGCCTGTCCATCCCAAGACCACCTGCTGGGGCTGACCGTTGTGCTTGAACGAGAGCTGTACTGCGATGGATTGCGGTGCCTGTGTGCCAGTACATCCCGGGTGAGCGTGTGCTCTGAGCGAAGTAGCCGGATGTCAAAAGAGAGAGAGAAGGAGGAGGACGCACGACTCCGCGCTGGTTCAGAGGCCCGTGGAGCGATAGGGGGAGGTTGGCGAGGCAGTTCCTCAGCGGCGTAAAGTGCACGACAGCAGAGCGCCCCATGTCAGCGTGTGTGGAGGAGAGCACTTAGCCGGATCGCGTTTGTATTCAGTTGCATTACAAACGAGGTTGTATTCACTCGATTACCCGCCGCCTCCCGCTGTTGACTTTACTCGGCCCGGCTGGTTCCCTGCTTTGCCTACGTTGCTACTGAGTACCACGAGCGCGTACAGAGCGCACCCGCACACCGCTTGACCCGCGCCTCCTCCTCACCACCTCTGCACCGCCTCTGCCAATTCCCCTCTTCAGCGACGAGCGACTCGCAGGGCTTGCTTGCGACGCCAACGACTTACGCGCACTCACTCACCCTCAGCCATGGCAGCGCGACGACGATCGGGCTCGCTCGAGTTGGACTACGGGGACAGCGCGTACAACGACATCGACCTCATCGGGACCGACTTCCCCATGGAGCACGACGTCGTGGGCGGGTCGATGCCACATTCGTACGGCGGTGGAGCGAGCACGAGCGCAGGCGGCGGCGGCAGAGCGGGATCGAGCGCGGGTGGGGCGCACCAGCAACAGCACAACGGCGGGAGGGCCGGGTCGGGACAGCCAGAGGCGCACAAGGTCAGTCACACAGAGACCTTGACTTTCCGAAGGCGCGCGAGCTGATGTCTGAGCTTGCGATTGCCAGTCCACCCTTCCCGCCGTCCCAGGTCTTCCCGCCAATCCTCTCACCGGCGTCCGTCCTGGCGGCGGCTCGGCGAGTCCTGCACCGCCTGGAGGAGCGCCTGGGGCACTGCCGAACTCGGCGCTGTTCATCGGCGACTTGCATTGGGTGCGTCGCCGCGACTTCGCTTGTTCAGCCAGCTGTTTCTCGTGCGGATTGAGGCTGATTCCTTTTGAGGTGGCAACGCACAGTACACGAGTGACGCCGACATCGTCTACCTGGCGCAACTGGCGGGAGTCCCGGTCGTCGAGCTCAAGGACGTCTCGTTCTCCGAGCACAAGGTCAATGGCAAGAGCAAAGGGTGAGTGCAGCTTGTCTCTTGTCCGTCCCTTCCTGCCGCCACGAAACTGATTGACCTCGCTTACGCAGCGTCTGCTACGTCGAGTGCCATTCTGCCGAGAACGCGCAACGCCTGAAGCAGTACATCGACAATAAGTGCGTCGCTTGCTGCTCTCATTTACATGGGTCTCGCTGACCTCACGCCATGCTCGCAGTGAGTACCAGGATAAAAAGATGCTCGCACAGATCGCGCCTGGCGGAACGGGCGTCTCGCCTTTCAAGACTCTGCCGAAAGGTGCGTTTGACAGCGACTTGCGAGAGACTGTCTCGCTCAAGAGCTGACTCGCTGTCGTCGTCGTCTTCTCCGCAGAACCTGCCCGCGCACAGAACGTTCCGCACTCGAACATCCCCCGCGTCGGCGGCATCGCCGTCCGCCCCCCTCCCTCCGTCACGACCGCCTACATGAACCCTCACCCCGGCCAGAACCGCCGCGACCAGCAGCCTGGCGCTCAGCAGAACCAGCCTGGCGGGCGCCCGATGGCTGGCTTGCCGGTCAAGGGCGGAGCGATGGGGAACGTCGGAACGAGGATGGCGGGCCCGCCGTTGCATGCGAACATGGGAGGAGGGGGAGGTGGGATGGGCCAGCAGCAGGGAGGGATGGGGATGCAGTTTGGAGGCGGAGCGGGCGGCGCGCCTGGAGCGGGCATGTTCAACCCTGCTTTCGGATTCGGCGCGGGCGCCGGTGCGCCAAACGGAGGAGGAGCCGGGGCGGGAGGGTTCGACATGAGCGCGTTTGGCGGGATGGGGATGATGCCTCTCGGCGGTATGGGAATGGGCATGATGCCGCTCGGAGGGATGCCTGGGTTCGGGATGGGTGCGATGGGCATGCCTGACTTTTCGGGCATGAGCGCGTTCGGTATGGGCGCGATGGGCGGCGCTGGGATGGGCGACGGCGCGCACGACGGTCAGGCGAAGAAGAGGACGAGGACAGACGGGTAGTGTTGTCGGAAGTTTGGGCAGGTCTCGCTTGTTGGGTGCTTCCTTCTCGCTCCTCTTCGCTTGTTCTCCTTGTTGTATCGCAGTCTCTCATACCTTGTACTCCTTGCCCCAGACTGTGCCGCTTCGCTCTTCGCCCCTGTGTTGTTGCCTCCCGACACCGCATCCCTTCGCATCGCTCTCGTTCACTTTCCCCGCTCTCGGCGTCGTTTCCCGTGCCGCTGATGCTGCGCACCGATGTACATTGCTCTAGCGACCCCAGTATGAATGCTACACGAAAGGAGAACCCTTCCACTCCCTCTAGAACCCCGTCTTGAGATCCGACTCGGGCCACTCGACGCGCTCGTCAAGGCCGTTGTGCAGCGAGATGTTGAGTGCGACGACGATGAGCGCCTGGAAAGTGCTCGCCGCCCAGACGAGGTCGAACCCTTTCCCGACCTGCGCCGTCCAGTTGATCGCTTTCGAGCCCGTCTTGTAGACTGCCAAGGCGTACCAGTCGGTGAAGTCGTCGACGTACGCGAGCATGTACAGCTTGTAGCCGATGCCGATCGTGATGGTAAGGATGAACGAGGCGAAGGCGAACAGGGCGGAGAGGAGGAACAGTTTCGAGGAGTAGTACCGGTAGAAACGGACGACGGGCGCGGGAATGGTGCGTGTGGTGGGGAAGTAGGCGAGCGTCCAGAGGGGGAGGTAGACGAAGAAGGAGGCGATGAGGAGGACGAGGGCGGAGAGAAAGATGGCGGGGGTTTGGCGCGAGTAGAAGGGGAGCTTGAGGGAGGCGAAGCCAGGGAGGTAGGTTCCGACGCGCGAGAGGGCGCCAGCGAAGCTAGCCGAGACGGCACGGGAGTCGCATACTCGCTTCGTCGAGTCGGGCGTGGTCGAGCAGGCGTCTGCAGGGCGGAAGAGTCAGCTCCTCGGGCCGTACGAAGGGACCGCTGGCGAACGCACTCATGATGTAGTAATCTAGCCGTCCACTGCCATTCTTCTCCACCACACTCAGGAACGCGTAGCCTTCTGCCTGGGACACCAACAATCCGAGCGCCAATGCGAACGCGATTGCGTAGAAGACGAGCGGCACCGCTGCCCAAAGCACCGTCTCGACCTTGTCCGCGTCTGGCAGCTGCCAACTCCATCGTCGAGGTGCGGGTGACTGGCGGGAGTAGCTGGGCGGGGCAGAGATGGGTTCGGAGACGGGGAAGACGTCGAGAGGGAACGCCTTCTGGCTCGTTGGGGAGAGGTCGTCTGGCGACTGGGAGTGAGAGTGAGGGAAGGTGGCAAGCTGAATGGATACAGGTGTCGTTGTCGCCATGGTGAGTTAGTTCTGCGAGGTCTGGGAGGGAGGTCGAGGGTCACAGACGGCGTGCAGGCTCAGCTGGCGGGATGCGAGTGAGTGGCTCGAGCAGCAGGACAGCTGGTGAATGGACAGAGCGCCGGCCCATCCATTCTCGCCGAACAAAAGACGAAAGAACCAGCTTTGTCTCAGCGCGCGATGGCGGAACAAAGGGAACGGGGTTGTCGCCGGCTTGGGGACCACTGGCAGGGGTTCCATGCCCTTGTCTAGAGCAATCGTAATCAGCCAGAGCCATTCAGGCGCAGAACGAGCGTGTGCGAGCGTGCTGTCGGCGAGAAACCTGCGAGTTCGCCTCCTCGCCCTCTTCACACACGGCCTCACAGCTCGAAAGGCTTGCTGGACAGCTACTGTGCTTCGGTTGATCCGTCTGAATACGCCTACGCTGTACGCGAAGTCCGGCAGCGCACGCTCCTGTCGCGCTGGACCTTGAGGGCCTTGTTCGCAAGGGGCCTTGTCCCGCCAGATCCTGGCTCACAAGGGACGCGGCGACCAGGTCCGAGCGTTGCTGTGTCCCCGACGAAGCACTCTTCCAGCTTGTTCGTCGCTAGAGTCGCTCGTCGCTGTGCCCGCCTTCGTTCTCCTCTTCAGTCGCTGGTCGACGTCCTCTTCAACCATGAACCACATCTACCACTCCCTGAACCCCCTCATCCTTCTCGCCGCCTTCCTTGTCTCTCTGCTCGCCTTCCTTGCCCCGACCCCTATCCTTTCAGACCGCGTTTCGCTTCTCTCCGTGGAGGCGACCAAGTCAAGCGCAAGAAGGTGGATTGAGGATGCTGCCGGGCCGGCCCCTGCGGCGAACTCGCGGCGGATGGTGAAGCGGGCAAAGGCGAAGAGCGCGACCGCGACGACGACAGTGCCGGTCAGCGTCGACCTCGGACCTCTCGGTGCGTTCGAACAAGTCTCGACATGTGCAGTAGCTGACTCGTCTCGGATCTCCAGGCGCGTGCTACACCAACTCAACGACGCACACCAAGAGCTGCATGTCGCCCTCCTTCACGCCCATCTTCTTCGAGATGTACTCCGACGTTGGTCTTCCCTCCTCCATCGCCAACGCCCTGCCCGCCCAGTTTCCCCTCACACCTACCGCGCTCTTCGTCTCGCTCGCTCTCATGGCATCGTAGTTCCTCGCCGTCCTCGTCTCGTCCATCTCGATGCACGCCACAAAGAAGCTGGCCTTCTTGAGCAAGCAGCAGGTGAAGGTGCGCAAGGCGGCGACGGTGATGGGCATCATCAGCCTCGTCGTAGGCCTTGCGGCTGCTGGTGCGATGCGTGTGCAGCTGGGCAAGGCGGCGTCGGCGATCAACAAAGCAGGCGGCGCAAAGGCGAGCCTGGGGAGCGGCTTCCTTCGTGAGTCTCGCCGCTTCGCCACTTTGCGGCTCTCGCTGACGGTAACCTCTCGCAGAATTTTGGGCTGGGTATGCATTGCTGGCGGTCGCAGACGTCCTGCTCGTCGTCGAGGCGTTCACCAGCAGGCGAAAGGAGTGCACCTCCTAAAATGATGTACGCGGCGGTCGGACCTCCCTTCTCTCCCGTCGAAGACCAGGGACATCAACGCACAGACACTTTCCCACGACTAGAAACAGAGAGGAGGTCCACTTAAGCGCCGATTCGAAGGACCCTCTTTTTCTCGCCCTCTCCCCTCCTCTCGCTCTCCTTGCAGCTGCATGTACTCGCTGAGCATACGATGGCTTTCGATCTCAAGCGCCCATGCTCGCCTGCAGCGCTGGCGCTTTCCCGCTGCGGCGTCGCGCCAACTACGCTTCCTCTTCGTCCACTGTCGCTCAATGTCTCGCCTGCTCGTCGTGCGACTCCTGCACGGCCTGTATCGCTCGCGATGACACCTCCGCAGCGCATCACGCCGTCTCCACGCCCGCCATCGCCTGCGCCAGTCTCGCGCTCCAGCCTCACCCCTCCGCCCACCCTCTCTCGCCGGAACAGCTTCACCGCTCGACCAGTCACGCCGCCGCCTCAGCCACCGTCGCCAGGAGTCTACCGCAGCCCGTACCACCGCCTGTCAGCCTCTCCGCCCGCTCACCGTCCGCCTTCTTCCTCTTCCTCACGCTCAATTTCGCCCACCTCGACACGGTCCTCCCCTATCACTCCTGCTCGACCGATCCTCGAGGTGCACGGCGATTCGTTCTGCGGGGTGTTCACGCTTCTAGGCAAGCGGGCCAGTGTGTACAAGTACAAAGGCGCATCGGCGAGAGTGTGTCCGCTTTTTCCGCTTGCGAAACGCCCTAGGCCGGCTGACCTAGTCAATCGCAGGGCCTCAACAACCCTCACTCGACGCTGCAAGTCGGCGCACAGCTCCTCGACCGACTCGAGTACGCGCGACCGCAATCCGTTTTGCTCATGTTTGGCACCGTCGACCTCACCCTCAACTTCCTCTGGTGTGTCTCGCTTGCTTTGGGCCCGCAAGACGGGATGCTGACATTCGCGCGCACGCCAGGCAACTCAAGGCTCGTGGGTCGGCGGCAGCAGGACCCGACGAGACCGCCCGCAAGGTCCTCGCCGACTACGCTTCCTTCCTCGCGCACAAGATCGTCCCGCTCGCCGAGAGATCCGGGATGACGGTGTACGTGGCGGGAGTGTCGCCGCCTGTGATTGAGGATCGCTGTGCGTAGGCGGCCTCGATGCCTTCGATGACCTAGACTGACTTCCTGTCTCGCAGACCTCGAGTCGACTGCAAACAAGTACCTGGAGGTGCGTCAGAACGACGCTTTCGTTCTTGCAAGGGGTGACACCTCTTCTTACCTAGAAGCAAGGCATTTCGCCCCTCCCGCCTCTCTCGCAAGCACACCACCCTCACGACTTCGCAACCCGCGCCAACATGGTCAAGCGCTACAACACGCTCCTCGCCTCTTTCTGTGCGCGGCACGATTGCCTCTCTTACGTCGATATCAACCGCGACTTGGTCGACCCGGCGGATCCGAGCAGGAGGGTGAAGAGGCAGTTTCTTGACCTCGAGGACCCGACCAACATCCAGTGCGTCGTCCAGTCCCCTTCTTCACTCTCGAAGCATTGTGCTGATCCGTCGTTGTCGCGCAGCCTCGTCTGGGAAACCACCCTCCCCTTCTGGGTCCGCCGCCTCCCGCCCCTCACCTCCCTCTCCTCGCACCTCGCCTCGCAAGTCCAGGTCTCGCACCTCGAGCGCAGTCTGGAGCAGTACCAGGCTGAGAAGCGCGAGAGGGTCAGGAGGAGGAGCGGTGTCGTTGCTGGTTAGGAAGGTTGAGGCGGAAGGCTTAGCGGGAGGAGGAAGACGGGAAAATGTACATGGCCAGCTTGAATCGATGGAATCAGCACGTTTTTGTCGTATGCCTTCCGTTCCGCAGCGAACGAGACGCGAGAGAGAGGAGCAGCTTGAGAAACGAGGTTGGGGTGTCGTTGCGCCCTCAACGAAGACTGCTTCGTATTGCTGGATGCGAAGATGGATGTGTACATGCTGTGCGAGTGAGGTACGGCTTTATGTACAGTGCGAAGAAGGCGAGGGCTGTCGCCGGGCGTCGAAGACGGCGCGCAGAGCAAGGTCGGCTCAAGCTTGACGCTTCGAGGGAGGGATTCCGACGGGCTCTTCTCCCTTCTTGAATGGGTTTTCGGGAGGAACGGCGGGTTGAAGGTCGACGGCCTGCAGGAGAACCAGCATCAATTCCTCCTGAGGACCGAAAATCGACGCTCCTCCTCCCAAACACGCACCATCTTGCCCGAACTCGAGTACATGTACAGTGCGCCCGTTCCAACCGTCGCAAACATCGCAGCCCACGCCCACAATGGCGCGATCCCGGTCGCAGCGACCTTGCGAGCCTGCCAAGCGGTGGGCTTGACGGGCCTGTTCATGCCGGGCATGGTCATGGTGGGCTGTCAAGCGTCAAAAGTCGTCAGCTTCGAAGCAACGGAGGGGGACTTGAAGCAAGGGAAGGCGACTGGACGATGGTGGGAAGAACGAGAGCCGGTTGGAGCTGGAGACGCACCTTGGGGCCAGAGGTGTCGGGATACTGAGTAGCGGGCATCGTGTGTGTCGTTGTGCGTTCGTTCGAGTGGTTTGGAGTGTGCAGGAGAGGTGGAAGAGCCTGTTCCGTCGCAAGCGATTGCGGGTCGCCTCGTGAGGTGGGGCGGAGGATCGCAATGACGATGGTCGAAGGGGAAGGGATTGCCCGTCCTGCGGATTCGGCGCCAACAGCAGAAGCACCGCCTCGAGCTAATCAAGCTCCCAATGATCAGGCGATGCCGACCTCTTTCCGGGATAGAGCAGCAGGAGTAACTGTAGTCGCAAAATCTCGTTCGTTCGCTCCTCACGCCAACGTACGACGGCTGGTGTAGCCTACGGCTCATGCAGTATCACGGCAAGTTTAGGATCGTATGTACAGGGAGGTGGAGCGTCTCGCAGGAGTCGTCTGCGCCCTCACTTCTTGCCAATCGCCTTCTTCAGCTCATCATCCTCGGGAACGCCGTGACGATGCTGGATCTACAGGATGCGGTTGTTGTCAGCGTACTACTGCGCAATGCTCGTTGAGTGGAGAAGGAGGCGGGAGGAAGGATTTCGTACCGTGTTGTCGGTCATGACTGCGAAGTTTACGAAGGGGGCGTCAGTCTTTGCCCGTTCAGCACTCACCAAGAAAAAGAGTAAGCTTACGAGCGTGCACCATGAAGCCGATTGCGACCGTGACAATCTGTGGGCGGGCGAAGAAAGCACGAGGTTGGGAAGGTCAGCGAGTCCAGCTTTCATTGTCGCGGTTTCTTCGACGTACCGTGCCGATGAACGCCATCAGAGGAGTCTGTAAGAGGCAAAACAGAAGTCAGCGTCAACCTGAGGCTACACCGCATCGCATCGCAGCGAAGGCGAAGCCTGTCGTAGGCGCGAACGGCACAGTCAGACTATCATTCATTCGCCAACTCACCACCTCGAGACCAATGTTCTTGCGGGCAAAGAAGGGTGTAGGTTTGGGCGGAGTTCGGGGAACAGTCGGGTGAGAGGTCGAGGTAACGGGAGCGCCTTCGTGCGAAGAGGACCGGTCGGGCTGGCCGGCGTAGGTGCGGTGGACTGTGGGCGGACGCATCAGCACTCTGTAGACCGTAGAGAAGCTAGCTGGACTCACACGAAGGTGCGACGAGCGATGCAAGGACGGGAGAACGGCTCAGGAGGATTGGGACGGCGGGGACGACGCGCAGCGGACGGGCGGCGACGAGGCGGGCGGTGGGAGCGATGGCACGGGACAGCATGGCGCTTGCGGGAGTCAGCAGCGAGGAAGAGGTTCAAGGAGGAGAGCGAGAGAGTCGTCCTCGGAGTGACGCATGGCACACACCTCGACTCCTTCTAGAGTGTCGCTTGAACAGCCGAAGTAGTTCTATCAGACTCTAACTAGCATATTGAGCATTTTTCCGATGCCGTACGAGCGAGTTGAGGGGTGGTCAAGCGGGACTTCGCCTCGTCGCGTGGAACACGCTCTCACCCAACTCTTGACACCGCTCTGCCGGGCTGCTGCTGCCTGCCACGCGTGCTACACGGCTTGCTTGACTGCGTGCGCTAGCTCTTCATGAACGGCAACGTTGTCTTCCCTCCCAAACGCGGCGGTGGTGGAGGGCGACCGGGTCCACAGCGGGTGAACAGCGCAGGAGCGCGTGCGAACCCTTACAGCGTGCGTTCAGATCGCCCACAGAGGTTATACGAACGCGTCCAACCGCCGCTGACCCCTTCGCTCGCCCGCTTGACCCCCTCATCTCCCCTCGCTCCATCAACACAGCGTCCCCCTCCCGCCGCCCCAGCCGCCGACGGGAAGTGGCAGCATGACCTCTTCGGCGCCAGCTCGGACCTGTACAACCCCTCAATCAACTTCAGCGCCCTACGCGCAAAGTTGCCGGCTCAGCAGGAGACCTCGCCTAGCCTTCGACCGTTCGGAGTGGCGACTCCTGCGGCGCAGCCTGTATTGAGTGCGCCGACAGCACCGGTTGCGACGGTTCAGCAGGGCGGAGCGGCGCTCGGGATCAAGGGGTCGAATGCGGCGGCGCAGCGCGAGGCAGCACGGCGGGCCAACCTCGAAAGGATGGCGGCGCAGAAGGAGCGCGCCGAGCTGATACGGCAGCGGAAGGAGCTCGAGAAGGAGCGGCAGGAGAAGGTCAATATCGCGAAGGAGGAGGATCTTGGGTTTGTTGTTCAGGTCGACGGGCTTGTTGCGGGAACGAGTGCAGAGGACGTCCAGGTGCGTACGCGAAATACAGCGTGTAGAGACGGAGCTGATCTCTCGTCCGGCAGACCGCCTTTGGCTCGTACGGCGAGATCCGGTTCTGCTTCATCGTCGACCCGGCCGCCAGCGAACTCTCCGCCCGCCTCACCTTCACCCGCTACGACGATGCAGCCGCCGCGTGCTCAAAGCTCGAGTGCGCTCTCCTCGGCTTGCGTCATCGCGCTTGAAAGGAGATTGACGTATCTTCATCGCAGCGGCGCCATCGCCGACGGCCGACCACTCAGTGTCAAGCAGACATCGCGTACACCCATGCCTCCTCCCCTCCCGCCTCTTCCCAAACACTCTGTCGGTCCCGCACTCGTCAGCACTCCCTCCGCGACCGGCGCTGCAGCAGGCGTCCCAACCGGTCCGCGCAGTCAGCGACGAGCCCAGCCTGCGCAAGTGCAGACTGCAATCCCCGTCGAGCCGCCTAGCAAGATGTACGCCGACCAGATTGAGGCGGCGGAACGAGCGGCAGCCGCAGCAGCAGCGGCGGCGGCGCAGAACGGAGGAAACGGGATGGACATCGACATGGAGGATTCGATGGCGATTCCTGCGGGCGCTCGAGGCCGAGGGGCGATCCCGCGCGGTCGAGGACCTGTGCATGCGCCCGGCGCAGGTGCAGCGATGCAGCAGCGACAACAACAGCCGATCAACCCGCTGGCGGCACGTTTGGGCGTCAACATACCGTCTGGACCTGCCGCGATGAGGCAGCAAGGAGCGAACGGGCGCGCGCAGGGCGCGCCTGCAGCAGGATCGCTGGCGGCGCGGCTCGGTGGGAACGGTCAGGCGGGATCGGCTGCGAGCGGCGCGAAGGGCGGACGAGGTGGGCGCGGGGGCGGCGGACAGGCTGCTTCGGCTGGGCAGGGTGGCTCGTCGCTCCTGGCGAGGCTCAAGTGATCAGGGTACAGTACATCGGGGATCGTGCAAGGGTCGATTTGCGTCCAGAGATTGTCGCGAGGAGGACGGGGTCGGCTGGCCTTCTCAAATCGCCGCTATCTCGACTCGCCGCCTCGACCGCTTGTGTTGCTCTTTCCTCGGCGACAGGTGCGGATCTCGTCGTCCGGCGGTCGTTGTTCCGCCCGCGCTGTTCTCGAGATCGCAACGCCAGGAACCTGTCCTCGTGCTCGCATCTCGAAAAGTCCCCACCTCGGGACCCACTCATCTCTTTCTCTCTCTCGCTCTTCACTCGACGCATCGCCCGCTCTAATCGCACTCGCACGCACTCACAAGCAACGCACACGATGCTCTCGCCCCTCCGCACCTCGACCGTCCGCACCCTCGCCGCCGTCCCTGCTTCCCGCCGCTACTTCTCGCTCGGAGCTGCGTGGGACCCGCTCCAGCGCGGCACTGGCGCTCTCCGCCCGAGGAAAGAGTTCTACCCGTCGCAGTGCGGCAAGAGCGGCGAGGAGGTCAAGCAGGGAGTGTGGTACTGGCGGTGAGTCGAACCCTCGCTTGTTCCACCGCATTGGCGCTCCTCCTGCGGCGAGAGTGTACTGACGCGCTCCTCTCGTCCACAGCAGGCTCGCTACCTACGAGATGGGCTACCTCTGGGCCTTCATCGGCGTGGTACGCTTCACAATCGCTCCTTGTCGACGTTGCGAACTCACTGACCGATCTTCTCTGTGCGTCCAGATCGGAGCCGTTGGCGTCGGCATGGGCTACCACCACCGTGAGTGCACGCTGGCTGTGACTACTGCGCTCAGAAGCGAGGCTGACGATACCGCTGCCTCGTTTACAGACAGGGCTGTAGGTTTCCAGTGCTCGCAAACGTCGGGTCTCCCTGCACGGGATTGTCCTGGCGTTGCTGCAATCTCCGGGACGACGCTCACGTCCTGTCCTTCTGCAGAACGGGCTCGACGGCCACCTCAAGCACTGAGACGGGCGCGCTTCTTCCGGGTCATCATCCAGTCATCCACATCATCTCCACACTGTCGACATGTAGCATACTGTACATAGGCTCGTCCATCAGGTGCAATGGTCCCAGCCGTGCCGTCTTCTCCCCTGTTCTCGCAGTGTCAGCAACAGGCGAGTCGCTCGTCTTCCAAGCCTCCGCATCGCTTCGACCCGAAGCTCAGGATCCGCACCGAAGGAGCGCACCGCGGCACTCTGCTCCTCGATACGACGAACCCCGCCAGCGTCGCCTCCTGCCTTCGCCATCTCACGCCGTCTCGTCCCGACTCCCGACAGCTTCCGTCGCATTTCATCCGAATCTCGTCATTTGGCAGCTTCTGAGCGCCCCCAGAGGTCCGCAGGCGGGCAATGAAGCGGAAGGCGAACTTGCGAAGGTCAGCGCAGGTCGGAGCGAGCACCTTCTTCCATCCTTCTACAAAAGCGCACGCTCTCTTTTGCTTCTCGTTCTCCTTCACACACACTCACAACACTCACAAGCAATCTCCCAAGTGCGCCAGGCACCCCTCCCCTTGCGCCTCATGCCCCAACTGACTCTCCTCCTCGACAGACATGTCTGCCTTCGCTCCTGCCATCCGCCAGCTCGCCGCTGTATCCCGACGACGAGTCGCAACATCTCTTCCAGTTGGAAGGCGTCAAGCCTCGACTGCGGTCCCGCACCACTTCGAGGCGCCTCACTACTCGCTCAAAGTGCGCTCGCCTTCCCTCGATGTCAACTCCGTCCAGACTAACTCTCTTCCCTCGGTCCGCAGGAGAAGCTCACTCGCTTTGTACCGACCGAGTCGTACCCCTTGATCGCCTTCGTTGCCTGCATGTCGACCTACGCTATCGTCCGTCTCCCTTTCTCTTCCCCGTCGTGCTTCTGCTCATCCTCGTCACCTTCGGCAGTACTCCGGCTTCCACGCTATTGGCGCCGTCCCAGGCGAGCTTCGTCTCGCACCCAGCCATCTCAAGCAGGAGAAGCGCGCCGAGCCGTGGGAGGACCCACGCGCCCTCGCCGGAAAGTGGTAGACGGCCTCAAGCCTGCCCTTACACTGCCTTACTGTCTTGTCTGTATACTACTGCATTTCGGAAGTCTCGTTGCGCCGGTTCTAAGCGCGAAAATAAGGTCTAGAGACATAGTGAGGCTTAAGTTCGATTCTACCACCCGGTTATCCGACTGGGCGGCTGCTTCTCCACTTCTATCGCTCTCCGACCAAGCTGCATCAACCCCTGCCGCATCACCTCCGCCATCTCGCTCCTCATGCGCCCAATCTCGCTCGGCTCCTCCTGCAAGTCCTGCCCAACTGGCCGGTCGTAAGTGCTAGGTCGCCAGGGTATGGGGTATGTGGCGCGGTAACGCTGTACGAGAGGCTCGACGGTCGAATTGAGGGGTTCACCGAGGAGGATCGTGACGTTTTTGCCGGTTCGAGGAAGGTAGTTGGGCCAGACGCGCGGTTCGTCCATTACTTGCTCGAAACCTGCGGGCGTAGAGAGTCAGCATACTCCGGAGGGTGCGGAGAGGAGAAGGAGCGAACCCTTGATCCAGACGGGAATGATGAGCGGCATCTTCTCACACTCCATCAGCATCCGGCTGATCCCCCACTTGAATCGCCGCAACTCCTCCAGGTTTTCCTGCTTGATCCGACCTTCAGGGAAGATGTGGACCTACAGTAGGGACGTTAGCCAGGGTATCGCGAGCGAGGGAGGGACAAACGCACCCACTGCCCCTCGTCCAGCTTCTTCGTCGCTTCATCAATCGCCTTCTGGTAGATTCCTTTCCCTCGGAACGTCTCTATGACCTGACCCTTCGTGAAGAACCACCGATCCCACTTGCCCTGTGCGCCGATGCCGCGGAAAGTCAGCCTTCACCGCCTCGTCGAGCAGAGGGAGGAGGATAAGAACGCACGTTGAACATGACATCGCTCGCTCCGAGCGTCCATCGCAGTGTCTGCGAGTCGAGGAATGTCCGCAAGGGCAGGCAGCCCCACATGAACGGCTCGTCGACGCTGTTTCGCCAGAGGAGCCGGAGATGAGCTTGCCGGCTAACTGATGAGGAGCTGGTTAGGGAGAACCACGCACACCGAGATGTGGTTCGATACTGCGTGAGCTCGAGAGTCAGCTCAGCTATCGCAGCGAAGCGCTCGGCGGGACGCACCGGTCAACACTCCTCGCTCGCCCTTCAGTCGCTCGAGGAAAGTTGGCAGCCCGTCCACCCGCACTTCCCGACAACCTGCGCGCAGGAACAGCTTCGAGAAAGCCCCGACGACCAGCGGCACGCTCCCCATCCAAGCAAGGCGGTGTGAGAAAGGAAAAGAAGCAAAGCGGCGGAGACGAACGTGAAGAGGGGAGACGGAGATGAGGTTCTCAAGCGTACCTCCGAACGATGCTGGCAGTCCTCCAGCTGGGACTACACTCTGAATTCTTGGCAATGCGGGCGGAGCGTGCGGAGGTATGCGAAGATAGATTACAACCGGCTTTGCGAAGCGCAGAATACGAGGATGCTTGGAGAGACTTCGGGGTTATCCAGTACAAGGGTGGAACGAATGTGTATCTTGCTAAGTCAGAAACCCTGTAAGAAAGAACGAGCGCGAGACGGGAGGAGGTAGAGGCGGAAGCGCGTCTAGGGGGACAAGGGAGGTGCATTCAGGCAACGGTGACCTTGGCGACCTGCTCCGTGACCAGCTCGACCTGGGGAACCTCGCGGTTCTCCATGTGGAGATGCGATTTGGGGTGCTGCGGACGAGAGAGGCGTAAGTATGGTGTGCGGCGAGGAGGAGAGCCGAAAGCAAAACTCACAGGAGGCTCGTAGCTGGCCTGGCCAGCAATCTGCTCGTCGAGGCAGCCAGCAGCGGAAGCGATGAAGCCGAGGAAAGCCGGCGAGGGGTTGAGAGGACGGGTGCAGAACTCGGGGTGCGCTTGGAGACCGACGAAGTACGGGTGATCTGCGCAACATCCAGGTCAACATGCGCTGCACAGGTATCGAGAGCGATGCCGACACTCACCCTTGAGCTCCGCGACCTGCATACGCTCGCCGCGCTCGTCACGACCGGTGAAGAGGAAGCCCGCCTTCTCGATCTGCTCGACGTATGCCGGGTTGACCTCGTAGCGGTGACGGTGACGCTCCCAGATAACATCGGCGTCGCCATACAGCTTGCGGACCTGCGACCACTCGGTGTTGGGCTGGAAGACGGTTGGTCGGAGGCCGAGACGCATCGTGCCGCCGAGGTGGGTCTTCGAGATCTCGGGCATGAAGATGATGACGGGGTCGGGCGTCGTCTCCATGAGCTCAGCCGAGTGTGCGTCTGTGAAAGGCGACGATGAGACAGTTTCGTGATTCGGTGGTTGAGGTAAACTCACCCTTAAGCCCGAGAACACCGCGCGCGAACTCGATAACCGCGATCTGGAAGCCCAAGCAGATGCCGAGGTACGGGATCTTCTTCTCGCGCGCCCACTTCGCCGCTGCGATCATGCCCTCCGTACCACGAAGACCGAAACCGCCGGGAACGAGGATACCGCTGCCAGGTATTCAGCTCGTCAGCTTTGCTCTCTCGCTGCAGATTGTTGGGAAACCGACTCACTTGGCCGTGCACACCGCCTGCCAAGCCGCGTGGAACTCCTTCGGTCGCTCCTGCTGCGCCTCCTTCTCGAGGTCCGAAGACTCCACCCAGGTGATCTGCAACTTGCGGCCGCACTTCATGGCTGCGTGCTCGAGCGACTTGATGACGGACGTGTACGAGTCTTGCAGCGAGGTGTACTTGCCAACGAGGCAGATCGAAACCTTGTCGAAGAGGCGGTCGTACCTGTGCGGTTAAATCGTCAGCGCGGGTCAAAGGATCAGTGACGGTGCAAACAACGCACGAGATGGTCAAGTCCTTCCACATCGTGAGGAGCTTGGTACCGCGAGCGACGCGCGGCTCAGGAAGCCGGATCTGGTCGAGCTTCAGGCGGTGCTGGAGGAACTTGACGAGACCCTGAGCCTTCAGGAGGAGGGGAACGTGGTAGAGGGAGGAGACATCGTGGACGGCAACGACCTGCTCGTTCGCGACGTGGCAGAACATGGAGATCTTGGACACGACGGAGAGAGGGAGAGGGGCGGGGCAGCGGCATGCGATCTGTTTGACAGCCCTCGTCAGCTCGCGGCTCGGCATACAAACGGGCGGAGGACTCACAAGGTCGGGCATCAAACCGAGTCCGCGAAGGTCGCGAATGCTCGCCTGAGTCGGCTTGGTCTTGAGCTCGCCGTTGATCGAAGGAACAAGGGAGACGTGGAGGAGGGCGAAGTTGTCCTTGCCAACGCGGAACTGGAACTGCCGCATTGCCTCGACGAAAGGCGCCGACTCGATGTCACCGACCGTACCGCCGAGCTGTTCGCGGGCAGATCCTGGTCAACATTCCTTGTCCCGTCTCGCCAGGAGCGCCGTCGCTTACCTCGATGATGCAGACATCCGGCGCCTGGTCCGACTCGTCCACCGGGATTTGCGCAACCCGCTCGACCCAGTCCTGAATCGCATCCGTGACATGAGGGATGACCTGGACGGTCTTGCCGAGGTAGTCTCCCCGTCGCTGCAAGTCCAAGGCCGTCAGCTCACGCTCCTTGTCCGGCAGAGTCCGACACGCCGGCCCACCTCCTTCTCGATGACCTCGCGGTAGATCTTGCCGGTCGTGATGTTGTTGTCGCGGCCAAGAGTGACATTGAGGTAGCGCTCGTAGTTGCCCAAGTCGAGATCCGCCTCTCCTCCATCGTCCAGCACGAACACCTCGCCTGCAGGCCCGCAGAATCAAGTCAGCCCCGGACGAAGTCAATCCAGCTCGAGGGACAGTAGGTGACCCACCGTGCTCCGTCGGCGACATGGTGCCGGCGTCAATGTTCATGTACGGGTCGATCTTTATCGCCGTGACATTGAACCCGAGCGTCTTGAGCAGCAAGCCGGTCGACGAGGCTGATCGAGGAGACGCGACTGGATTCAGCGAGACGCGTCTGGCGAAGCAATGCTCGCGAGCTGGGACGAACCGATGACGCCCTTGCCAATACCCGAGATGACACCACCCGAGACGAGAATGTACTTCATCGCTGCGCCGTTCGACGAGGAGCGGGGGAGAGTTGGCGGAGAGATGAGGGTGAGCGAACGAAACGAGATGCGGGCGTCGTCGAGCGGTTCAAGCGGCAGCGGGCGCGGCTCGTGAGCTAGCTGGAGCTCGTGCAAGAGTGTCTGGGCCAAGTCCTGTGGCTGTAGCGGGGGAGCAAGAAAGGGGAGGGGACAACCCACACTCGCCCAAGCGCAGCTCGTCTCGTCCGACCATCTCCGTGGACTTGCGGGAAAATCAAGTCGGTGCAAGCAATGCAAGGGTTGCTGTGAATACAACAAGGACGCTACGAACGAGCCCAGCCCGTGTCGGACCGCCCGCTCCTCACGCGCCAACCACCGCTCCTCGTCGAGTCTTCGGCTCCGGGGCTGCTCCTCCTCCGTCAATGACCTTGCCGCTCGTCGTCTGGGGCGGAGCAGCAGGCTGCTTGCTCGGTCGTCGGAAGCACAGGAACTGGAGAGCTGTCGCTCGTCGAGACGCAACGAGGGTCCGCTTCAGCCCCTCGAGCTCTTGCTGCAGCTCTTGCGCCGAGCTGTTCGGACGGCGATAGTACGACTGCGAGATCGTCTTATAGATCGACTGCAGCGTCTGGTCGGCGAGTGGCGAGACGTGCTGGGAGAGGGTTTGGTGCATGAACTCGATCTCGAGCGTGGCCTGCGATGTCAAACAACATCAACGTGTATCTCCAGGCGAAGCACAACGCTGTTGTACGATGCCGAAGAGCGCGATATTGTGACGCACCTGCAACATCCCGCCCATGCCGAACCGCTCTACCTTGCTGAACGCCTCCAGCGCGACGTTCGCCAATTCTTCGACAAGACTGCCGAGCGTTCGCGAGACGAGTGGTCTTGCCGTCGCCGAGACCTGAGCGTGGACGAGGACGAGGGAGAGGAGGGCGTCGTAGATGAAAGGATGGACCTCTGCCAAGTGGAAGAACAAGCTCCATCAGCTTCGTCGCCTCTTTGGAGAGCGCACGAACTCACCCGTCGGCTTGTCCGCCTCGTACCAGTTGACGGTCCCTCCCAGCACGCCCTTGCGGATGATCTTGGCAATCTCGGCACTCTTGCGCTTGACATAGTCGTCAAAGAGGATCTTGTCGAGCTGCTCGGTGACGTCCATGAGCATCTGGATGTCGGACGCCATGTCGACTTTGTAGGCGGACTGGAACTGGTTGATCAGGCGCGGGATGGTCGTCTCGCGAAGGTGCGTCAGGTTCGAGACGGTGAGGAGGATACGGATGTCCTGCGATGCGATGCATTAGCTGCAAGCACGTCGTTACGATAGGAGGGGTTTAGCGCACCACGTTGCGGATGTCGACCTCCTTCGGCCGGCCCGTGTCGTCGTCCGCCTCGATACCCAGACCTCTCCGCTTCGTCCCGCTCGGACTGCTATAGATCGTCTCGGGGTCCGAGAAGGCGACGTGCACGAGCCCGTCGAGGAAAGCGTACAAGCCGTCAAGGAAGGCGCTCTGGATCTTGCGCTGGAAGTCGGTAGGGATAGTCACGTCCTGGCGATTCCGGGACGCCGTATTGCTGGATGAAGAAGACGACGAGGAGCCCATCAGAGCATTGCCGCGCTCTTCGGATCCACCGGCGACGCGGTAGGCCGAGATTGCCATGAAGCGCTGGAAGGAAGTGATCTGGCGGAGGAAAGCGGTCATGGCGGGATTGTCGGGATCTGGTCGCCATGTCTCAAGGCGGTAGAAGACCTTCGCATCTGTGGTGAAACTTGGTCAGCCGGCGGATAAGCGCCCAGTGCATGGACGTAACGCACCTCGTACCCAACTCGAGCAGATCGCCTCCTCGAACCTCCACCGCGTACTCGCGACGAGCTCCTTCAAGCTCTGCGTCGCCTCGCCCGATAATTCCAGCGCACTCATCTCGCTGACGCACTCCATCAACTCGTTCAGCACTCGAAGAAGCCAATGACAGTTCGTCGTGGCGTTCGAGACAGGCGGGACGAAGGACGGCATGGGCGGAGTGGCGTTCAGGTCGTCGGGTCCGCTCTTTGTGGTTACGGGCGGCGATGTCGAGGACGAGAGGGTGAAGAACTGGGAAAGAAGGGAGACGTAAAGAGTGACGATGTCCTGCGTCATTACGCGGCATTGGGTAGGCGAGCGGCGCGAGGCGGCTGACGTCGACGTGTTTTTCTGCAAAGTGTACCGTCCGGAGCATCGTCAGCATGTCTGCACAACCGGCATGCAGCTGGTACGAGCCCAGCGGGAGCCGCCGCGCACCTTCTGGTACTTCCCCTCCATGTAGCCCTTCGCGACCTTCCAGAAGCTCGGCAGCGTCTGCATGATGACCTCGTTCAGGTTGCGGACGAAGTCAAAGATGAGTCGCCAGACTTCGGCGCCGGCGGCGTTTTCTGCGGGCGGGCATGGCCGTCAGCGCTACTATATCTCGCTAGCGCCCGGAGATGACACACCTCGTACTCGCTCGCCGTCAAGACTCTGCAAGCTCGCGACGCAAGTCCCCAGATCCGCCGCCTGCTTCCGGTCGTTCTCCTCTGCTTCACCAAACTGGTCCATCGCGATTCGTATCCGGCTCATACTTGAGTCGGCGGAGGAACGCAGGAGCTGGAGGATGTGGCGATGTTGGGTGTCGAAGAAGATCCAGACGGGGTCGTCGGAAGGGTCGAGTTCGAGCAGGATTCTGCAGGTGATGGAGGTGAGCTGGAGGAACGGAGTCAGGACGAGGATGCGACGCACTCGATAGTCTTCTCCACCTCGTCCAGTCCGCGCTTCGTATCTCGCAACCGCTTGCCGAGCGTCGCGCGCAAGTCGCCGATAATCTTCTCAACCTGACCCCAGACTTTGTCGTAGATCCGCTTCTGCTGCTGCTGTTGCTGAGGCGTCGTCGGGACGGGCAGGCCCAGGAGCTGAGCTGGTCGAGAAGCGAGGATGTATCGGCCCTTCTTGTAGGCTTGAAGGGCGACTTCGTAGCGACCCTGCGTGAGTGCAGGGTGAGCCTCCGTGGACAAGCAACGATAGTAGCGGATACTCACCTCCTCGACCGCCTCGCCCAAGATCGTCGGCAGGTTGAAAAAGAACTTGGACCGCTCGAAAACGCCGAGCGTGCTCTTGAGCCGTTCCGCCTTTGTCCGCGCTTCGACGATAGGCTGGAAGACGGTCTCGGCGCGAGAGGAAGCAGCTGCGAGCGCAAGAGCTCAGCGATCGAGTCACCTGCAGGTGCGAGACTGCACCAAGCGCACCTTTGAGCGTGTCCCGCATCGACTTGACGCCGTAGTCTTCGCCCGGCGTCAAGGGTCCGCCGTCCTTCATCTCCTCGAATACAGCTGCGCAGTTCTCATCAGCACGCAGCCTGACAAGACTGACCGGTCGTACGCACTCTCTGTCGCTGCCTTGACCGCGACAAACCGATCCCACTCCGCCTCGACAAGCAGCTTGAGAGCACCCGATCGCTTCTCGAGCGACTCTTTCAGCCTTTCGCGACCTTATGCGAACTCAAAAATTCAGCGGGAAGTCCGCTGTTTGGCGCGGGGCGACTTACCGACGTTGAGGTCCTTGAACGTCGCGTTCGGGTGGACAGTCGAGAGGAAGACTTTCGGGTCGAACGACTTCGAGTGCGGGAGAACGGCGGAGCCTGCGTGGCGAACGTATTGTCAAGCTTGGACAGGCGAAGACCGCCCGGCAAAGTGAATAGACGCACGCAAGTCGCTTGGAAGGTCAGGGTTGTTCCTGCGGGCAGAGCTGGCGTTACTGGCTACGCCGTCTGTCTTGGAAGCGGCTCGACACTCACGCAAGGATTCCTCCCCTCATCAGACCCAATGGATCCGACTCGTCGCCCTTTGGCGCACCCGCAACCTTGGCCGTTCCTGTTGCGCCTGCGAAGCCATCCTTGGGCGAGTCGACAGATGCCGGATCGGCCGTCTCGCCGGCTTCCCAGTGAGTCTGCGACGGTGTACGAGTAATGTCAGCATCGATACGCCAGGTGCGAGATTGGCGAGACGTACGGGAGCGAGCGTCGAGAGTCCGTAGAGCTCCAACACTGCAGGGCGCATCGTGCGGTCGGTGAGCGCGTCTCAGAAAAGCAAATACCGCGTCGCACTCACTGGCCTCCTCGTTCGCCTCCCAGTCCTGCGGCTTTGGGCTCGGAGGTGCTCCATCTCGCCCGCTCATCCCCGTCTGCACGCTCAGCCCGCTGTGTCCGCTGTCCTGCCTGCGCATCTCTGCTCTCGGGTCGGGTTCGCTCGCACTGCTCGACGGCCGGCGGTACCGTTCGCCGTCGTGAGACGGTCGTCGCGTCGAGTGTGGGGGAAGTGGTTGTCGGGGGTCGAAGTCCTGCGGTTCCTGCTGGACAGGCCGTGTGTAGCTCCTGCCCTGCATCTTTGTAGCCTAGCACGGTGCCCGCACGAGCAGCAGAGCGAGAGCGTGTCGTCACGTCGAAGCCGAACAGGCCCTTCGACTTGATCCGTTCACTGGACCTCGCTCACCTCGCTTGGCTGGACTGCTGCTGGCTGAGAAAGAATGAGCACAGTGCGACGGCGCAACCAGCCAAAGCGCAACGCCTCAGCGCCCGCCAACCAGCTCGATACCGACGATTCCTCGCCCGCTCCCTCTCGACCTGACTCGCCCGATGTTGACAAAGCGCCAGTGAGGGAGGTCCCGCTGTTCAAGCGGAGGCTGAAGAAGGGGGATGGCAAGGTGGAAGACCCGAAGGTCATTCTGGACGAGAAGACGGGCAGGGTTTCTCTCGACTTTCCAAGGACGCCCTACGACCAGCTCGACCTGAGCGATTCGTTCCTCGCCGCCTTGCACGAGGCACCCTTCGAGCCGAAGAAGACGTGGACAAAGCGGCGGAGAGGCTGGTTCTTCTTGGGAGGATTGCTCGGTCTCTGCGCAGGGTGCGTTCTCTTTCGCTGTTGCCGCTGGAAGCGCGTCCATGCTGACGGCTCATTCGTTCCCTTGCGTAGCTGGATGTTCACCGAGGGCGACCCACTCGCCTCTCTCGCCAATCTCGACCTCGATGCCTTCTCATCCTGGGATCTTCAGTCAATCCTCGCCGACATGCCTTCCCTTTCCGCTCTCAACGTCACTGAACTCCTGGCGCCAGGTCGAGAATGGCTAAACAGCCGAGTGAACAACTTTGACGTCGGGCGAGACGCGGCTGCGCGAGGGTTGAAGAAGAAGCATGCGGTCATTCTGGTGCCGGGCATCATCTCGTCGGTGCGTTCGCTCTACCTCTCACACACGCCCCGTAGACTGACGAGTTGCGGATAGGGTCTCGAGTCGTGGTCAACCAAGCCAGACGCCGCACCCTTCTTCCGTTCGAAGGTCTGGGCGGGAACCTCGATGATCCGCGCCGTTATCAAGAACAAGGAGGCGTGGGTCAAGGCGATCAGCCTTGATCCATTCACTGGCTTGGATCAGGATGGGTATAAGATACGAGCTGCTCAGGGTGTGAGTCGAACTCGTTCTCCAGTTCGCGCCCCTCGCTGATTGCGTCCTTCTCCAGCTCGACGCCGCCTCCGCTTTCATGCCTGGGTACTGTAGGTTCTCCGCTTCTTGACTGCTTCGCCCACTGTGCTGAAGCCTTCGCTCCTCGCAGGGATCTGGCAGAAGGTCATCGAGAATCTGGCGGTTCTGGACTATGACCACAACGACCTGTCTCTCGCATCTTACGATTGGCGACTTGCGTGGGTCGTACATGCCGTCGTTGAGCCGGTGACTGCATCGCTGACGCCGCTTCCCCCACAGGTTCTACAACCTCGAAGTGCGAGATCGCTACTTCTCTCGGCTCAAGGCTTCGATAGAGTTCAATCTCGCCATCAGCGGTCAGAAGACGGTTCTCGTCTCGCACAGCATGGGCTCTTCGGTTCTTCTCGTGCGTCGTGTTCTCTTGATATCGCTCGCAGATAAGCTGACTCTGTCCTCCTTCACAGTGGTTCTTCAAGTAAGCTTGCCTCGCCATTCAGCTTCACGGACAATTCGACTGACGATTGCGGACGTGTACAGGTGGGTCGAGTCGCCGAAGTACGGCAACGGCGGACCAGACTGGGTTGAGCGGCACGTCTCGGACTGGGTCAATGTCGCCGGCACGATGCTCGGTGCGCACCGTCCCCAGTCCACGAGCGATTTGCTTACTGAACTTGACCGCCCTCTCAGGCGTTCCGAAAGCTATGGCCGCCCTCCTCTCGGGCGAGATGCGCGACACGGTTACGCTCTCTCCCGCCGTCATTTACCTCCTCGAACGCTTTTTCTCCCGCTCCGAACGCGCCAAGCTGTTCCGCTCGTGGGCCGGAGCGGCGAGCATGATGCTGAAGGGCGGAAATGACGTCTGGGGCGATGAGCAACAGGCGCCGGACGACATGGACGAGTCGACAATCACGGGCGGAAAGCTCTAGTGCGTCGCCGTCTCAAACATCTCAAGCACCGGCTGACACCCTTTCACGCAGCTACTTCCGGCCTGAGAATTACTCGAATACGTCGGAAGTGACGGAAGACGCCGTCCACCCGAACCTTACACTCAACGACGCAACAAGCTTTCTTCTGGAGAAGGTCCCGCCGTCTTACCAGCAGATGCTGGCGAGTAATTTCTCGGTGCGCGCGCTGCTGGGCATCCCCGAGCGGAGACAACTGACCTGCCCGCGACAGTTCGGCTTCGAGCGCGACGAGGAGCAGCTCGTCAAGAACAACGACGACCACTCGAAATGGAGCAATCCGCTCGAGGTGCAGCTGCCGAAGGCGCCGTCGATGACCATCTACTGCTTGTACGGCGTCGGCAAAGAGACGGAGCGGGCGTACTTCTACCAGCAGGGTGCGGCTCGTCCTCAGCGCCGCCAGCGAGCGTTACTGACGTCTGCAGCGGCCTGTTTGTAGGCGGCTACGAGCACGACGAGACGCCAACCGTCAACCTCACGGACTCCGGCGCATCCAGCCCTGAACCTGTTTGTCTCGAGCCAAACTGCACCGACTCGACGCCGCGCCCGCCGCTCGACCTGCCGCTTCAGCGACGCGTTTGGATCGATGGCAGCGTGACCATGGACGAGAAGAGCGTGCCGAAGGTCAGGAGCGGAGTCGTCTTCAACGACGGCGACGGGACGGTCAGCTTGCTCAGCCTGGGCAGCATGTGCATCGAGGGCTGGAAGGTGCGTCGCATTCCACGTAATCTATGAGCGGAAACTGACGAACGCCCCTCGTAGCGACCTCTGTACAATCCGGCGGGCATCAAGGTCGTTACGCACGAGATCTTGCATGCTCCGCTCGCTTTCGATCCACGAGGTGGACCAACGACCGCAGACCATGTGAGCTCCACACCTCAACACCCGTTTCCTGCTTGTCAGCTAACCCTCTTTGCCGCAGGTCGACATCCTCGGATCGTGTGTCCTCCTCGTCGCGGTCCCTCCGCCAGACAAGGCTACTTACTGACCCGCTTCTCGTGACTCCGACAGATCCGAACTGAACGACGCGATCCTCGACATTGCTGCTGGCCAAGGCGAACGCGTCAAGGACCAGTACCATTCGCGGATTCAGGACATTGCGCGCAAGATCAGGTGGGAGGGCTGACCCACCCTGTGCGCATTGCCCAGACTTTCTCCCCTTTCCCGTGTAGAGGTCGTAATACTGTTGTTTCCCGCTTTCGGTTGATTGCAGACGACAAAGGCTGAGCGGCAGATGGTCCTTCCAGCTCGTTCGCCTTCGTCGCCGGCATCGCGAATCCTTCGTTCTCTGCGCTCGATCACCTTTCTGCGACTACGCGCATCCGATCGCCAGCTGTGCGAAGGCAGCCGCTCTCCACGGAGCAGCTGGTCGGTTCGAGGAGGCGGCCGCAAGTGGAGATGTGCCGCCGCCTGGCTTCCTCTCTCGAAGAATGGCCTTTGTTCGACGCTCTGGGTTTCGACGGCATTCATGAGCAGCGCTGATCGGCGGCGGGCAGATGGTCGTCGGGATCTGCAGGGAAGACCGGGAGAGGAAGGCGGCGCGGAGTCCGAGCCAACCCTGCGGAGATGGCGCGCCTCGCTTCTTCGACTCGCGCTTGCTCTCCTTCACCACTCGCACTTATCAGAGGGCTGGCATCGGCGCTGCTACGATGCCCGCCCTGTCCGCAGACAGCTGGCAGAATATCGTTTCAGTCGTTTTTTCCGCCTTGTCGGCGGCCGGAGCACTGGCCATCATCTCTGGCTTCGTCCTGACGCCGCAGCGACAGCACTTGCGTGTCAAGCTCATCCTGGGCCTGGGGATCACGGGTGAGTTGTATTCGTCGACCGTGACGTTCAAGCCAGTCTGACATCGCTCTTCGTGCAGACTTCGTCCAAGCCGTTACTACCTTGTTTGTTCGGTTCTCGCTATCCACCGAAAGTACACCCGCCAACGCTTGCTCTCGCGCAGGTCCGGCAATGTCCTCGAGCTGTCCGGCCACCCGTACAAGACGAACTCGAGCAGCTGCCTGGGGTCCGCCTTCGTCTGTTCGTCGACCGCTTCACCTACCAACTTCCCAAGGAGGGACTCGCTGACACGCTCTCTGCCAGACCAAGCATGCGTTCTGTGCAACGCTTGCTGGACCCTCGTCATCGCCTTGGTGACCTACACGACGCTCGCACACCCTTTCTCTCGCCTCACGACTCTGCTCGAACACCGTCTCGCTTTCTCAGCGATAACAGCCGGCGTCTTGGTCATCGGCCTTACTCCGGCTATCGCGACGACGGCCGTCTACGACATGGCGGACGCTGCGGGGGTGTGCTTCATGAAGCCCGGTACGCAGGCGGGCAACCTCGTCCTGTTCGTTCCTCGCGCCGCAACCCTCGCCGCCGTCATCTGCCTCTACGTCGCCCTCTTCATCTTCTTCCGCCGGCGCAACATGAAGCTGCTCGACATGTCGACCAACGACGAGGAAGGGCAGGAGCATGACGCGCCGGCGCCGAAGCGAATGTCACTGTCGAGCTTGCGGGGGAGATTGCCGGTATGGAATCGGCGGCAAAGCGAGATGGAGGATGGAGGCGTGCGAACAGCGGAGAAGCCGGCACACCGGCCCCTGGCGCCAATACCCGGCTCTCCTGTTGCCTTCTCGCAACCTTTCGACGACGCCGCACCTCCGTCGCAACCCTTTCCCAAACTCGACAACTCTTCTTCCCCTCCTCCTCCTCATCGCTCCGACGTCCACTTGCCTTGCCGCGAAGTGCGGCAGCCTTCGTCCGTCACCCAAGTCGACCTCGACGAAGCGCTCCACGACGCCGACCTACATCCGCCGAAAGATGTCGCTTCTCCCTCCATACCGCGCTTCAAGCGCTTCTCGAGCCACGCCTTCTCCGCACAGCAGTCTGCCTCAGGCAATGCGACGCCCGAACGAGCAGCGTACCGTCCGCTCTCGCCCCGACAGCTGAACAAGCGACTCTCCCTCCTCATGGCGCTCTACCCCCTCGCCTACTCCTGTCTCGTCGCCGTTTCCATTGCTCGCCTCATTCAGCAACTCGCGACGAAGCAGATTCCGTCAGCAGGCCTTGCGTGGACATCGCGCTACTTGATCTTCTCGCAAGGTCTCGTCGACGGCGTCCTGTACGTCGTCGTCCAGTTGGCGTTTCGCGCGTGGACACGAAGAGCGCAAGGAGGAGGCTCTGGCGGCACAGGGACTGGGCAAGGTCGGGCGACGGTATAGTCGAGGGAAAGGGGAGAGTAGACGACCGACTCTCCTGTTGTTCCCATAGCTTATACTCTAGACGCACATACGCAACTATTCGCATCGCATTCACTACAACAAGGCGACCTCTTGAGAGTTGACCTTGTGAAGTTGCCTCGCTCCCAAGGTTGACCGTTGTCGGTCCACTGCTTGACTGCCGCTTGCCCGCCATGGACCCGTTCGAGGTGTGCACAGCTCTCACGAGCGTCACTGAGCACGGCTGACCGGCGCTCGCACATCCGCAACAGGTCCGGATGGAGTTCATCTCGCTCGTCTCGAAACTCACGTCGTCGGTCCTGTCCATCTCCAAGGTCGCCTCGTTCGCGCTCAAACACGCCGCCAAGTGCTCCGACGACATCTGGGACTGCTACGTCGACGAGATCGCTCACGCCAATCTCAACGCTCGCGTCAACCTGCTGTACCTCCTCGATGCACTGCTGGACAAGGAGGGGCCAAAGGGCGTCAGTCGGGGCGCAGAAGCGAGCGCAGTAGGGCTGGGAAGCTACAGGGTGCTCGTCGAGCGAGACCTGGGCAAGGTGGTCGGGCATGTCGTCCCCGAGACGAGGGAGGGCATCCTCAACTGGATGAGCGTACAGCAGGTGCGCTCCGCTCTGTCCGTATTCTCTCAAGCACATCTTGCTGACAGATGCTCCTACAGGTCCTGCGCTCATGGAAGACTCGACGGTTGCTGGATGCGGAGGTGCTCGAGCAGGTCACGGAGGAGCTGGAGAACCGCAAGACAGCGTGCGTGTACTTCACACTTTACAGAAACAGATTACTCGAAGGCTGACGAGATGATCCGGCCCCTCAGCTTGCATGACGCCTCGGCGGACTCCTCTGCTCTCGCCAATTTCTCGAAGAACGACATCTTGCGGCGGATCGAAGACGATAGGGAGCGGGTGCGTGTGCTGCGCGCTTTCAGCTTGAGTAATGCGGCTCACTGTATTTGTCTTACAGCACAAGCGTCTGAAGGAGCGCATCTGGGTCCTCCCGGTCCCTTCAACCATCTTCTCGCTCCCCTTGTCCTCCTCGATTCCCGCTGCCGCCGCCTCTTCCGCCGCCACTTCCTCGCAGAAGCCTTCACCCATCTCACCAGCATCCCCCTTCGACCCGACATCCTCCGCGAAACCGAAAAGCTCGCACGCCCGGAAATCTTCGATCGCAGCGGCCGCCGCCGAAAAGGCCACACCCGCTGCCGCAACACGGGGTCCGGAACTCGCGCTCGAGAATGAGTTCGAGCAGCTGTGGGAGGCGAATGAGGAGGAGCGACGAGCTGTGCAGGGCGGCGAGGAGGGCGACTCGGAAATGGCGGACGCGTCGCGGCCGTGGAAGCGGGGCAGGGTGTGGCCGCTGGACCAGCATGAGCGCCATGAGTTGCGGAGGGAACGACAGAGATGCTTCGTCGTTGAAGCTGCGTGACGGGGACGCGAGAACAGACTGGATCTTGTTGTGACATTACGCAACGTTCAGAACTACAACAACCTTTGCTCTAGCAATGGAAAGAGAACATGCGAGGATGCGAACGACACTCGGAACGACAGAATCACTCCCTCCTCCTCTTCGCGCCAACTCCGTACCGCTCCTTCTGCGACGCCATCGCCGCAGCCTTTCGCTTCTTCTGTGTCTTCTTCTGCTCGGCGCGCTTCGCCTTGCGCTTGGCGTCCTCGACAGGGTCGTTGATCGCCTTGAGCGCTGTCGCCTGTTTGCGCTCGTTCCGGCGAGCCGCCGCACGCTGCCTGATCTGGTTGTGGACCTGAGCGTACGCCGTCGTGCCGATCTTCTGCTGCAAGAGCTCCTGCACCTCGCGCGAGAGAGTCTGCAGCTCGACTGCGGGACAATGGTAGAGTTAGTATGGTATTGGCGGAGGAAAGGGAGACCGGACGCACCCATCTGCGGATCGTTCAAAACCGTGTCCTCCGAGATGCGGAAGATGGGCACCGCCATCTGCATGAGGAAGCGCTGCAAAGCCCCGGCATCGAGCGAGCTGATCATCGCGGCGAACCAGCGGAGGATCGAGGCGGGTTGGCGAGACCATTGGCCCTGCGGCGAAACGAGAGTCAGCGCGTGCTACGAACGGTGTATCGCGTTGAGAACTCACAGCATCGGTGTCGTGGACGCTCGGGCGGAGCATGTGCGCTTGGCGTGCTTGGTACGACAAGCGCGTGAAGAGCCACTTGAGCAGGTCGGCCTTGCGCTGCTCCTCCGACGCATCGCCCTCCTCGTGATCCTCCTCGTCGCCATCTTCGTCGTGTGCGCCTGCGGAGCGCAAGTCGCGCGCAGCGAAGCATCTCGCGGCGAAGAATAGGTTCTTGACGATTTGCATGGCGAGGTTGTCGTCGAGGAGAGGGCTCTTGAGCTGCAAGCACGCCTTCTGCGCCGCGTCGAAGAGGTTGCTCGTCGCGAGAGGATGACGCTCGGGCAGGTCATCGCAGGCGAGTGCGTCCTGACTGGCGGCGTACAGGCTGCCGAGGAGGCGGGCTGCCGAAGTGCGGACCCACAAATGAGGGTACAGCAGATGCCCACGAACCGCCTTCCATAGCGGCTGCACCGTCTTGGTGTCAGGCGAGACAAGGTCGTGGAACGCCTTGTAGACGTGAGCGGTCGCCTGCAACGCTTGGTACGGCAGTTGCCAGTCGCCCTCGAGGTCGAGCACGTCGCCGCCTCGTGTCTCTGCCTCCTCAAGCCGGTCCTCCGAGTCGGTGAGCACGTCGAGGAGGACGTCAACGATAGCCGGCGCTGCGCTCCGTCCGTCGTCGCCCATGGCGTCCACCGCGATGCCGAAGACCTGGATGGCCGTCCTGGCTAGCTGCGGCTGCGCCTTCTTGCCGGCCCACGAATGGAGCATCGTGAAGAGGACGTCACGCGTCTCCTTCTCGAGACGACTGAAGAGCAGCTTGAGGAGCTCGGCAGCCATTTCGCGGCACTTGGTCGAGTCGTCGTTCGCGACGACCATGACGAGCGCGACAAAGAAGAGCTCGGCCGAGTCCTGGACGAGCTGCGAGGCGAACTTGTTGAGGATGGCCGATACCAGTTCGAGGACCGACAGGCGACCGCTCTCGTACGTGTACGAGAGGTTCTTGGCGAGGAAGGCGAGCGACTCCTTGAGGCGACCGCGACCTTGCGGGTAGTCGAGGAGGAATTGGAGGTAGATGGCGCGGCAGACTTCGCGGACGTTACCCGACTGGTTCGTGACGAGCATCTCGGCGACCTTGTTAATGAGGTCGTAGATCTCGGGCGCGACGAACTTTCGAGCCATCACGGCGCGGAGGACCTGGAACAGCGTGGCCTGACGGTCCGCTTCTTCGAGATCCGGTCCGATGAGCTGCAGGAAGCTTGCCAGTTAGCTTATGTGGCGTAAGGAAAGAACGAGAGGGCTCACCTCGAGCAGCGAGGTCAGCTGCTTCTCCGAGAGCATCGCCGTCTTGCAGTCGCGCAGTACCGTCGACAGAGTCCGGAGCGCCGATTGAGCGAGCTCGGATTCGGTGCTGCCGGCGCGCTCGATGACACTGAGCATTTGCTTGACGAGAACGGGCGCCGCTTTCTCGGTGCTCGAGAGCGGGCATCGGATGAGACTGGCCGTTGCGCGCATGCTCCGAGCGAGGACGACTGGGTCATCGGAGTACAGCGAGTTGCCGACCAGGCTGACGAGGGGCTCGAGCCGCGAGAGTACGTCGGGCGAGTCGAGGTCGAAGACGGACTTGCGGAAGGCGGCGTTGAAGAGCTCGAGACCGAACGAGACGAAGCGGTAGGCATTCTTGGCGTAGTAGTCACGGGTCTCGTCCCGCTCGCGCTCGAACTGTACGTGATAGTCCGGCGCTGCCTTGCCGTGCCTGCGGACGACCTTGACAGCCTTGAGGAAAGCGGCGTTCTGGCTGATAAGACTGTGGCAGAGGTCGAGTGTCGCGATAGCATCGAGCTGGTTGTTTGCCGTCAAACCGATCGCGAGAGCCTTGAAGACCTCCTCGACGTCCCTGATCGCCTTGGCCGAGTCCGTGGTCGACAAAATGCCGCGCAGGGGCGCGAGAAGCGCTGCGATCTTGCCGGGCGACACGACACGCGCAAGGCTCTGGAAGGAGTCGAGCGATTTGAACGAGCGGACCTCGCGGAACTTGGTCTTGGCCCGGAACTCTTGCGACGTGCGGTCCTTGCTGGGGTTGCCGAAGACGTCGTCCTCGAGCACGGGAACAACCTCGTCAAGCGCCGCGTCGAAGTCGACATTCTCGGGCGATTCGACGAGCCGGACAAGGAGGCCATGGACGGTGAACGCCAGCACGTGCAGCTGCGGGCCGCGCATGAGCGCCTTGCGGAGCTCCTTGACGATGCGACCGAGAATGTCGCCGCGTTGAGCCGTCGCGATGTTGGCGAGCGTGACACGGATGAGATCGCGGACATGCTGATCCCGCGAGCGAAGCGACTGCGCCAACGCCATGAGCAGGCCCGTCTCCTGGACGTGCTTCGAGTCGCCAGGGATGTGCTGAATGACGGCGGCGATACCCTCTGCGACCGGGATGCGGATCTCCTGGTCGCTGTCGTCCCGCTTCTCAAGGTACGACATGAGCTGCGGGACAAGACGGCCGGTCGTCGACTCGAGGGCTTTCGCCTCGCTTGCGAGATCGAAGTGGAACGCCTTGAGCACGCCCACGAGCGTACGGACGCAAGCCTTCTGAGGCGCGCCGCCAGCCTTTGCGAGCTTGAGGTAGTGGAGAGCGAGCTTCGAGTAGGCCGACCAGGCGAGATGCTGCGCGAGTCGTGCGAGGCACTGCACGGTCTCGTTGACCAGATCGGGATCCTTCTTCTCGTCCGAGCCGAGGACGAAGTGGTCGAGGAGAGGGAGGAAGAGGTCGGCGATAGTCTTGCTGGAGATGCCGCCCGCTTCGACCGCGTCGGCGAGACGGCGGAGTGCGCGGGTGCGGCGGTGGTTCTGGATGTGGAGGATGTTGTTGAAGAAATTGGCCTCCTGGTCTCCGCCGACGAGGAGGACCTTGAGCTGCTCGAGCTCCGGCACGCCCTCCACCTTCTCCACCGCATGTCCCAGCACAGCGAGGACCTCGGCACGGATGAGCTCGACCTTTGACCGGAGAACCTTGCGAAGTCCAGGAAGGAAGGTGCGGATGAACAGGACGCGGAGGGCGTCGCCGGATCCTCTGTTGACGATCTCGATGAACCTTCGCATGGCGTAGCTGGCGTTGCTTCGGATCGAGAGCTCGTCGGCGTCCTGGACAAAGTAGAGCATATTCTGAATGACGACTGTCCAGTCCGCTGGCGTGAGGGTCCGGTAGAGCTCCTCGTTCAGGCGGGAGAAGGCGGCGAGACGGCGGTCGAAGTCTGGCTCTTCCGACCGCTTCACCGAGTACGAGTTGAGGTCGTCGACGAGCTGCGCAACCTGGACATACGACTCGTCGACGCTGGCGATCGAGTTCAGCGCGGCAACGAGCTGAAGGCGGGCATTGCGGCTGCGGGAGCTGGCGAAGAGCGACGCGACGACTTCGCAGCACTTGTCGTACAGCGTAGTGCCGGGCTGAGGTTGCGCTATCGGGTAAAGAGCGGTGACGATGCGGAGCAAGTCGGTCTTGACTTTTTCCGGGACCGTCTTGTTCGTCTTGCGCAAGAGCGGCGTCGCGAGGGTGAGGAAGTTGATCGACTGCTCCTCCGAGTGGACATACGGCGCGAGCGAGCAGAGGAGGGCGATCTGGCGCTGCGCGACTTCGCCCTTGGCGTCCAGCGTCGACGATGTCACGGCGATGAGACCGCCGAGCTGAACGAGGAGGACGTCGACGCCCGGCTGAAGGACCTGCTGTCCGATGTCGCTCGCCTTTCCCCCGTCCTCCTCGGCGAACTCGACAACGCTGGCAACGAGGTCGAAGACGCGAAGAATGACCGTCGGCTTGACGTTGCGCACAGTGAGGACGTGGTAGAGCGAGGGGAGGAGCGAGGCGTCGTAGTCGACGAGGAAGCGAAGCTGGTCGCGGCGCTTGCTCCAGGCGACAAAGAGCTCGAGAAGGGCCGACGGCGCCTGAGCGTTCTGCGCCGCGAGTGTCGGCAGCCGAGGCGAGATGATGGATGGGAAGGCGGCAGAGACGTAAGGCCGGTAGTCGAAGTCCACCTCGAGGCGGAAGAAGTCGGTCCAGCGCTTCAAGGCGGTCTGGCGGATGTGCCGGAGCGGCGCGAGCTGCGTCACCTCGTCCTCGTCCTCCGTCTCGTCCTCGTCCTCCTCGTCCGCCTTGGTCTCCTCCGCATCGCCCTTGCCTGCTCGCGCATCCTCGTCCAGTCCCTTCTGGGCGAAATGAAGGAGGCTGAGCACGGCGCCCATGAGGTCAGGCCAGCGACCAACGATGTCCTTGCCGAGGTGCTTGACGACGTCGGCGAGCAAGCCGAGGAAACCGAGTTGGCGCTTGCCCGGAACGTTCGGCGCCTGCTCGGCGAAGCGGAAAGGCTCGGTAGGCGGGGTGACCAGCAACTTGCGCAGCGGACCGAGGAGGAGGTCGACGAGGGTGTCGAGCTCCTTCGCCGAGCAGGTCCGCAGCGCACCGAGGATAGCGGCTCGTCGTCCAGCACGACCCTGACCTGAGCTCGCGCTGGCGCGACCAAGACGAGAGGTCATGAGACCGTACGAGATCCGAATGAAGAGGGGGACGACATCGGCGCGGTGAGCGGGCTCAAGTCCGCCTGCATCGGTCGTCGAGACGAACTCGAGAAGCTCGTCGCGCAGCTTGGTGGGCTCGAGGAGGTTCTTGAGGCGGTCGGCGTTGGCTGTGACGGCGGGGATCTTCCATCGGAGGATGCAGTCGAGCGCGAGCTTCTGGATGTCGGCGTCGGGAAACGCGAGGAGAGTGCGGAACTGCGCGTCGAGATCGGCCGCCCGGTAAAGCGCCTTCGGGTTGCTGAACTTGGCGAAGAGGCCAAGCCATGCGAGCAGGCGAGCCTTGCGATCCTTGGCCGTCTCGTCCGCATTGAAGTACAGCGGCGTCTCGTCGGCCTTGTCAGGGATGACATCGTCGCGCTGGAAGCAGCCGAGGAAGACGTCGACAAAGTCGCGGCTGTGTCGCTGGGCGAGATCGGGAATTTGGCAGAAGAGGGCGAGGAGCTGGGCTTCGTAGCTGTGAATGACGAGGCGCTCGGGCGTGACTTGAAGCTGTATCGGTCGCCGTCAGTCCTGAGAGCGCGAACGAACCAGGAGGAACGAAGAAAGCGCACCGAGACGAGGCCCTCTTCCCGCGACGCGACCGCTACGACACCTCCCTCAAACCGCGCCTCGTCCTTCTGAACCCTCGCTCTTCGGTCCTCGAGATGCCAATCCCTCAGCGCCTGTTCCTCAAAGATGAGCTCGAGCTCGCCCACACCTTCAGTTGAAGCCGCATGGAGCGCCCACTCAGGCTTGCGCGCGACGTAGAGATCGGAGCCGCGTGTTGCGGCAGCGAGGAGCTGGCGCGAGCAGATGGCCCAGACTGCGTCGGGGAAGCGGGAGGACAGGAGGGCGAGGGCGCTGATCGCTTCGGGCCAGATCGGCTTGAAGTTGACCTTGAGCATGGCTGCGAGTGGAAAGGACTGGTCAGCGACTGGAGCGACGGCTCAGGGAACGGGAGCAACGCACCGGTGAGGTACCGCAAGACGACCTCGAGGACCGGCTCGAGTTCCTCCGTGCTGCCCTCCTTGCCGAGCTGCGAGTTGGCGACGATACCCAGCTTGCGCACCTTCATGCTCTTCTCCCTCGCGCCCTGCACCGTGAGCGGCATATCTTCAACCTCGATGCACTTGGCAATCAAGTCCGCCGCGACAGGCGCCTCGTTCGCCGGGTACAGCGTCTGAGCGATCTCGAGCGACGAGCGGCGGAGGACCGAGTCTTCCGAGAGGAGGTTCGGAAGGATCGCGTCGTAGATGGCTTTGCGCGCTTCGGGCGAGCGGGCCGATGCGAGGCGTGCAAGGGAAAGGGAGGAGAGGCCGTGCATGACGCGGCGGTGCCAGGCGAAGTGGGCGATGATCGACTCGACCGATGCGGTGAGAGTTTGGAGAGCGGGAGAGGGCGACTTGAGGCGGGAAGAGGTCGCTTCGAAGGCGGACAGGGTCGAGCCGAGGACGAGCGCGGGACTGGCGGCGGCGGAGAGGTAGGCGACGCGAGCTTCGGTAGCTGGCATTGTCGCGACGACCGTGGCGAGGTCGGCGAGAAGGTTGAGTAGGTCGTTGCGTCGAGAGGGAATGAAGGGCACAATCGCGAGGACGTCAAGCAACTCGTGCGTCTTCTCCTCGTCGACGTTCCTGTCCGCCTCGAACGCCTCCTTCCATCCCCTAATCGTCAGCTCCGCCAGCTCACCAATACTCTTCTCCCAAGCGACCACATGCGTGCCGCCTTTCTCGACGAGCGCCCTCAGCCGCCCGGACTCGGCGAGACGCGCGAGAAGCACAAGACTGTTCTCCTTCTTGCTCGCAACGACCTCATCAAAAGCCGAGCCGTCCGTCTTGCTCTTGCCGTTTGGCGACGACGAGGACGAGACTTCGCGCGCCGTCGCGGTGAGGACAGCCGCACCGAGCGCCGTGTCCCAAAGGGGCCACTCGACCCCATCGAGGGTCGTCGCGAGCGCACATGCGGCAGCAAAGACGCTCGCGTCGCGGTCGGCGGAGAAGAGGGCATCGATGGTTGAGCGGACGGGGGAGGAGAGGACGTCGGAGAGGACGCCGAGCGGGAGGACAGTCGAGAGGTAGGCGTTGGTGTGGTGGAGGAAGGCGGAGGGCGGAGCGGGCGAGTGGGCGATGAGGCGGGAGAGAGGAGCGAGGGAGGAGAAGAGGCGGGGCTTGAGTGAGGTAGGCAGGCGTGCGCCAGCTTTCACGCCGACAAACGAGGTGACGGCCTGCAACGGGACCAACAAGCGTTCCCACGCAACCTTGCCGCCTGAAGTCGCCGTCTTCAGCTCTGCCTCGAGCGTCTTGATCGCCGCCTCGCCGACAGGCTCGAGCGCCTCGACCTTCTCGGCGTGCTGAGAGAGGGTGACGAGTGCGTGCGAGACAATCTCGCGCGGTAGGGAGACTTCCGCGAGCGAGGGGAGGGAGAGGATGGCGGAGAAGAGGGACCGGAGAATCGAGGGCGTGCGAGAGTGGAAGAAGTGGTTCGCGGCCTGCATCGTTACCTGTTCGTCAGGTTCCGGCTGCTCTGAGGAAGAGGAGACCAGTACGCACACTGCAGCTCTCGATGATGACCCACGTCAAGCCCTCAGCAAAGACGTTCGAGCTTCCCTCCTCTTGGCCCCTTCCCTTTCCCTTCCCCTTCCGTCGTCCCTTCGCGCCCCTTCCGCCATTCGCGCGCTCACCTCCATCAGTCTCCTCAACCTGCGCGACATCGCCCACCATCAATCGCAATAACGCATCGAGTGAGCCCGCCTCGTCGGCAGAGGTGGGTTTCGCCTTGCGGACGAGGAAGGAGAAGGCGTTGCTAAGCAGGCGTCGGGTTTGAGGGGTCGTGCGGAAGTTGGAGGGGAGGGAGGTGTGCAATTTCGAGCCGGGTTGGGCGGGCGTGTCGAGAGGCTGGGCGGAAGTCGATGCGACAGGTTCCGCTTCTTCCTCTTCCTCCTCGTCTGCCGATGACTCGGCATCCGACTCGGGTCCATCTGCCTTCTCCTCGACGTCATCCTGCATCTGCACGTCCTCCTCCTCATCCGCATCCTCCGTCCTCGCAGGCGCTCCCAATCCCCTCCTCACGACCTCCCAAACCTCTCCCAACCCGCCTTGGCCCTCCTCAGCCCCAAGGACGTCCCTCGCCAGATCGCGAAACAAGGCACCGAGGACGTCGTACGTCCGTTGGAGGATTCGGGGGTTCGAGGCGTGGAAGGGAGAGGGGGCGGTTAGGCGGATTAGGGTTGTGAGGAGGAGAGGGAGGGAGGGGAGGAGGAGGTGCGAGAGGTCGGTGATGAGAGGCGGGAGGAGGCTGTGTGCGAGAAAGTTAGAAGCAGGCGTGCGAGGGGAAGATTCGCTGGACGCACTCGAGGATAGTCTCGCCACACAGCTCGACGTCCTTCGACCCGCTCGACAACACCTCGCATACGGCCTCGACAATCTCCTTCTTGTAGTGCACGACGAGCGGCAGACTCCTGCTCCACTTGTCGACCTTGCGCGAGAACCTCCCGAACGGCAAGCTGAGGTCGATGAGCTCGCTCTGCTGAAGCGCGTGCCCGAACAGCGTATGCATGTCGTCCTCCTGCGCCTCGTCCTCTCCCTCGAGCTGCTCGCGCCTGTCCCGCACGCCCTCGAGGTCGACCTTCATCTTTGCGATGCGGTCCGAGGGCGCGACGAAGCGGAACGACCTGCCCTTGACGAGCGGCTTCTCGGCCTTCTTCGCTATCCGCTCTGCTACGGTGAGCGAGGCGGTCGAGCGGACTTTCGGTGCGGGTTTGGGCGAGGAAGTGGATGAGGCGGCATGGCGGAGTGAACGGAGGGTGCTGCTGCCGCCCGAGCCGCTCGATGGGGAGTGCGCCTTGCGCGCGTTGATGGACTTGCCCTTTCCCATCGTGCGGGGCTTGGAGTGGCGTGTGGGTGTCGCTGTGTCGGTGAGTTGATGAAGCGAGGACGGTGGGGAGAGATGGGTGCTTGAGGGCGACTCTGTGTGTGCGGGCTGGGTTGGCTGTGGTGTATCAGTCGTGCAGTGTAGCCAGCAGTCCCAGCAGCAGCCACCAGCGAGTGTAAAGCGAGAGTGTGAGCGTGCGAGAGGGAAGCTGGCCTCTCCAAGCTCGAGTGCTCGACGCCGGTCTCCGCGGAGTTGTCACTCGCTTCTCGACACCTCACACGAGGGCAAGCGGTGCTGCTCAGGGCGTTTGCTATCGCTTAGTGTGCCTATTTCCGTCGCTACTTCCCTCACTCAGTGGCTGACCCGGTCTCCGAGACGAGCGAGCCGGTCCACTTCAGCCCTTACCCACTCGTCTCCCGCTTTGCCCAGCTCCTGCCTGCCCATGCTCTCACGCACACTGCTCTCCCAAGCACGCCGACCACTGCTCTCCCCCTTCGCCCCCCAGCTTCGCTCCATGTCCTCCCCCACTCCACCTATCGGCAACCCTCTCGACCTCAGGACGTACCAAGCAGGGAGGGACAGCGCCCTCAAGTGGGCCAAGGAGAACGGGTACAGCGACGAGTGTATGGTAGAGGTGCAGGTCGCGTGGGGAGAGCAGGGTGAGTCGGCGAACTTGCAGACGAAGGAGGACGGAGTGCGGCACACCGCTGACCTCGTTGCCGACGCCGGGCGCTGACTGCAGACGCCAACGCACATGTCAAGTCAGCCCCGTCTCTCCCACCTCCAACGAAGACGCCAAACCGCTGACACCTGCGCTCTCACAGCAACGCCGTCTACTTCCGCTGGCTCGAGACTGGCCGGCTCAACTTCATGCGCGTGTTGGGCTCGCACCTCGATCCACAAGCAGCGAAGGACTTGAGCGGGTCAGGGAAGGGCAAGGGCGTGATCCTCGCTCGAATCACGTTCGACTACCGGGTTCGTCTGCCCTCCTTTGCTTCCCTTCCTGTCTCTAGTATAAGCAACGGATCTCTTACGGCTGATTGTGCTGGACAGAAACCGACATTCCACCCGGACAACCTCTTGATCCTGCACAAGCCCGTCCAAGTCTCGGCAAAGAAGATGATCCTCCAAGCCTCCGTCTACTCCTACGCGTGCGCCCCTTCCCCTCATCATCTCTGTTCCTTCCCGCTGACGAGCAGTGCGCAACAGCCAGCAAACCGTCGTCGGGACTTCGGACTCGGTCATGGTTGGATACGACTATGATGCGGGCAAGAGTTGTGCGTGGAGTCCCCAGTTGGTGGACTTGTTGGTTGAGCGTGGGGCGGAGAAGGTGGAGAGTGGTGGGAAGGCAAAGCTTTAGACGGCGGAGAGACGAAATAGACCGAGAAGTGTGTGCCTCAGTGTCGAGGAGACGGAAGAGTGCCTTAGCGAGGAGCGCCTCCTCGTCCTCCAAAGTTTTTGCTCCAAGGTGCTGAAGGCGATGCATTGCGCGCCATTCACTCGCTGCTTCAAGCAAAGAAGTTCCGTCGAGGCTCTACCACCCGCTTCTCCCACCCTGGTCGTGCTTGTACTCGTCCCCATCGGCTGCGAGCGAAGAAGCGATGAGTTAGACGGATTCGCTCTCGAGCAAGGCTGCTTCTATCGCCTGCAAGAGCGAGGAAGCGTCAAACCCAGCGGAAGCGATCCTTTCCGACTCACCTCGGCGGCCACACGATATACTCGACCTTACTCTCCACCAACCCCAACGGCACAGGCCCAAACGTATTCGAGTCCCGCGTATGGAACCGCTCGTCCCCCTCAATCCAGCAGTGGCCCGCGGGAACGCGCACGGTCGATTCGGGGTAGGGTGGGAGAGTGCGGACGAGGGTATTGGGGAGGGCTATGAGGCGCTTGATGAGGAGGGTCTTTGGGTCGGAGGGGGATCTGCGCGATGCGCTAGGGTTAGCGGAAGGATAGAGAGAAGATGGAGGAACGGTGAGAGCGCACTTGACTGCCACTACGTCTCCAGGCTTGAACCGGTCTTTCTCACCCACTGCTGTTGCTACTCGTGCGTATCGATTCAGGACGACCCAGTCCTTGACGAGCATCGACGAGTCGGGGTTCAGGGTGGGCTGGGGAGACGGAGTGAGATAGCGAGGTTAGCCAGTCTCTCAGTCACCTCTGGAGCAACGGACGCGCACCTGCATCGACCTGTGGTCCGGGAAAGCGCGTTGTTCAGCACTGGGACACCATCCGACCCGCACATCGAGGCGCCGCGAAACGAAACCCTCGACTCACCGCCCCGACACGCTCGCTATCGTCGCGACATTCTGCTCGAAGAAGACTGCGAGTCCAGCCCAGCCGAGGATCTTGATCGCTCGTCGGAACGGGTGGATCGAGGGGGACGCCAGGATGCTGATGAGAATTGGAGAAGTAGGAGGAGAGGACGGAGAGGGCTGGCGCGCGGCGAGTATGGTCGAGAGCTCAGCCTCGGAGTATAGCACCAATGGAAAGCCGGAAAGAATGACGAGCGAGGACAGGGAGGAGGCCAACTTGCTCTCCGACTCCTTGACATCCTCCACAACCGCTCACACCCAGCAACTCCGCTCAAGATGGCTGGTGGGCAGCTCCCTGTGCTTGAGTAAGCTCGCAAACCCTGCTGACCCAGTCTGACCGTCCGCAGACGTCGAGATGAAGCCCCAGGACGCCCCGAAGCGATTCGAGGTTAAGAAGGTGAGTCTCCGCTGCACGCGCTCGGCTAGACCGCCAAACCGATGCTGACCATTCACTTGCACGCTCGCAGTGGAACGCCGTCGCGCTGTGGGCCTGGGTGCGTCCCTCTCCTCGTCCCGCTCGCCTCGCTGCTGGGCACCGCCACGAACTCGCTGAGCTCATCTCTCGCTTTGCGCGCTTGAACCTACGCAGGACATCGTCGTCGACAACTGTGCGATCTGCAGGAACCACGTGCGTTGCCGGACTCGCTGACTTGAGAGGATGCGACTCGCTTGGATGAGCGGTGAGTGGGGAAGGGTTGCTGACTACAGTTTGCTGCCGTGCTTATCGTAGATCATGGACCTCTGTACGTTCAGCTGAGAGGAGCGCGAGGCGGCAGGGGGGCGCGGGACTGACTTGCTCGACTCCTCGCAGGCATCGAGTGCCAGGCGAACCAGGGCAGTGCGGCGAACGACGAGTGTGCGTAGCGCTCCATCCATTCCACTCGAGTTCGTTCGTGCTGACATTTGGATGCTCCTGTAGGCACGGTCGCTTGGGGAGTCTGCAACGTGCGTATCCTCGCCTGCCGCCAACGCCAACTCGCGCTGCTTGCGACGAGGTCGTCAGGCTAACTATTCGCGTGTACGCTATAGCACGCCTTCCACTTCCACTGCATCAACCGCTGGCTGAAGACGCGCCAAGTCTGCCCACTCGACAACCGGTGAGTGCCTCACTTCCTCCTTTCCTTTGCATCTCCGCTGACCGGTTCACTGGGTGCGCAGAGAATGGGAGTTGCAGAAATACGGCAAGTAGATGTTGCCCTCGCCTGTCCCGCCTTTCGCATCGCATCACGCTCGATCCAGTCTCGCGACGATACCCCTTTCCTCCATCCCGCTTTCGCTTTCGCTCGCAACCACCCTACGTCATCCTGCCCTCCGCCTTGTCTCCATAGCTCCCTCTCAGTCGAACTCTCCCTCTGCCGAACCCATCGCATACGTCCTTCCGCCTTCTGCTTGTTCAGTCCGTCGTACATTGTCCCCTCCGCTTCCATCAATTCAACCTAGCAGGCTTTCCCGTCCTCTCTTCGCAGCTTGAGAGCTAGAAACGAGAGGATCACTCATTACAAGTGTCTGTTCGCCCACTCCACTGCATGCTACAGCACCTCACTCAGCCCCACCGCGCACCTCCATCGTCCAAATCACCGCCACGTCCGTCTCGACCGTCACGTCCTCCTGCACGAGATGATTCGAAGTCGACACGGCGGTCGAAAGTGACGTGGGGTACATATCTGCCCGTCCAACCCGTTAGCACAGGCGAAGGAGAGAGAGTAAAGAAGGAGGAGGGAGGGAACGTACGGTCCTTCGGTCCGAGGTTCCATTCGAGTCCGGTGGTGGTTACGTGTGCGGAGGAAGTGCCGAGGGGAAGGATCCCGCATGTTTTGCCAAAGAGCGAGAGGTCGAGTTTGAGGTGGTGTTTACCCTGTGACACAATCCGAACCATACATCAGCTCCAGCTCGCTCACGCAATCTCAGAGCGAAGAGAAGGGAAGGCGACGCACCTTCTTGAGTACAACCGCCGCGCTCTCCCTCCCTACCGTCCAAACCCTCTCCCGTCCCTCTTTCTCCGCCAACAACGTGAGCGCATGCAACGTATGAACCGTCTGGTCCAATCGCCCGCTCAATCCGCCTATAATGACGAGCTGATAGGGCGCTTGAGAGGGCGAGGACGATTCGAGTTGGGAGAGACGGGTGACGGTCTTGCCGAGGTCGGTCGAGTATTCGTCCGGGTCCTGTTCGACGCGGACGCCCTGTGAACCGTGTTCGTCAGTACTATCCCTCGGCGTACACAAGCACAGACAGCCTCGAGGAAGCCTGTCGAAGCGGTCCACGCACCTTGCCCTCGTAATACCTCCTCGCGTCCTCCCTCAACGAGTCCAAATCCCCCAACACCAAATCCGGCAACCACCTGCCCTCGTCCCCATCCAACTCGTCGTCCCACCCGTCTGCTGCGCGTCCCTTGCCTTTGACGAACCGGTCAAAGAGGCGGTTCGCGCCGCCGTCGGCGCAGAAGCGGAGTGAGGCTGCGAACGAGGGGCGAAGTTAGTGGAAGCTGGAGAGGGGGGAAGGAGGGGTGGCGTACCTGCGTCCCAGAGGCGCCGGAAGAGCGGTTGAGGCGGGAGAGGCGAGTTGAGGATGATGAGCGCGTTCCGAGGAGGGGGAGGAGAGTTGGGTGCGCGAGCGGTGTTGTGTGGGCTCGAGAGCAGAGAGTGAGTGTCCCAGAGAGTAACGTCGGTCATGGCCAGCGGCGAGTGGGTACTGTAGAGAGGGGCTGAGCGTGCGGTCGAAGCGAGTGAGTGAATCCGCGGAGTTTGCGCGGAGTTGTCGAGTCGATGGATGTTTGCATGCGATCCGTCCGAGTGCCCGCTGCCCGTGTGCGTTGTTACTCGATCTGTAGTGTTTGAATAGTTCGGCCTGCGTAGTAATCCCCTGCCAGGTGGTGCGATGGTGAGCGCGGCAATCAGGATGAGCACAAGCGATCGAGCCCGCCTGGCAAGTCCTCGGCCGCACACACAACTTCTTCTCTCTCTCTCTCACTCGCTGGGAGAGCAGTGAACACGGGCGCAGCATGGCAACCATCGCACTCGACTTGCAGCGACCATCCCCGACTCGCTTGCGCAGGCACTCGGACGGCATCGCGTCCTTCCCTTCCCTCTCCCTCTCCCACCTCTCGCAATCGACCCTCTCCTCCGCCAGCACGGCGTCAGACGAGTCTGCGCCACCCTCGGTCATCTTCTCGTCCAACGCTCCGTCGCCCTCGTCCTCGCTCGCGTCCTCCCCGCTGCTCGATGTAAAGCGGACGGGCTTTGCTTCTTCCTCCGCCGCAGTCCCGCCCTTGTCCCTCTCGCCTCCGATAGCCGCAAACGCAACGCCATTCCCTTTGCAGTCCCACACTGCACCAGTCCCGTCCCAACCGACGCCCACCGAGCTCGCCGTCTACGCATCGAACGTGATCCGCAACGAGGCCTACGCGCTCCTCGCCCTCGCCGCACGCCTCGCGCCCGCCGCCCACCCGCTCATAGACGACGAAGGATCGTACCTCGCCCACTACTCGCCCGCGAGCGACGCAGCGTCGACCTCGGGCAGTGACGAGGACGTTGGCGATGGACGATCGTCCGGATCCGACCTCGGCGCAGAGACGAGGACGAACCAGGCGTTCAGGCAGGTCGTCGACCTGATTCGCAGCATGCCGCCGCACGGAAAAGTCCTCGTCAGCGGGATCGGAAAGTCGGGCATCGTCGCGCGCAAGATGGTCGCGACGTTCTGCTCGCTCGGTGCGTCCCTCATCGCGCGCTCGTTTCCGCTCGGTGCTGACTCGCCATGCACCCACAGGCATCCAGTCGGCGTTCCTGCACCCGGTCGAGGCGCTCCACGGAGACCTCGGCATCGTCTGCTCGTGCGACCCGCTCTCACCCTGCGACACCCTCCTCCTCATCTCGCACTCGGGCGCGACAGCCGAACTCATGCGTCTCGTACCTATCATCCGACCGCGCGTCCGCTCGCTCGTCGCAGTCACGCGCGACCCGGACTCGGTCCTCGCGAAATCCTGCCACGGCTGGCTCGACGCGGGAACGGGCGTCTACCCGTCTAGCTTGCCCAAAGGCACGACGGACGAAGCGGATTCGACGCTCCCGGCGCCCACGAGCAGCGTCGTCTCGGCGCTGGCGATCGGCGATGCGTTGGCTTTGACGCTGAGCAGGCTCAGGATCGGGTGGGACAAGGGAGGCAAGGAGCGGAGGCAGGAGTTCTTCCATTGTCACCCCGGCGGACAGCTGGGCATCCAGGTATGTTGAGCTTCACCAGCTGGCGCGGACTTGGGCTGACAGTCGTCGTGCTCGCACAGCTCGGCCGCGAAGGTCGCGGAGTCGATGTTCCCGCTTCTCCTCCCTCCGCACCCGTCATCCCCGTCGCCGCAACACCCGCACCCGCAGCCGCATCTACCACGCACACTCTCGTCCACTCGCTCGCAGCCTAGACCGTTCTTCGCACCAGATACCCCTTCCCTCGCCAACGATTCCCCTTTCGCTCGCTCTTGTACCCGCCTCGCTCTTACTATTCCAAAATTCCCCTCTTACGCGTTGTTGCCGTGCCTCCTTCCCGCCTGCCTGCCTGTCGAACTATAGATCCCCTCTCGCATCACATCTCGTAAAGTTTTCGTCCCTCGAGACGCTCTTCCTCTCTTTTCATCGTCGCGCAAGAGAGAGGTGTGTCCGCTTCTCGCTTGCTCTCCTCGACGCTGTGCTCACGCTCGTGTACGCCCCAGCAGACGCACGACTCGCTTTGGCCTGCGCCTCCTCTCCCCCCGCTTGTCGCTTGAGCCTCTTCGTCTTCTTCTCGTCACATCGCTCGACTCGCTCGCCTGCTCAATCTGCTCTCAACGCTCGTGGCGTGCAGTCGTGATGCCCTCCTCAGTTCGTAAGGCGGACAAGACCCGGTACGTTCCCTTCCTCCTGCCCGCCCCGTCCGGCCGCTCCTCACTCACCCATCCTAGCGATCCGCAACACAGCTACGACAAATCCGAGCGCCTCAACACGCGCCGCGAGACGCGCGAAGTAGACGAACTGCGGATGCAGGTTGAGGTGCTTGAACGGCAGTTGGCTGACGCGGGAGGGGCGGGAGTGGGAGTAGGAGGAGCGGTGGGCAAGAGCGAGAGTAGGGAGGTCAAGGAGGTTAGGAAGGAGTTGGGCGAGTTGGGGAAGAAGGTGAGCCGATTCGATTTCTGGGGCTTGCGCAGGCTGTCGAGGAGGACGTCCGAGAGTTGGCGTCTCCTTGGTGGCTGTAGCTGATTCGCTGAGTCCACTGACACGCTCGTATACGTTCGCAACAGCTCGCCCGCGTCGAGGAAGAACGTGACGAAGCCCTCTCTGCCAAAAAGTCGCTCGCCGCCCAGCTCTCGTCGCTCGAATCCTCACGCGCCTCTGACACCCTCACGCGGGACCTCAAGCTCGCTCAACAAGAGATCTCGAAGCTGAAAGCCAAGTTGAAGGTGACGGAGGAGGAGGGCAAGACGTATCTCACGAGGTTGGAGCAGCTCGAGGGAGGGGCGGAGACGGTGGCTGTTGCGCAGGTCAACAGGCAGAAGAAGGAGATCAACGAGAAGTTGGCGAAGATGGAGGAGAAGATTACGAAGCTGGAAGAGGTGGGCTCTTTCGTCTCGTCTTCTGCTCGGCGGACGGTAACTGACAGTCTTGGAACATCACGCAGGACAAAGTGTCTCTCGCCGCGCAGTTCAAAGCCGCCAAGGCGAAGCACGTACGTCCTCCCTCCCGCTGCTTCCGAGACGAAATCAAGCGAGACTGATAGCCGATTCTTCAAACAGGACCACCTCGAAGCTCTCTCGGCCGCCTACGAGCGCGACAATCAACGTCTGACGCAGCAACTCAAGGACTCGCAGGCGCTGTCGGAGAAGGCGGAGAAGGCGTTGGCGGACGCGAGGACCATGGCCAAGGCCCACAGCGGGGGTTGCTCGGCGGAGGAGAAGACGCGGTGAACCTGGTCGGTCGGCTCGCTTGGATCGTAAGCTGACTTGTTGTGCTTTTCCCAGGCTCACTGAGCGCATCGCCGCGCTCGAGGGCATCTGCGCGACGCTGGAGCAGTCGACGAACGGCTCGATCTCGGGCGCTCCCGATCCCGCCCTCGTGTACGCGGCTTCGCCTTCTAGATGAGTTTGCGCGCTCATCTTCTTCGCACCGGGACAGGTCTACGGTCCGCCGCTATCACGAACTGCTCAGCAACTTGCGCCTTTCTGAGGACGACGTCTCGAACCTCCTCGCAAATGGAAGCGACTGGCCTCCCGTCCGCGCAAGCCTGACGGACTCGTCCCTCATTGACCTTCTGTGGCTGCTCAACGACCAGCAAGACGAAGCGGAAGAAGAGCGCCAGTTCCTCGGCGAAAAAGTCGCCCGCCTCGAAGCTGAGGTCGCGAAGCAGAAGAAGCGTGCGGAAGCGGCGATTGCGGCATCGTATCGTGGCAAGAAGAGCGAGGTGGTTGACCTTGATGGGATGGAGGAGCTGAGGAAGAAGAGGGAGGAGCTTGAGCGAGAGTTGGAGGCTGCGTTGGCGGACAAGGAGCGCGAGAAGGCGAGGGCGCAGGAGATGATTGCGCAGCTCGAGGCTCGCGCGTCGGCTTTCGAGGTCAATGGTGCGTTGTCTGCTCCTGTTCGCTGGCGGCACGATGAACCTGACGAGGTCGACCTTCGCAGCCTCGCGCGTCTCGCGTGCAGAATCGCCATCTCGCATGTCGTCCTCTTTCGCGTACGGTACGGTGGCGTCAGGAAACAGTCAAGGCGTCGTCGACAGGCTCACCAAGACCATCAACGAGCTGAACGACCAGGTTGCCGAGTTGCGCGACGAGAACAGTGCGTCCTGCTTCCATCCTGCTCTCCCTTGTCCCGTCTGACACGCCTTTCCGCTCCCAGCAACTCTTCTCCTCAAGCTTGTCGGTGTGGATGAGTAGGCCATGATTGCACTTCGCCTCATCCCGCAAAGTTTCCCTCTGTCTCCCGCTCCGCCGCTTGTCCCCGCTCTCCCCTCTTCCTGTTGTGCTTCGCGTGAAATGTAGCTTTGCTCTGTCGATTTGTACGTTAGACAACCGGCAAGTACGAACTGCACGACTCGACCTCGTCGTCGTCCTCGGACCCTCTCACCTCCTCTTCGCGTCCACCGCCTCCCTCGTCTCGCTCGCTGCAACGCGGGTCTCGCCCTGCGCTTTCGGACGACCACGTCGGCATGACCTCGGCGCAGCGCACGTCGGGGCACCCCCGTCAGGACAAGCCTCTGTACGTCTCGCTCTCTCCCTCAACTCGTCTCTCGGGCGAGCGCGTACTCACCAGCGCGCGCTCGGTCAACCCGTAGGGCGACCGCGACTGCTCGACTGAAGCAACGACGCGAGAAGCGCGAGGAGGACGCGGCGCAGGTCGAGCTTGAGGCGGTCAGGAGGGAGCTCGAGGAGGTGAGGAAGAGGTTACACCAGTTGCTCGTCGACAAGGGCGGCGGAAGTGGGGCCATCAAGGTGCTACAGAAGGAAGTGGGCGAATTGAGGGCCAAGGTGCGCTTTCGACGTCGATGGCGGGTGAGGAGGACCTTGTGGGCGAACTGACTTTCTCTCGATCCTGCCCAGGTCGACGAGCTTGTGGCGACTCTTCTCACCGCCAACGCAGAACGCGACGAGTTTGCCGACCTGCTCGAAGTGGCTCAGGCGAAGGAGGCGGAGCACGAACGGAGGAAGGAGGCGCTTGATCGTCTCGAGCACGAGCTGGAGCAGGCCCGGCAAGAGACGGCCGCGACGAAGCAGATTGTGGCGCTGAAGGAGGAGGCGATTCGCGCGCTCAAGAGCCAGGTCGAGGCAAAGCAGCGGGCGAAGCAGGAACTCGGCGTCGCACATTGTCTTCGGCGGCGTTCGCATCGACCGCGTCAGGCAGTCGCGAGCAGGAGACGACTACTTCCGAGGAGGCGCATCGATTCACTCGCTCAACAACCTTGGTGCGTCCTCATTAGTTCTAGCCACTCCCGTAGACGACGACTGACCAATCTCTTCTCGCAGACCTCTCGACACTCGCTGCCGGTCCGCGCCTCGCCCTCGTTGGCCGACAAATCTGGTCCGTCTTCGACCCGGAGCACTTCACCCGCAATGCCGTCGATGAGCACTACTACGACCCGCGACTCGGCCGCACCAAGTCTCGGGTCGTCGAGCCACTCGTCCCGCAGGTCGGCAAGAGTGTGCGCATGCCCGCCGTCTTCGAGCAGCTCGTCGAGTCGCAGCCTCTCCCGCCCACCGAGCTCCTCAAGCGCCCGGACTGGCTCAAGGAGGTCAGGCGCCAGCCGCTCGTCTACTCGCGCTCGCCGGTCGAGGTCGTCGATGGTCCGGTTCGAACGAGGCGTGGTCTGCCCATCTCGTGGCCGCGGCTTGACAAGCGGGAAGGCCAAATGGGCGTCAGGTCGCTCTTGAAGAGGACGGACCCGCTCAAGCTGCATCAGGCGGGTGTCGCTCTCGGCGGCAACGCCATCGCCGGCGGACTCGTCGTCGCTCCCGCTCCGGCGAACTACCCTCAACCGTTCGCCGAAGCAACGTTCAAGTACCATTGGCATCGCACGCGCCAGCTCCAGCGACAGTCGAATCAGGCGATGAGCAGGATCAACAATCGCTTCTCGGACGAACTCGCCTCGCCAACACCGGCTGGTCCGACTGCAGGCGCACCCGGCAGCTTCTATTCCCTCCAGCACAAAGGGACAGTCGCAGCTCTCGCCCACCTCACCTCGTCGAGCCCGATCGTCTCGGAGCAGCGCGCAAAGGCCAAGATCACGAAGACCGCCGAGACGGCGAGCGCAGCGGCGCAGTTCGTCTCGCTCCTCCTCGGCAAGCCCGCACCCGCCATACCCTCGGCCGGCGACGGCGACGGCAGGGCTGCCATCGTCTACGTCGACGACACGCCGGGCAAGGGCGGCTTCGTTCGCGGGCCAAAGTCGCAGGCGCCGTTCGTCAGGGCTGCCGACGTCGAGCTCACTCGTCGACGGGTCGAACACCTCATGCCGGTCGTGCCGTCCAAGTACACGGGCGAGCGGTGCCCGAATCCCAAGTGTGTCGACAGCGGCTTGCGTTCGATGTGCGTCCTCGTTCCTCTCTCGGTCTCGCTCTCGTCGCGCAAGACATTCGCTGACATGTAGGGCGGTTTGCAGCATCAGTCCTCCTACGTACGAGGATGGGACGAAGGAGACGCGGCTCGGCGAGTGCGAAGTCTGCGGGCTGATTGCCGCGAGGGAGGCAGTTTTGGGTGCGAACCTGATTACGGTGGGCCGGTCGCAGGCCACTCTCGGTGCTGCGCCCTGGAGGGCAGACTGAAGGATGGACTGGGATTGGATGTTTACGCTGTAGCGCGTCCTCCTTGCACGAGCGAGGAGACGCAGGCGCTGGAACGCAGAGAGGGCATTGCTCCGAAGTGCGCGAGAAGCGGCTCGTCAAGGTGCGTTGTAGCTACTCCTGCCCCGACACCGTCTCAGCTGATCATCGTCCATACTGCGCAGGAGCGCGACGAATTGGCTCGACAGCTGCAGGTGGTCCGGTCGAAGCTGGTGAGACCATCCTGCTTGCTCCAAGTCGACTGGGGACTGACTTCACTTCCGCAACAGGAACAGGCGGCCTGCGATGGCAAGCAGCAGGAGCAAGAGCAGATCAAGCAGAGCGTGACTCCCCCGAAGCAGCCGCATTCGGTCAGCCCTTCGCTGGGAGACTCTACTCTAGCTTCAACGGTGACAGTCACTTCGTGCGTGTTCACCGCCACTCGCGTGCAGTGCTCAGGCTGACTCGCCCTCCCGCTGCGCCGACAGCGACTTTTTCGACGGCCCGAAGGCTCTGCTCGCCGCTACGGATGGAAGGCTCGGCGCGGACGGAGTTCGCCAGCTCAAGAGCGACTTCGTTATCGCGGAGTAAGTCCGACAGCTATTTAGTGACGATGAGCGGGAGCAATGTCGCTCATCCGCGTCCTTGCGCGCCCAGACGCTACCTCACTCGCTACTACCATCTTCTCGACGCTCTCGCTCTCAGCGACCGCGACGTCACGAACCTCCTCCTCGCGCCAGAGACCGTGCGCCACTGCATCGCCGAACTTCCCGCCAAATCGCTCATCGACTTCGTCCACAAGTCGGCCAAGAGCCGCTTGCCCGTCTCTCCGGACGCCGAGGACCGGGCGCGCAAATACTGCAGGCTACTGAAGAAGGCAGAGCGGGACCTCGAGACGGCCAAGCAGCGTCTGGCGAACAGGTCTCCGAACCCGGTGCAGGGCCTGGATCGGCTGGAGAGCCGCGAGGAGGTCGAGAGGCTACGGGCGGCGGTCTCGCAGAAGAATGAGGAGATCTCGGAGCTCGCAAGGGACTTCGAGGACCATTCGAAGCAGGGTGAGGCGCAGGTCGACGATCTGCAGGAGCGTCTCGAACAGGCGACGGCGGAGCTCGAGCTCGTCCGCACGGGTGCTACCAGAAGCAACAAGACCACCGAGAATGGCGACAAAGCTGGTGCATTGCGTTCGTCGCGCTCTCCCTCGTTCGCGCTGACCCCCCTTTCCAGCCTTCCCCATCTCTTCCAGCTTCCCCTTCGACGAGGCCGCCGCCACCCTCGACCACGTTGGTACGCTATTGCCTCGCCTGGCGCAGATTATCGAAGAGCTTGAGGAGGAAAACGAGGACTTGCGCGAGGACGCCGGTGCGTTCGCTGTTGGTTGCTTTCTCGCAACGGGCGTCCTGACATTTCTCCGCGCTTTCTACAGCTTTTCTCATGGCACGACAGACTTTGCAGGCGTAGACTGGCCCGGGTGATGCGTGTAAAGAGCAGTCGAGGCGACGAAAAGACCGCTTTTCCCGCTTTGACCTTCCTAATTTGCTTTTCTACGAGCGTCTCGTCGATTTACTACCCCTGTTTACGCTTCGTTCCCCTCGTTAGCGTCGGTCAAACGGAAGAAGCGAGGGAGAACGAGTTCTCTGCTGGTCCACTCGGATGGAAGAGATGTCCGGCGGCCAGTGCGTCCGCAGCCCGTCCCTGGTCTTCTGTCAGACATCGCTTGGACCGTCCTGCAGCTCGCTTTGGCGCGCTAAGAGGGAGAGGAGGCGAACGAGGCGAGGTCGACCACTCTCTTCCTCCTCCCGCACGCTGTGCACGCTGAAAGTGGTTCAGTGACGGTACTGCTTTCCGCTGCGACCTTCCAAGGCTGCAAACTCGCTGAGACCATCCCTCGTCGCCCTCTGGCCGTCGTCGCCCGCTTCTCTCCCTCGACCTGCAACCAAGGCGTCGCTCCTACGACTCGTTCTTTGTAGCACTTCGAGTCTCGCTGGGTAGACGAGCCGTTAACAGCGGTTTCGCCGCCTCACCGTCAAGCCTCGCAAGGTGTGCCGTCCGTCCTTCTCGCCTTCTCCAACTCGACCCTCGCTGACGCTGCTCTTGCCGTCCTGCGCGTTTATTGACGCGAGGTGAGCTCGCCCTTCTGTTGCTCGACAGCTATGTGCCCCACGCCAAGCCCGCCGCCCATCTCTCAGCCGCACTCGTCGACATCTCCTCCCTCGTCTTCTGCTCTCCCGTCGCCTTTGACACGACAAGTCCGCCGCAGCTACACTCGTACACTCGCATGACGGCAATGGGCGCGCTCTTTCTCGCCAGCTGTAGGCCCCACGCAGAGCTCGCCGCCCGTCCCTCCGCCGCACTCGCCGACGTCCCCCTCCCCTCCTCCCTCCA